CTGGAAAATTAGTCTCTAAAGAGGTCCTGTTAATTATTTCTCAACCAACAAGACAAGCATTCATATACATCACTCACTGAGATGAAACGAGAATATAATGATGGAAAAGTGTATAATTAGACCTTATTGAAATCTTTAATTTAATTTCGAAAACAAAATCGGGGAGACTCTTGTTTTATTTAAGATTGTGCAAAATAACACTGACATTAAAAAAATGATTCAAGTTCAATCTATCAATATACTGAGATGTGGATACACCAATCAATGCAAACACGATCGCGAACATATAATAAATATCAAAGATATTTTCGATAGCCTTGTTCGTTTCCCGGACAAAATGTGCGAACATTTATACAATGACATTATAGTACGTGATCCAAAGATGATTTCTCAAGGCAATTGAACCGCATACCGAAAACGCTTTTATGATAACCTCAGTGGCGGAACCAGGGAGGGGGGGGGGGGGAGCGGGGCCCCTTCCCTAGGGAAAAAACAGGTAAAATCACGTTAATTTTACCTTTTTTTGGAGATGGACCTCCTCACCTGGCGCTCAAGAAGGGGGGGGGGGATTTTCAAATTTTCGGGAGCAAAAAACAAACAAATGAGTGCTCCTTACCCCCCCCCCCCCCCCCTTATTCACCGGCTGGCTGTTTCGCCGCTAAATATTTTCTCACGAATTGGGCCCCCTCTTTGGCCCCTGCCCTGCCGCCGGCTGGATCCGCCCCTGGATAACCTTCTTGAAAGTCTTTGCGATCAATGTTCTGCTCGTTATCAATAACATGAGGAATAATTCACTAGGGAAAGGGAAATATTAAGACTCCTTTGGTTTTACCAGTTTGTATTTTGATATTGACAAGGGGGATATCACATGGGACAAGGCGTGCACTTCACTCATGATTTCCGATTTGAATTTCAAAACGAGCGATTCTGAGAGCTCAATGCGAAGAATTCTTGTTAATAATACAAAGATGAGGATTAAGATGGCGATGAATCATTACCCTAGCTGCTCGCATGAGTGTCAAGTAACTCAGCACTAGAGATAGATAGACTTGTTGAAATCAATGACGAAAGGGAGACCAAACGGTGAAGAAAGAGGGAGAGAAGATAGAGAGAAAGGAAGTGAGAGTTGCTAAGGAGTAAAGGAAATGGATTGAGACAAGAAAAAAAAAAGGGGGGGGAGAAAAAGAAAAGATGGGGTAGAAAGAGAGGAGAGAGAGAGAGAGAGAGTGTAAGAGAGAGAGAGAGAAAGAAAGAGAGAGATTTCCTCCGCAATCATTGAGTGAAGGACAGGATAACGAATAAAATAATACAGTTAACATCTATAACCAATACTAACTTAACTTTGTTTTTTCTTCAAACGTTCACCTTTCTGTTTTTCTAAAAAAAATTCTATTTTCACACAAATTAACTTATTACAAGGGCTAGATCAATTGCCCTTTAAGTGGACATCTAGAATGCTATATACAAATTTCACTTTAAGAGATTTTGGTATTGGTAAGACCAAACAAATTTTATTAAGGAGAAGGGAAAGAAAAGACAAAAATGTTTCTAAAATTTCATAACAAAGTGTCTTTTACAACACTTGGTACGGCATGTATTTTCATGTATTTTAATTTTCAAAAAAACATTTAAAAAATGACAAATCAAAACAAAATATATCTTGCTTTATTGATATTGCTTTACGATTACAAATCCATCTTCTATACAAGGTTCCACAAGCCTGACTGGGACTCAGATTCTCTGACAAAACGTAGTTACCCCCCCCCCTCCCCCTCCCCCCCCCCCCCCCCCCATGCAGGCCCGTAGCCAGAGTTTGATGTTTGAGGGGGGTCACATACATGTTATTGATCGACGTCCTGGGGAGGGGTCTAAAAAAGTTCAACCGATCTTGGAACAAATTTGTTTGGGGGCACGTCCCCCATGCCCCCCCCCCCGTGGCTACGTGCCTGCTCACATGAACCCTACGCCCAAGGGTACATCGCTCTCATTGAGCAGATCACTAAATGGTTCCTCAGTGTATGCTGTAAACCCACATGTTTACATGACAGCGTTTCCTGCGTTTCTTCGCGAAGACAGCTCTCAAAAGCAACATTAAGTTACTAAATATTACTATGCAATACATGGGAAATGCTGCAGAATGCGATAAGTTCATGTGAGCAATGGCGGATCCAGGAGGGGAGGGGGGGGGGGGGGAGGCCTCCCCTGAGAAAAACAGGTAAAAACACGTTAATTTTTACCTTTATTTGTTTTTAAAAAGAAGAAGAGCCCCTACCCTGTTGTCTCCCCCCCCCCCCACTCAGCGAAATATCAGCCGGCACGATTTTCAAATTTTCGGGGGCAAAAACAAATTACTAATGAGTGCTCCTTACCCCTCCCCCCCCCCCCCCCCCCCGCTTATTTACCGACTGGCTGTTTCGCCGCTAAATATTTTCTCACAAATTGGGCCCCTTCTTTGGCCCCCTCCCCTACCGACGGCTGGATCCGCTCCTGCATGTGAGTGAGAAGTGAACTTCATCACGATAGGTCTCGAGAGTAAGAGCGGTATGAGGATTACTCATTTCAGGTTAACTTGTATCATATTAGAGGGAAAGCATTCCCGCTTTTTGTTCGAACATCACGAAACGTGTTGTTGCATCGACATGTCATGGTCTTTCGAAAGCCTACATTGAACTCTGTAAATAAGACAGACGCTCACAATGCTGAGCAATATGTCCGCATCCTACCAGGTACCCATTTAACACCTGGGTGGAGAGTGGCAAATGTAGATTTTCGTCTTGCCAAAGGATGGTACCTTGTAATCTACAGATGGGTAAGTTATCCACTAGAACACAGCACCTCTACACATTGTATTATGTTTATGTCATCCTAAGTTATAAAGTAAAGCGTCTACAAAGTAAGATTGTAATTATTAAGCTCTTTACAATGTCACCATTATGATTATGATTATTTTAAATCTTGGTCGAAGTATGAGGTTTGTTTTCTAGAAACTTTCATTGAGTAGATTAAGATAAATATTTCAAAGTTATCATAGGAATGCATAATAGTATTAGAAATGAACACGATAACAAAATGTAAGCAGAGGGCCGATGTAGAAGTAGGGAACAACATGTAGTAACAAACAACAGAAATGACAGGTGAACAAACACAAAACCAAAAGAGAAAGGGATCGAGTGAGATTTGAGGAAAGAATACAATGAGGGCGCACTAGCAAGCTTATGAAATAGAAAGTTGAGTACTCAATAAACTTCTTGTGTGTTTGCCAAATAAATAAATTCAAATCAACCTGATAAAAGCCATTGAGCCAAAAAATATCAGAAAAGGGTTATCATAAAAAGATTTGTTTATACTACATCATCCTTATGTCTTAATCGGTGCCTACTGTTTGTGCTTATCGGTACATATCGCTAGCATGAGATCGTGCCAGTCCGCATGTTGGGCAAATCATAAGTCTAAAGTATATTTCTGGCAATGACAAAATGTCTCGACGTTTGAAGCAGCGTCATATTCGTCATCGCAGAACTATTAAATTGGGGAAAATTGGAAAATGCCTTCAAAGTGCATGGTTACTGCTCTTATTCTTATTTTTATGACATTTCTAGTACCCGTTCAACCTAAAATTGCTATTAAAGGGATAGTTGAGTTCTGTTGCAGAGGGCGCTACACAAAATAATTTTGTGTGAGATAATGAAAAACTGAGTGTCAAATTTGAAATAACATCATATTTAAATGACAAAATCCTTTTTGTTTGATCAAAATCGGTTCAGAGACGGCCGAAATATAACGATTTCTAATACTTGTGTACCACCACAAATATTAGATATTTTGAAAGATTTGAAAAAACCGTTGGAAAGAACGAAATAACGACTTTTACGCTGTATTTCAGCAAATGCTGATGTCGGTTTTTTTTATTGGCATTTTCGTGTTGCTTATATTACGCACAACCAGCCGGTCATGTATTGTTATTTTTAATTAAATAATTAATTGAAGGTCACCATGTTTTTTTTTTAAAGTGGAGCTGAATTGGTATGCTCGTATTGGCTAAATTTCACACATTTGGGGTCTAAAATGACCTTCATAGCAATTTTAGGCTCTAAAAGGGTACTAGAAATGTCATTGATAAGAAGAAGAGCAATAACCATGCACTTTGAAGGCATTTGCGGCCTGAAAACAGAACTCAACTATCCCTTTAAGATAATTTAAGACCCCAAAAAGTGTGAAATTTAGCCAATACTATCGTACTAATTCAGCTTCACCTTGAAAAAATACGGTGAACGTTAATGAATGAATGAATTAATAATTACAATACACGAGCCGGCCGTATTATAACCAACACTAAAAAGCCAACAAAAAGCCAAAATCGGCATTGACTGGAATAAAACGTATAAGGCGCTATCTCGTTTTTTCAACGGCTGGTTCAAATTATCGAATATTTGTGGGGCACCACAAGTCCACAAATATTTGGAAAAGTTATATTTATGGATATTTCAGCCGTCTCTGAACCGATTTTGATCAAATAAAGATGATTTTGTCGTTTAAATTGTATGTTCTTTAAAATTTGACACTCAGTTTTTCATTATCTCACAACGAAATTTAATTTGTGTAGCGCCCTCTACAACAAAACTCAACTCTTAGGGTCAATGAGAGCGAATGCTCAGAAAACATGATTTTTGTGGATTGTCTAAAAAATGAATAGAAGTTATTATGGAGTAGACGTTTATCAGTTTACATCGAAATTTTACCCCCTCTCTCTCTCTCCATCAAATACCTCTCTTCACTCATCGAATCGTTACCACTCTCTCTCTCTCTCTCTCTCTCTCTCTCCATCGAATACTTAGCTCTCTTTCTTCGTCGAATTGTTTACCCCACTCCCTCTCCTTTGAAAACATTGTACCTCTCTCCATTCATCGAATTTTTTACCTCAGTTCAGATTCAGTTTATTCAAAACAACACAAAGCATGATATAATCTGTTACATAACAAAGAGACTGGTAATAGCTCTCTCTCTCTCTCTCTTTCCGTTGAATGCACACCTCTCTTCATTCGTCTGTGAATTCGACTGGTATACGTAGCGTCCTTGGTTTTGGCAATCAATACAAAAGCATGGTAGGCATTTGATCAGGTTAGCGAGTCCCTATAGCTATCTTTCATCATGCCGAACAAGAAGTTAACTCCTAAAAGAACCCTCTTCCAAAAGATCAAGGAAGAAGCTAAGAATTTACGAAAGAAAGCTAGAGAAGAAAAACAATTCATTGACAGAAATTTTCAAATCTTGGATGAATCAGATTTTCAGGGATATTCCTCTGATGACGATGTATTTGACAACGTTCCTAAGAAGACAAACATTGAGGGTTCAGATGTCAAAGAACTTTATGATACTCCATCCACGACTAAAGAATTGTCATCATCTGTCCCGACAGAGTTCCTTACTCTTTCTCCTGAAAGCAAGGGTGTTTCCGACGACGAGAATGACTCTAGCTCCCATCCATCTGATGGTATGTAGTATCTAATAGTTCATACTTGACGTAATGTAAATTGATAAAGTTAATTTCTCGAGTTCGAAATACATATTATTTCCTATTTACAATATTGTTATAACCATTCTTCAAACAAAATTTTGCATTATATTTATTCTATTCTAAACAATAATATTGATAAGAGGACGACTATCAGTGAAAAATATCCGTAACATGTATGTTATTATTTTTAAATCTCTTTTACAGAGTACGATTCATCGCTACTACACTGTTAGGCCAGGGTTCAACCCTATAACTGCGAAGAAATTTGGGATTGAAGGTATCGAACATCGTGTTGACATCCATAACCTAGACAACGTGATTTCAGAGTATCCGGTGGATATGGTGGTTAGTGTCCTCTTGGAGGCGATCATACAGGCCGTCACAAGAGGGTTCGAACCTCAGGACAGAGTTCAATTAACTATAACGTCACCAGGACTCTACAGAGATATCGGCATACCCTTCACAAGGTATGATCAAATTCACATTGAAATGGTGATGGACATTATAAGTAATGAATTACAATCTGACGATATCTTTCTTCTGGACGATGGACTTAACATTAAGGTTTGTAGAGTAAAAATGCCTAAGTGAGGTAAACAAAAAAGGGACTGAGCTATGACCATTGAAAAACTTATCACAAATAAGAAAATCTTTTTCAGAATGATGACCATCTGTATGCAGCTAGGGCTATTGTGGTCGCTAAGGCTTACATTGATCGTAGACAAGGGAAAAGGGCTGTACAAAAACACAATACGGTACGTAGATCAATTAGAAATGGAATTCAAAAGAATTAAAAAAGGCCGGGGTATCTACCACAAGACAGTGATGCTCAGTTAGAAGATATCGATAAATTCCAACAATATCTAGAGAAGAAAGGATTTGGCAAGACTAACATGCAGACATTACAGTTATTACAAAATAGGTCACCCGTGTTGTATTATGTGTTGGTTATATGTATTCTAGCCATTTGATCTATGATTTACTTAAATTTGATAGATTAGAAGTTCGATTGGGTAAACACCTTGCTCATCTAATGTTTAAAGTTGTGTAAAAAGAGGGGCCTAGTTACATTGTTAAGTAATTCATAACTCAAACATTTAATTACAGACCCAGGGTTGGTGATGTGCATTTATTCATACCTCGCATAAAAACAAATTATGGAAAAAGTTGTCTTAGATATAAGGGATCCAAATTATGGAATGTAATCAGGAAATCTTCATCTGTATACACACTCAGACCTCAACAATTTAAGAAGTATGTTATCTAACTTGACTGGAAACATATTATTACCCAAATGTACCCATACTGATTTTTCTTGTATATCTTACGTATTTAATTGTTTATTTGTTTATCTCTTGTATATTTTATGTATTTAATTGCTTATTTCTTTGCTTGTTTGTTGACATGATTTGTAACTGTTTTTAAATGTGTGTAGACCCCTTTGAAAACCAACTTATTTGAAAGGGTAATCCACCCCACATGGGGAAATAAATTAATAACAAAAATTGAAGAAAAAAACCTAGGGGAAAAAACCCTAGGTCTAATTGTACTAGTGTTAGGATTTGTAAGAAATGTCATCTCCTGATGGATAAGAATTTAAAAATTGAAAAGAAGAAACATATTTGTGGACGTGTTTATTGAGAGTCAATTGAACCAACAATTCAATTTCAAAGAAGAAATGATTGTTTATTATAAAAACGATGTTGATATCTTAATGAAAGGGTGTATGACCTTTAGAGAAATATACATGAACGTGACAGATGTCGATCTTTTTTGATCAGGTGACCTGACCATAGGATTCACATGTTTAAATGTTTTCCTTAAGAACTTTTTGAAACAGAACAGGATTGGTTTGATTCCCTAATGGCGGTTACAGGTCTAAAGAGAGGTATTCACCCTTAGCACTAACATGGTTAAAATGGATAAGTAAGGAACAGAATATTGAAATAAAACATTCTCAAAATGGTGGTGAAAAAAAAAATGGACGGTATGCTGTTGATGGTTTACATGACGGGCTAGCAATACACTCTCTGTCTTTAATGGTTGTGTATGGCATGGTTGCCCTCATTGCTTTCCTAAGAAAAATATCAAAATTCTCGGTAGAAAAGATACGGCAAAAGAGGTTTACGATGAAACTAATCAAAAGGAGTTTTCCCTCAAAGGTAAGAGATATAATGTCATAACCAAATGGGAATGTGAATTCAAACGAGAGTGTCGTGAGAATTCTTCCTTTGATTCATTTGTAAAACTGATCGATTTTCGAGAACCACTGAATCCTAGAGATGGATACTATGGAGGTAGGACAAATTGTACAAAGATGCAAAGAACTGTAGATACGTTGAGGTATGCAGTCTTTATCCTTGGGTATGTAAGTACAAACGATTTCTGATATGTCATCCTAACATCATCACTTAGAATTTGAAATCCATTGACAAGTATTTCGGGATGATTCACTGTACCGTACAGGTATAAGACATTTCTTTTGGGTAAATTGCAATAATCATTTGAATTCAAGATACAAGAAGGAAACCAAAAAGACATTTGGCGGGCGGTATCTGAATTTTGAAGAAAAATTCACATTTTTAGAAAGTTGAGTTTCTGCCCTTTCATATGACACCTCAATCAGGAAAAATGAATTCGTTTTCACTGGCTGCCTGCCGTATCAATAAACGAAATTAACAAAAGACTTAACTCCGTTTCGTTGACAATCAGCCGTAGACGAGAGTCTTCATGCATGGCTGATTGTCAACGAAACGGAGTTAAGTCTTTTGTCAAATCTGCTTTTTTGCTACGGCAGGCACCCAGTGAAAACGAATTCGTTTGTTAAAGTTATGAAAATGTAAGGGCTACTTTAAACAAACAGAACTTTGTTATTCCTGGCTCATTTTTCTTGATTGAGGTATCATAGGAAAGAATAGAAAATGAACTTTCTAGAAATATGAATTTTTCTTTGAAATTCAGATACCCCCCGCCAAATTACTTTTTGGTTTCCTTCCTTCAAATTGCTTTTAATCACTCATTCGTGAAATATGCATCACGTGAGTAGCATCAACTGAAAGAGGAGACTCTAAGCTTTCCAAATATGTATCATTCATTAATTATGGTTGTGATTAAGTTATGATAAAACATCGATACTTCTCGGTTTCGTTTTTTCTGGGACGCACTGTATAGCAGATTGTTATATGAAATGTTGTCTTTTTAACTGAATGAAATAAAATTGAATTGAATAATAATAATAATTACAGTGCTTATATAGCGCCTAACACTTACTTTGTCAGAAGTCTCTAAGCGCTCTACAATAATGCAGCATAATTACCCTGGCTTTAGCAGTGCAGCTGTTACGCGCGCTGCGTTTCAAGGAATAAATTCCAACCAGGTACCCATTTACTTCACCTGGGTGGAGTGTGGCAAATGTAGATCAATGTCTTGCCAAAGGACATTAGTGCAGCGGCGGGACTCGAACCGCGGACCTTGTGATCGACAGTCCGGCGACGTATCCACTCGACCACAACACCCCTAAGGACTGTACAACCCTCTGTTACCTTATAGAAGTCATGAAGGTAAACTATTTCAATTTTGTTGAAATCCTGAAGTAAACTATTGTTTCCGTTATGTCGTCTGTGTAGTTTCTCTGTTTGATTGATTTTATTTCTGCGTTCAAATAACAAATACAAGGTAACATTTTTACATCAGCATTACATACATAGCAAATCATGTCTAATAATATTATACAATAACCATAATACAAGTAGTGTAAATTAGAACAAGAAGGTGTGTAGTCATAGTGATGAGGAAAGGTCTTTGGCAGCCACATGGTGCACTGAAGAAGTGAAAATGCTCTATTGTTGGGTTATCGATTAGAAGATCTTTGAGGTTCGGCATTTTAACAAATCAAGTGAGTGCATGTACTATGAAAAGAAGAAAATTTGGATTGTTCACAGACTATGTTAACTTATTTTTTAAGTTAAAGCAGGAATCTAGTACGTGGACTTCGGACTGTACACCTATCGACAATGAGACTGTTGATTCTTCTAGGATTCAGAAAAATCGTAAGAAATATCTACAGTCTTACTACAAAAATGAAGGCATTCGTTTAAATCATGATTCCATTAAAATCAATAAAGTTCTAAGAGCAGTGGCGAAGATTTGTCTAGATGCTTTTTATGGACAATTCGGTCAAAGAAGTAATCTATTGAAGAAAGAATACATCAAGGAACTACATACCTTCTACGATAGGATGTTAGATCAGAGTATAATAGTTAAAGATATTACTCATATTGCTCCGGTTGTCTCATTTTCGCTCACTGAAACATTGCCAGCACAAACCACTGACCTCTACCTCCTGGACGGATCATCGCCCATTCCCCCCCCCCCCCTTCCCCGTGATAACGCTTGAAGTGGGCTCGCACGCGCGGCGGCCATTTTACACTTCCAAGAGCGATACGGCTCACTATACGTTACGTACTAAAAGGCTGTATTGTCTGACCGTTCATGAATATTCATCTTTTTGCTTACCTCGGCAAAATGCTTGCTTATTCTGAATGGAAAAATTACGGTGGGGGTTGGATGAAATGGACATAATGAACAAATCAGAACTGATCTTTGATAATTGAGGCTTTTTATCCTTCGTGAGCTTGACTTATAACCTTACAATCGAGTAGTAAATTAAGTCCAAAGTCCAAATTTTGATGAAATTACGGTGGGTGAACTTTCAAAAGTCAATGAGACATGATCTGAGGGTTCCAATGAAAGAGCTAGTGATAACGTAAGTCGGGGTGGATGTGCTTTTCGTTTAAACAAAAAAAGAAGAAGAATTTTTAACGATTTTTTTGGTAAAAATCCATAGGCTAACATGTTAGGCTGCTGACTCTGACGATAGGGGGCGTTGTCAAATGAGACTAAACGGAGCTATATGATTATCTCTTATCAAATCATTAGGATTCAATATGAAAGTACTGAAGATTTCATCGAGTTTCGTTAATACGAATGTGGTTAAAGCTGAATGTAGACAATGATAAGGTTTGTAATACACATAAGATAACACGGCAACAAATAGGGAGTCTAGTTTCACGTCCGGAGAGTAAGACCCATAGGTTTGTGTTCGATAAAAGAGTGATCCAAGATGAATTTGATAGTTAACCATATGTTTTTTTTAATATTAACTATGAACAGCTAGACTACTGCTTTAACCTTATACGATACGTTCGTAAGATTTTTATAATGTAAGGGAGCAAATTTTAAAAATTGTGTTTTCTTGTGTACAGTTTATTTCAAATATGTACTTGACTATATACATGTATATATATATATATATATATATTAGATAGCTTAGACAGATACCGAGATGTATTTGGTCCAGAGCTCGTCACGTGATATCAATTGCGAGGATCCAAATTGTTATATTTTCCTGGCCGGTCACTTTTCAGTGTTATTTTATACCGGCTGGTGAAATGAATATATTTTTAATCAATGCATGTCGCCCTCTTGAGGACTGTATGTCACCAACTACATACATTACACCATTATCGAGGGCCATTTTATTTTTTCAATATTTTTTTTTCATGAATTTTTTTTTCCCTAGAAATTTTTTTTTCCCAAAAAAATGCTTTTTTGGGTAAAAAAAAAATTTTAATAATTTTTTTTTGTTTCCCGAAAAATGCTTTTTTGGGTAAGAATTTTTTTATTTTTATTTATTTATTTATTTATTTTTTTTAAGGTAATCTCGACAAATTATTTTTCCGTAATTTTGATTGTCCCCGAAAAAAAATAAAAAAATTTCGGGCTAAAAAAAATATGGACCCCCCCCCCCCCACAAAAAAAAAAACCAAGGCTATCTAATATAACAGTTATTGACTGGCAGGGGGTATATAACATTCTTTGGACCTGAAGGGAGTTATATTTTCCCTCGTGACCATATTTTCCCTCAGCGCTGCGCGCTTCGGGAAAATATAACCACTTGGGAAATATAACTCCCTTCAGCGGTCCAAATAATGTTATATTACACCCCCTGCCAGTCAATAACTGTATAATATTAAATGAACTTCATGCTACATGGCCGATTATCTTGACGTTTTTATTTGAAGTGAATTTTGATCTGAATCCATTGAACTGAATTTTAGTATTACACGTTTTACTGTACCTCTACAATTTCATCATTTACAAATTATGACACGTTTACTTTGTAAATTCATTGACTTAAATACTATTTAATTTATTCATCGTTCATTCACATGTACAAATTAATCTATCTTATTTTCTCCTGTTCTTTTAATGCAATAAATATACATATACTTTTTCACTCCTGCTTTTCTCTCTAACTGTGTTAGACATAAATCTTTCAACTTTCTTCACAGTGTTTCTATGTATATTTATCTATTTTCGTTTCCCCTAATATTGTAACCTGTCCTCGTCATTTATCTTGATAAACACTTAAAACCCCACATAGCTTCATACTCTATTGATGATTATGAATAATTACTTAACCAACATGTATTAAGAGGTATTTACCGCCACAAGCCACCCTTTTCAATAAGGCCCTCATTTTCACATTTTACGTGTAAATAGTCTTACTTTCAATACTGTTCAATCTGTCAAATTTGTTCAATTGTTACTAAACTATTGCAATTTTAGAATTAATATTGTTTCCAGGGCCCCGTCTTACAAAGAGTTGCGATTGATCTAAATCGACCGCAAGTCCTCTAATCTATCGCAAGTTTACAGTCTCCTATCTCTTATGTACATAGTTGCGACGGGGCCCTGATGTAATGTCCTCCATTTCGTTATATCGTTTGTTTTCTGTATATATCTACAAGCATGCGAAATATTAAATGCAATGCATTTCCATACAATTGGAGTGTAGATTGTAATTTGGTTTTGAAAGTATACACGCTTTTGTTACCAGATACACTGATATAGAGATGACTGTGTCCAGATAGCTGCGATACCTTGTTCCGTTTGTACGCATGGAAGAACTGCATTTCCTAGAATGTTATGCAGATTACAGTTTGGCAAAATAATTTTTGATTCTCCATTATGCTTTGCATCTGAAGACGCAGAAAATTCAAGCTAATGATGATGTGACATCACGTTAAGCTCTGGTAGCCTTTCAGCAATTCGCTAAACTTGTCATTGCGAGCGTTGCTGGAAGAGACCATGGGAGGACTTAGATTTGTAGTTCTGGGATTGATATCGCTTCGCTATGACTTTCCTGGTAGTCTGACTGCATCTGCATAAGAAGGTGGAGCATCAGTGTATGAGGATGGACCTGGTCTTGTCGAAGGTCCAGCTGGGTTGGTAAATCCACCAACCGTACTGCTCCTAAAAAAACCCCAAAGGTAAGATTGGTTGGTCTTGTGACTAGACTGACATGAAAGTTGGACTATAGCAAATCTGTATCTTCACATAGATTGATTAAAACGAAACAATATCTAACCTCAATCAACGTGGACATGGTACATGCGTCATGAATCCGTTTAAACAGGCCTTTTCTTAAACAGAATAATATTATGACGCACATCAAAGTTCCAGTATGACTGATGATATAGTGTTTAAAAATATATCCCTCTTTTAAGGATAATGAAAATACATTAAAAATGTACATGTTTAACCATTACTTTTCTTTAGAAATACCTAAATCATTTTTCACTTGTCAATTTCTTTTCTCGACATTACATTTTTTGCAAGTTTCCTTAACATTAATTCTCAGTCCAATGTATCAATTATACAAAAACGAATGTGAAATTGCAAGTGACATCAGAAGTTCAACTAAGGATGAAATGAGTGAGGATCTTAACTTACGGTCTGTTACCACCAGGGTTGGTAAAGCCTCCAGATTGAGTCTGACCCCCTGGTTGCGGGTAGCCCCCTGGTTGAGTGTGACCCCCTGGTTGCGGGTAGCCCCCTGGTTGAGTGTGACCCCCTGGTTGTGGGTATCCCCCTGGTGGTGGATAGCCCCCTGGTTGTGGGTACCCCCCGGGTTGAGCGTAGCCTCCAGGTTGGGATGCAGTCCCTGGTTGCCCTGCGTGAGGAGGAGGAGGATGAGGAGGAGGAGGATGTGTGTGTCCGCCACGTGATGGATTACCATGTGCCATCCATCCATTATCAACAGGTTGCGAGGACGGGGTACCACCCCATCCCAACACACCAGAATCTTGTAGGCGTGCCACGCTGCTACTTCGCTGGACATTGGTCCGACTGGTCATACTGACAATGCTATGCGACCTGACTGTTTGTTGCATGCTTTGTTGGTACGACTGGCTCATCATTGACGAGCTCTGGACTGTGGTTGATTGATGTCCTCCGCTCGTTGATACCACTGTAACTCGTCCTGATCCTTTATACTTCCATAGTAAGAAGAAACCCAAGAAGCCCATGATTATAGCGGTAGTACAGATAAGACCACCGTAGTATGGTACCCCTGTCAAAACGGAGAGAACAATACCCGCTACAAACACCAGGACAGCTAACATTACCAGGCCTTTGATGTTATTCATTCGACGCCAGTGATTATGGTCGCCATGATGACTGTCATTGACATAGATGGCCATGATGGATATCCTCAATCACCATGTAATCAAGATAATACTTGTATTATGTCGACTCTGTGAATGTGTATCGGGAGGAAAGAAAAGGAAAGACAAATCAGTTCATTCGTTTTTGTTTAATACTTTGTTACTAGCAAAGTTGATAACAAGTTTTCATAGAAGTATTGTTGTGTGACATGGTTATTTAATTAAAACTAAAATCGAGAACTTTACACACACCCTATGGTAGGGCTCTTCCCTATATTGCTCCTAAGTGAGGAGCCTATATAGTTAGAAATGAATTCGGCAGAGCCCCAGTGTGTGAGATCACTGAGAACCTAATTAATAACGCAGATCGATAACATGTTCAGTGAGGATTTGATGAAATGTGAATTGTAGAAAGCGTTTAATCTTTATTTTTGTTAATTTGTTTTTACTGTTTCTATAATTATCATTAATTAGTAACTGTTATTTTTAATATTATTATCAGTATTATTATTATCACTGGTAGTGTTTTTTTTTTTATCTTCATCATCGTTATTATCAATATTAGTATTATTATCATTATTATCATCATTTGTGTTATTATAATTATCATTATTACAGGTGACGCCAAATACTGAATAATAACTTAATTAGTAATAGTAGTATATAGTAGAGCCAGCAGTAGTATTAGCATCATCATCATCAATAGTATTGGTTATCACTGATCACCATAATATTAACAAGGAGTTTATGGTAGCTCATAACTCCTCGTATCGGTATAACACATTAATCTTCCCATCTTATTTGTCCCATTCTTTAAACACATGATTCTATTTCTCCCGATCTCTTTATCATTCTCCGGCTGCCATGTGTGTAACAATGCTTACACTTTTAGAGGAATCAAAAACGAATAATCACAATGTGCCACATTATGTACCTTGGTACCATGAAGTTGTGTGATCTAATTTAAGTTAACATTTAATATTTCTTTAATCTTAAGTACATGTTGAATATTAATTTAAATATTTGTTTGCGCCTTGAGCATCTGTAGAGATGGATATGTTGCGCTTTATAAACATTGTTATTATTATTATTTACAGCAACGCAATAGTTATTCAAACGGAGTGCATCCGATTTCACATTGGTCCAAAAAGACAACAGAAATGTAAATACACACAACTTTCTATTTCATTTCACTGCATGAGAATAAGATGCTGTGATCGCATTGGATAGAAGACTTGAAATACTGGAAACCGATATTGTACACAATACAAAAACATTTATAGAACATTAAACTTACACCACTTGCGAAATATGTTATGTATGTAGGCCTACATTGAACATAAAGGCAAAATTTGGTGTCAGTGTTCCTTCTAACCATCTTTATGGGAATTAGATTACAGAATGATGACGTATTCGGATGATTATTGTTCTTCTTTACATCAGCCCATTGTGGATTCAGACTCATAAGAAAATGTAGTGACGTCGTTAACTTAAGTCTTTACAATACGTACATAGTGTAGTTCTACAATCAACTAAATATCATAATTTAAATGGTGTGAAACTTTCATTAAATGACAAAATATCACTTACATGTACCGATACGACAGATCCGAGTGCCGTCACTGTTTAATCTTCAATTGTATGGTCTTTCTTCATGCCATGTTTGTTGAATGGAAAATTAGAAGTAGCTCCTGGATGTCAGATATAACTTGTTGAGTAAAAGACAAGCATGTAACTAAATGCTAATGGGGCTGATGGTTAACAAGTTGCGTCATTACTCTCAGTATGGGTCCCATATAGCGAACACGTACTAGAGCATGACAGAAGGGAGAAGAACCTTTTATCTTAACAATAACGCCCTCACAAAGCGTCCTAGACGACAGAAATACACGTAAAGCCTAAATCGATTTTGGGGTATAGTCTCCATATCCAGTGGTTTTGCCCTCTACGTAATTTCCATGTCAGTCTCTAGTAGGTCACGTCTGTGGAGTAAAGTATATAACAAGGATCTATTTTGAAGAAGACTTCGAACAGGAAAAATTGCAGGTTTATTGTGTATCTAGATTATTTTTATTATTATTATTATTATTATTATTATTATTATTATTATTATTATTATTATTATTTTATTTTTTTATTTTTTATTTGTTTTTATTTTATTTATTTATTATTATTTTTTTTTTTTTGGGGGGGGTGGGGTTCGCCTTAAATCATGATTGAATTTTTAGAAAAAACATGTCAGGAAAATCTTTTCCCACGCTTTATTTCCTTCTCAACTGTTTAATTTTTGCGACCCCATTATTGTGGAACAAAAGAGCATCAATGTCTAAAAATCTAACCTTTATATGTTATCATTAGATTATCCGCTTACTGTCCAGTGAAATTTGTTACTTTAAATATCTGTTGCCAAACTTCAGATCTTCTGTCAACCTTTACAAAATTCAAAATGAGACGACAGAACTATATCATCATTACAATAAAGTCACAATGGTAATACTCCTTTGATAACTTTTGCATAACATTTAACACATTGGCAACTCTTGCACTGTTTTTACTCACAAAACCGTTTGTTTCTTCGGCTCCTACTCGCTATTTAGTGAACACCATCTGAACGAGCAGGACTTTCTCTCCCGCACTCTCTCTCTCTCTCTCTCTCTCTCTCTCTTATTTGTATGTATGCATAATTATTATTTGTTCAATTCATTACCATACAATGTTATGCTTGGCACGACCATATCATAATGCCGTCTTGTGATTTCCTGTCAGAAAACATTTTAGTGAATGAATAAAAATAGCAAAAAATTAAATAGATGGAAAGAAAGATAGATAGATAGAACAATGATTGAATCAAATATCTTCCTCTCTCACACTTACACACACACGCGCGCACGCACACACACACACACAAAAACATATTCTCTCGTTTCATCCTTTCTCTTCCATGTCTAGTGTTCTTATCAGTCCTCGTATTCCATACTCCAGCACTTCCACTTACTTTCAGATGCTAGATTTGTTTGCTTTTTTTGTTGTTGTTTTTTGAGGGGGTTGTTGTTCTTGTTGTAAATACCCTTTTCGGCAATCATTCGTTATCAATTATGTAATATAAATACGGATTGATTTAATTGAATTTTGAACAAGCTGAACTTTGTAGCATGTTCTACTGTTGACCCCCTTCCCGCCCACAGTCATAATTTGGATGTTATTTTCATAAATCTATGAAACACATACTACCTCATCAGAAAAGTATTGGTCCGATATTCCATGATTCTTTTAAAATGGTTAGGAATGATTAAATGAATGAATAAATGGGCAGAAATACAGTAAAATATCTTTCAACAAATTATTTTATTTTGTTTTTTAATGAATTTAGGATTTTCGACGGCTCAGTTTTCACACCTAGCGACATCCCTGGTTTTCGTTGAATATTATCTGACAAATAAGGCATAGTGAATTTCATATTTGCATAGGTATAGTTATTGATAAGGAAAATGATACGTTTTACTGTTTCATTATAAAACAGAGCAGAATCTACCAATTTAAAACGAACAGGCCTTAACATGACAAATGTAAAATGATTAAGAAAATATATTACAAGTGGCAAGTCAACTTTGAGTTACAGACAAATTAAAAGCACGAGCAATCACTTAAAAGCAGAACAAAAATCCAATCCAATTCCATCTATAAAACAAATGCAATCAACATTATCAACAAGTCTTGTTGATAGTAGTCAAGATCAATAAAAAAAAAATCATAATACATTAATATATACATGTACATTTATAAGACCACGTGCGAGAACTGTTACAGTCCATCAAATTATTATCCATTTAAAAAGTTTTATAAATACAATATAAAAATGTCATTACATTCATGACATGGAGACGAAAAAAATCTCTTAATTCACTTTTTGCAGGTGGCAATGTCGGCTAGCATAAAACTTACATTTGATATATTTCAGCCATTTCGAGTCATGTTAGAACGCGTAACGAGCCAGTTTGCATATTGTGTTTCCTAACGTATGCAACATAATTCATGCATGCCTAAAATCTCGACATTTTCTGGTCGTTGGCCATAGGTTGCGAAGCAAATAAGCAAGAATTACTAATTTATTATTGAAGATGTTGCCCTAATAAAGGAGGCAAAGTATTCCCCATCCTTCAAATTAGTCACCTGTTTCTTCAAATTACGATACTAACAACCAGTGCCATTGAGTAGAGTCTGGCCAACCGGCAACCCGGTTCGAGTTGGACACAATATGGCGACTACTGCTTTGTTGTGCAAGCACAAAAAAAAAGAATATACGCCATGTTGTGATCCAGTGAAACCAATTTGGCCAAACTCTGTGTATAGATGGCTCTGCTAACGACCATCTTCAAGCAATTACAACGTGTCCCTTTAAAGGTACTATATCCCATTTGCAGCCAACCTCAAATTCTGTAGAACTTTGCAGGAATTATGAATATGTCATGTATGTCCTATCTGTGAAATTTAAACTTGAGCAGTGTCCTAATATTCAAATTATGCAAGGAAACCCGTTTACTTGCTAGACTTCACTGTCAGACACTATTGAGTGACTGACTGGCTTTTTTCTTCTTTGGTAATAACATACATGGAAAGAGTTGTAAAGGGTACACATGAGCATTTGTCTACATCAATAACACACTTCTTGTGATGGCCAAGATTAAAGATAAACTCCAGTACTGGTAAAAAAAAAATTAATTCTCACAGAATCAAACGAAACTTACACTGAATGTTCAAGATTACAAATAAATGACATGTGCCAAACAATTTTGGAAGAAAATGTATAATGGCTGAGTAATGAGCATAGAAAGACAAGGAAATCAAGGTAGTACTAGCCCCGACACCATGTGTGTTGTCCCATATATAGCTTTCTATGTGAGTGCTTGTTACTTTACCAAGACTCGGTCAAATTTATTATGATTTTGATGACTCCAGAACCTTGCAGTGCACACCAATACTTAATTGCTACATGATCAACTGTTTCTGATCCTTTCCACACCTTTTCTTTCACAATGCAATCGCATTACCAGTACTAAAGTTTATCTTTAAACTGATTGAATCTTTGTGCAGCATAAAACGTATGACCATTCGGTACAATTGTCTGAAAATCAAGACTATTACTTTTGGGCTCTATAGCCCTAAAGTCGATTTGACAACCAATAGTCATTATTTTCCCACATTTTCAAGCCCCATCTTTTTTTAGGGAAGTTCTAAATAAGTATTATCTTTCAAATGCAGTTGGAATTTAACTTTTTCATTTTTTTGGCCTGCAAATGGGATATAGTACCTTTAATATAGTACCTTTAATCACCTTTAATGGTGTAAGCTTAAAAAAGAATACTCATACTCTAAGCTGGTAGTTTCTGATTTATTCCATATTCTTGACAATGATTCCATCATGAAATCATTTCTCAAACATTTTTTTCTGACCGGGCTAATCATTAATCCTTTAAAGATCCGATTCCATAAGCCTGGTTGGAGATGCAGACCTTGAGTAGGTACGGTAGTTTCTTAAAACCTGATCATATGATGGTGGGATGGGGTTGGGTGAGGAACCACGATGATCCCCCTCTATCACAATAGGTACTCTGTGTACCCCATGGTCCCCATCAGTGTGTGCCCCACGGTCTCCTTCTAGCTGGATAGGTACGTTGTGTACCCTATGATGAGTTTGTGTCTTCGGGTGGGCAGGTGTTGATGTATCAAGGGGCTCTCTCATCAGATGCGTCATTTCTCCTCCCCCAGATTTGCTTTAAAAGAAAAGAAATAAATAGAAAAGAGATATACCCATTATAAACTGTTTTCGCGGACTAAAGATTATCATAGGAATAATAACTGTATAGGCCACTGGCTACGATGATGATAATGACTTCAATTAAGTTCATTTGAATGACCAACCAAGGACAAGAAGAAGGGGGAAAAAAAGGAATTATACATGAGGTATGCCAAATGTTTTAATTTTGCGAACTAACCATAAATTATCAAGCTATTAATTTTGTTCAAATTTCAAATCAACGATAGTGAAAACAAAGTTCTGGAAGTGATTTTCTAGATTTAGTCAGAAATTTAAAAAATTCCATTTGGCACGTTCCCCTTCTTCCCTTTGTATTTCTTGATATTCGACTTTCTTCCGTTGTGATTACAGTTATTCATTGGTAAAGATGCAAGACAAATAGTAGACAAAATGACCCAAATGATTGACATCACATTACAATTTTATGAAATGTATGAATATTACTTACTTCATGACCATTTCACGCAGTGCCTCTTCAAGTTTGGCAAAGTCATCTTGAAGGTCGCTCCGCTCAGTTGTATCTGGTGACGACGCGACTTGGTTATGACCGTTATGATCGAAGTGGTGATCGTCTGCCGTCTGCATAGCCATAGTATAGTCGGAGAGGTCATTGACCTCTACAGGACGATAACCTTCTGGTGTTATCCATTGTGGGGTTGATCTAGGTCGTCCTGACGACAAGTTCGGCATGGAAGGGGTGTGTTCATTAGCAGTCACATATGTCCTGTATGTAGTATCTGATGGTTGATCACCCATACGACTTTGATAGCCACCGACTAACTCTTGATGTTTATCATGCATCTTAGACTTTGCACGTGGAGATGATCTCTTCATCTCAGGCGATCGTTCTGACACCTCAGCCATCTCATACTTCCCACCAGCTTTGAACTGCGCTTTGTATTCTTTATATCTCGTTGAAGTCCGAAAGCAACACTTACACAGCATGTAAAACAGTCCCACAATAAGTACTACAGCCCCCAAGACAAGCATTGCAATGCCCACACTCCAGACGATTTGAGAAACGCTTTTTAAGATAACTATGATAACCAATCCCGCTACTGCCAAGAATAAGCCCAAGAAGATGAAGACGACAGCAGTAATGATCTGACATTGCTTCCCTCGAGGTACCAAGACGAGGTTGACGTCGGGTCGAACGCTCCATCGTTTCTTCGTCTTATCTCGCCGATGTCTTTGATCACCATTCTTCTTACGATAGATGACCGCGTTGTCTTGGTTTCCATCATGACGATTAACCTCGTTGCGTCGAGAACTATCATGTTCACTATCCTTCCATCGCCATTGGTCTGTCCTTACGTTATCAGCCATCTACAGACAGAGAAGGATCGGAGGAGAGATACATAGATATAGAGAGAGCGAGAAAGAGTGGGGATGGAGAGAAAGAGAGAGAGAGAGAGAGATGGAGAGAGAGAGAGAGAGAGAGAGAGAGAGAGAGAGAGAGCGAGAAAGAGTGGGGATGGAGAGAGGGAGAGGAAGCGAGAGGGGGATCAAGACAGAGTATAGATTGGAAAATTATAGATAGATGGAGAGACGGGAAAAAAAATGAAAAGAGAAATATTTTAGTACACGTAAAATCTCAACAATGTAGGATAAGCTCCCAGATAGTACTTCATGAAGTTATTCATCTTATCTTGTAAATATGTGATTCTCATGTTTTGTTTTAATAAAATATACAAGGGAAAAGAAAGGGGAAAAGTTATTCATTTTCAGTCTACGAAATCATAATATCTCTGTAAAAACTTAAGCTATTTCTCTTTTTCAAGACTGGAGATTTATTGTATCAGACAAATTCATTTTTAAAATGACATGATATACGAGCAAAATGAAAAGACCAGGGGGGTGTTTCACAAAGATCCTAAGTTGAACTTATCTCTAAGTTGGACTTAAAAGTTATGGAAAGCCATTAGCATCCTTGAAAATATTTTGTAAAAGTTATTTTAAAAGGCACAAAATGTTGATTCAAATCATTCATATTTTCTATTATCATGGGAGATTTCATGTTCTTGATGTGGAATTTATGGAAAGTCTAAAATACTTGATTTTTGGTTTTTTAATATATTTTATTTTAAGGCTACAAATGGCTCTCCATAACTTTTAAGTTCAACTTAGAGTTAAGTTCGACTTAGAATCTTTGTGAAACACCCCCCTGTACTTGCACGTTGTGCATTTTTACTCTCCCCTTTGGGAAACAAAAGCTCTATTAGTAATAATAAATGATAACTGATGCTATGTTTCTAAGAACTTTACGTTGTGATTATCATTACCCCGGTCATTGGATTCAATTGCTAGTGCACGCGCTCCACTCCCTTAGGAGTATTCACTGAAACCAATATATGCATAGTGTCACCGGGACTTCATATTCCAGACTCGCACTTCTTCGCACTACGTGTCCTTAATATCACCCAATGGCGGCAAGAAAAATATAGCTATTGTTAGCAGGCGACAAGTGAAACCTCAGCCCAAGGGAAAATATTGGCTGACTAGCTTCTATGGCATGTGTGACAGACAGAGTGCGAGAAGTCACTTCTTTTGTGTTCAAATTCAACAGAAACTGTCTCTATATGTTCACGTGCATATACTCCATATTGTGTCAAAACGTAGTGGTGTAAAACACTTTTCAGATCCCCTATTCGAACATCCCAATTTTAGGAAATGACATATATGCCAATATTACAAAATACGTAGAGAGAGAGAGAGAGAGAGAGATAGAGAGAATGTGAAAATAAGGATATAGGTCTGCCCCTGTCGGTGATTTGCAAGCCCTCAAAAACTTGTCTCAAATTTTAGCAGCAAGATGAGTTTATGAATACTATGTGCACGATTTCAGATCAAAAGACTATGTGGTTCTCTCTTTGCGAGTGAAAGAAATTGAAGCCCACATTTCGTTCACAACAAAATGTAATGGAGGTGAATAAAACACTGCCAGTTGCGAAATTCAAATTTGAAAAGAAAAAAGAATGTAATTACGCTAATAATTAATATCTTGCCACCATACTTTTAGGAAAGATTTCTAATTTTCTATGATGATTTTATAAACAACATTTTAGGCGCTTTTACAAGTTTTTGATATTTTCACCTTGCAAGTCCTTGCTGTATTGACACCGTGTAGCATGTGGGCCTACGTTTAGAATTTTGTTTAAAGGTACTATGTCCCATTTGCAGGCCAAAAAAATGAAAAAGTTAAATTCCAACTGCATTTGAAAGATAATACTAATTTAGAACTTCCCTAAAAAAGGTGGGGCTTGAAAATGTCTTCAAGTGGAAAAATAACGACTATTAGTTGTCAAATCGACTTTAGGGCTATAGAGCCCAAAAGTAATAGTCTTGATTTTCAGACAATTGTACCGAATGGTCATACGTTTTATGCTGCGCAAAGATTCAATCCGTTTAATCTTGGCCATCACAAGAAATGGGTTATTGATGTAGACTAATGCTCATGTACCCTTTACAACTCTTTTCATGTATGTTATTACCAAAGAAGAAAAAAAGCCAGCCAGTCACTCAATAGTGTCTGACAGTGAAGTCTAGCAAGTAAACGGGTTTCCTTGCATAATTTGAATATGAGGACACTGCTAACGTTTAAATTTCACAGATAGGACATACACTGCCGCTCATAAAGGTGGAATATTTTAGTTTTATCCCAATTCATGAAATTATTTTAAAAATTATTTAAAAATAATAGATCTAGATAATAGTATACATTCTCAGATGTTATTGAATAATAATTTGTCAATGTGTGTTTTGCGGGACTTCTAAAGCATGTGTATGCTCCTATGCTTATTAACTAGAGGACCAACGCCCTCAAGGCATAAATGACAATAATGAGGATTAATGCCCCACAAAAGGGCACTAATATATCACATCGACACGGTTTTGATCCTGGGGCCTCACAGTTACGAGGCCATTGTTTTGTCACTGAACCATGACTGTACGTAGCGGGGGCTAAGGTAGGGGGCAGTTTCCATAAATAAAATAAAAAAACAGAAAATGCAATAAATTTTCAATAATTAATTGCATTTTACCCCGGTCCCCAACATAAAAAAAATCCTCTGGACGGCCATGCATTATTGTTCAAGGCATGGGCACACAAAAGATTTGTTTATGTTGGGAACCGGGGTAAAATGCAATAAATTATTGAAAATTTATTGCATTTTCTGTTTTTTTTTAATTTATGGAAACTCCCCCTTACCCTAGCCCCCGCTGCGTACAGTCATGGTTCAGTGACAAAGCAATGGCCTCGTAACTGAGAGGCCCCAGGATCAAAACCGTGTCGATGTGCTATATAAGTGCCCTTTTGTGGGGCATTAATCCTCATTACTGTCATGTATGACTTAAGGGCATAGGTCCCCTAGTTGATAAGCATGATAGCATACACATGATCTAGCAGTCACCCAAAACACACATTGGCAAATTATTCTTCAATAAAATCTCAGAATGTATACTATTATCTAGATCTATTACTTTTAAATAATTGTTTTAATAATTCCATAAATTGGGATAAAACAAAACTATTCCACCTTTATGAGCGACAGTGTACATGACATTTTCATAATTCCTGCAAAGTTCTACAGAATTTGAGGTTGGCTGCAAAAGGGACATAGTACCTTTAACGGATTGTACAAAAAAGGAGATATTAGGTAAAGAGTATTCCTTAATCTGAAAATACTTAGAATGCATACGATCATGCATTAGTGTATTTGTCACTTTTTTATCCGCTCCCACTCAGGCATCCCACCCTGGATATTGCAGTAGCACCCTTTCCCGACAGTCATTTTAAAGATAAAGTTAGGTTTTGGTCATGCCATTGCATTTTGCAAGAAAAGGTGTGCAATGGATCAGAAAAGGCTGATCATGTAGCATGTAAGTATTGGTGTGTACTGCAAGGTTTTTGAGTCATCAAAATTACAATAAATTTGGCCCAGTCTTGGTAAAGTAACAAGCACTGTAAACAGAAAGAAGTATATGGGACTAAACAAATGGTGTCGGGCCTACTTACCTTGATTTCCTTAACTTGCTATGCTCATTACTCAGCCAGTTTACATTTTATACCAAAATTGTTTGGCAAATGACATTTACTTGTAATCCTGAACATTCAGTGTACGCTTCGTTTGATTCTGTGAGAATTCATTTTCCTTTAAAAAAAAACAGAACTCAAGTTTATCTGTAAATCACCCACAGCTCTCAATTCATAACCATATTCCTGTATTTGCATTGCTACCTTCCTCAGGTAGACTACACACGAATGCTTGCTGCATATGTAAACACACCCACGAAAGAACAAAAGCATTCCGCTTCGGTAGAAAATTGTAAAACTTTAGTTTGGAAAGACACTTTTTCAGCATAGTCAATCAAGCAAGTCGGCGACATTGCTTTGTATAGTGGTACGAGTATAATTTTGTGTAATTTAAAGATGAACGATCGTTTTGTTGTATAACCATTAACCTACTATAAATAGGGTATTATCACGCTATCTATTTGTCATTGGGCTGGTAATACTACATCCAATTTTAAACATCTATGAGTCATTATTTTACCACCAATCATTGCAAAATATTTGTATCTCTTGTAATACTACCATCATAAAAAGATGTTATAAATGGTGTACCGTTGAAGTGTAGCGGATATAATACTTATTTTAAACTAATATTAAGAGGAAGTGCTTATCAAACCAAGTTTACTAGTGTTAGATTAACAACATTACTTGCTGGAAACAGTAAACAAAACACATAAAGAAAACAGATACGAAGGCCTACATCTTCATAAAGGAAATGACTGGGGCATCTTTATTTCTGTATACTATGAGGGCACAGCATCAGATGGAGAAAAAAATGGAGAAATGGCACAAAGATTTTTGGAAAGGGGCATTTTTATTGGAAAAGTATGGGGAGGAGGTACAATCCCTTCCCACAAATCCCTATATTTGCCGCTGCAAGTTCAAAAAATTATGTAGGCGGTGGGTGGCTACAAGGATACCCGCTAACTACTAAAACAAAAGGGAGATGAGGAGAACCTGAGAGAGAGAGAGAGAGGGAGATAGGGAGAGAGAGAGAGAGAGAACGAGAGAGAAAGAGGGAGAGAGAGCATGGTGGCTCAATGGTTAGAGAGAACGAGAGAGAAAGAGGGAGAGAGAGCATGGTGGCTCAATGGTTAGAGCGTCCGCCTCATGAACGGGAGGTCGTGGGTTCGGTCCCCGGCCGAGTCATACCAAAGACTTATAACAATGGGACCTTCTGCCTTCTAGCTAGGCGCTCAGCATATTAGAATGGAGAAGGGTAATAGTAACATGTTATGCAGGGCCCGCTGGGAGAGCAGTTTCACAACTGAAGTGGCTACCCTGGGTAAATAAAACGTTATTATTATTATTATTATTATTAGAGAGAGAGAGGGGAGGCTTTGAAAATATTACCTCTCTCTCATTCCCGTCCACGCAATGCACTATAGATCGCTTTGCTCTCTCGCATGTACTGATCATTGACATACCAATGCCCTCAAAGACACAGAGACCATGGCCATGAAACTTGTTATCAATAACAAGTGTCCCCTTTCTTTTACAAATTTGCTCTCTGTTTGCTCTCAGCAAATCAAATGCAATGATTTCAGTGGCTTATAACCTTATTGTAACTTGTCATCGATAATAAGTAACAACAACAGTGACAAGCTACTGAAAGAACTGCCTTTGTTTGGCTGAGAGCGAACTCGTCATTGAGTTTTGACACTCGCCATATTGATATTAAGATCTGAGAATGTGGAATCCGACTGAAAAAGCACCATATAGTAATGCAGCCTATTATATTTGGGTTAGTCCCCTATGCCAGACAACACACCATGATATCCTTGTTGCTGAAAAGGCTTTCGACGAGTACTAGCATAATATAGACGTAGACATACATGTGTAGTTCAGTAGTCCATTTAGAACTTCGCTGCTTCTTCCCCTCACAAAGAATAATCTATATTTGCATTGTTCTCTTGTAGACGATGATAATCTATACGTAACCTGTCGAAACTTCGTGCGACAGAGAATGCTTATATATGCATAACCCAATATACACAAAACATGTGCATTACAATTATCTATACTAGTATATACCTCAGTCACATCAACGAAACCGACGCCAGACCGACACCGGACCGAACCAAAGATTACATTCCCTTTTACATTACCCCGAATGGCCTAAAAATCGGTCGGGTTGGCGGTGTGACTGAGAAAGCCCTTCAATGACAGTCTATCGAGACGATTGCATTCCTTATGATTATCCCAAAATTCAAAGGGCCTATTGATAAAAACAATGATAATGATATTGTATTTAAAACATACAGGTTGGAATGAAGCTGATGTGTAAGAAGGTTACAACAACCTAAAGGTGTTCAGCATGTATACATTCACTTACTGAGATACAATTTACATTGCGCATATCGCCATTACACAAAGTAATTTTATAATTGATAAAGACTGAAAGCAAAAAAAGTTCCGAGTGAACTGCTTAAATGAACATCATAATACTTACATTAATTCACCGTATTTAGTAGCTGCGAAATCCCAATGGGCATAGTATTGATGTCTCTACATTACTTGTGAAGACATTATTGTGACCATGAGTTTAGCGATTGGGAGTCTATGCTCAGGAATATCCGAAATGCATCGTCAGAAGAATAGTGACACAACGTGTTTGTAGTATGGGATCTATCAGACAGAGTAGATGTTACACTGAGATAGTCATGAACAACAAAAACCGCAAACATACAAAGCTAAGATATAGTTTATATAGTCATGCACGTTTTATTATAGTTGTGCTCCATGCACACGTATAGTGAACGTTAGAATAAAAACACCCAGCTGCACTCCAGCGAGCCATTGAATATTATGTGCTTTATTCACCCCTTTCTCTCTTTTTTTCTCTCTCTCTCTTTCTTTCTCTTTCTCCGGCCTTCTCTTCGTCTTTCACGTTTCATTCGTTCTCTTTCTCGCTCTCTGTCGCCTGCTGAATAGAACTTACTCTTGCACAAAGTTATAACAAACCAATGAAAAGGCGCGGCGACGGTAACAAAGGATCCGAGAAGCGGCATTCCTTCACAAGCCCCCAAACCCAAGGTTGGCTTATTCATACCATTCGCTTCATGTCCATACCATCTTTCGACTATGATAAGAATATTATATGTATAGATAAGAAGCCATGGGCTTTAAATCCTATCCGAGGGACTTGGTGATGGTGTAGTATTACACACTTCGGTACTCAGGAGCACCTGACTACAAGACCATATTTTGCATGCTCGGATTAGCCTCACTCGGTTAAGTTTCGTCGTCCATATGACATCATCACGTTTCTTAGCACAGGAGGCAGACTGAGATGCTGTCCATACGACGCAGAAGACCCAACTATAATGTTATTGATTTTTTTTGTATATGGCATATAGACGCACCTAAATTAAACCCTGGGAGCATATTTGTTCACGTTTCAGTGTGACTTAAATGAATAGAAACAAATGATTTGAGGTAGGGTCCATGGTTGATTGAAACTGGACCCGTTTCACAAAGCCTATTTTCAATGACAAATAATAAACATCAGTGACAAATCTGCTGATAACCAATCAGAAGCAAGGATTTCAGTAGCTTATAACAAAAACTGTCATTCGTCACTCATGACAAGTTTTGTGAAACGCCCCCTGATTGAGATTTCAGTCGATGGGCCAGGCTCAAGTTTACCGAGTGGGTGGCAATGGGTTCCGCTTGATTACAAAGTTTGTCTGAGAAGAATATAAAGCGAGGAAAAAATTTAAGATGGACGTTGATACATGTCTTTGTTTTTTCCCTTGAGTAAAGTTATTTTTGTTTGATGAACAAAGTCAAATCTACCTAACGATGATGCATGGTGCTTAACAACCTAGACACTCACATGCTCTTACCCTTCATACATGTTATTATATTAATCAACAGAGCCATTCTCTACAAATATACTTCCAACAAAAATTCTCATATAAGAGTGAAGTATGGATCAGTTGGATACAGAAGTTGCTGAAATGAGATACTTGCGAGTTAGTAGGCTAACTGAAGATAATTGTGGCTAATGCTACGTGAAAAAACACTTGAAAAACTTTAAGCGTCTTTAAAAATTTGTAAAATTACCATACATTGTTAAAACATGTTACCATCATTATAGTATGAATTAATTAAAATACATGTACTGAACTTATAACATCATGTTGAATATAAGTGTTGAATAATAAGATAACAAGATAATAATCGACCTTTAAGAGAAAGTTTAATATACATCAATCTTACTTTAAAAAAAAACTATAACTATAGAAAATTCCTCCCTTTGTTTGTTAATACTATGAATGATATAAACATACTATAAATGTTTCAAACAGACATGAAGATAATGGATGGTGTTCAATTATCGAATCCCAAAATACCAACGGAGACCTTTTCTCAATCGTCCTCTTTCTACAATAATAAGAACGCAAATACTTGTGGTATTTAAAGATATCCGTTTTCTGTCTTAAAACTGCATGTCTTTACTACTTACATGTACAATATCTGTCTAGAGTGTGTTTTCCTTCGCTACGTTTGATATTCAAATCATCAAATGTATAGTTAGTTGCCCGTATCTTATCAAATTAATAATAGTTTCTTAAGGAAGAGTAATTGATGACTACTAAAGCAATGCATCGACAATCCATACAGGCATATAAGACAACGGTATCCATAGCAACTTAGCATCCCAGCCAACACTGTATCTGGTTTGTGGCCATCGGGCAAAGAGGGCGTGCTCCATGGCATGAGTGACCAGTGTGATGTCTTGTGATGCGAGGAAGTTCATGCGCTTGTGATTCTTTTCAATAGCTGTTAACAGATCAAGAAAATGAGATAAAACATTTTTTTGAGATTATTGCATTTGATCATATTCATCTATAAGCCACTGATGCTATTTACCTTGGGATTATGATTTTATAGAGGTCAAAATAATCGCAATGGTATTGATATGACGATAAGCGGACCAGACTTGATGGTCATTGTATCATTCTTTTCATTTAGCAGAGCTGCAATAATCTAGTCTTACTTCAACTTGTTTGAATCAATTTACAACATAATATAGTGGCGTATATAGATGCAGAGACCCTCTCCCAATCAATGACCTAGTTGGATACAACTGCACATGGGCAGATAAAGGTCATTTGTACCAAAATTATAAACCCATCGAGATGAACACTGGAATCGTGCTCATGAAAGTTATGTAAATATTAATCATGTAGGCAACGACGGCACATTTTCTGATACTCAGGTGGAAATATTCTTCTCAAGAGAGCAAACAAAAGGTATTCATGAAGCGCCTCCATCCTTTGGCAGTGATTATTCTAAAATGTACAAAACGGGTCGTATCCATGATTACACGATCTGTGGATATTCGGGGGTCATTCGTACCAATAATAACTTCGAACTGGTCTATTATCAATGACTTGTTCGTGATGTGGTATATGGCGATTAAAAAAACCCACAAATACACCACAACAGCTTTTTCAAAATATTTTCACCCTCTGACCGCATGAAACCTCGAACCTGTCAATACAATACTATTTCTCTTAAGTGCTAAGAAAGGTTTTCCAGATTTATCTTAATTACTTTTATGCATCAATGTTTCAGGAAACTCTTCTTTCTCCTCATCCGTCAACCTTTTCCAGGCGCCCTCTACCGTTTGAGCAATGAAATCCTCTGATGTGATGTTGGTGGCAAAAAACCCAGGCTCGATTATACTGACATGATACTGGTATCCAAAGACTTTGCGTTGCCTCCTATAAATGAATGAAAAAGGCAAACTTAAACAACATGAATAAAAAGTACACAGCGTTATAGTACAAACGGTTGCCAAGACCTTTTTTCACTCATGCGGTCATATTCTTATTAATTATAACATCAATTTAAATTAAGTGATAATAGTTATCCAATCAACAATCTGGTCATTAAAAAAGCTTGTGTGAATGAGAAGAAAAGAGAAAAAGAGAGAGAAAGGGAGAGGGAGAGAGAGAGAGAGAGAGAGAGAGAGGGGAGAGATAGAGAGAGGAAGAATGAGAGAGAGGAAGAGAGAGAGAGAGAGAGAAGGTAGTCGTCATTACCGAATCACATCTGAAAAAGCTTCCAAAGCATACTTGGACTCAGAGTATCCTCCTGATACTACGGCTAAGCGGCCTGCACAGCTGGTAACGTTCACCAGTCGACCGCTGCTTTTCTTCAGAAGCGGTAAAAACGTCAGCGTGACGTCAACAGCGCCGAATAGGTTGACTGCCATAATTTTCTCATAATTGTCTCGTCTGCTCCACTCGGGGTAACCAGGAGTACCCGCTATTCCAGCGTTGTTCACCACACCCCATAGAGCTAGTAGGTAAAGAAAGATAAAACAGTTCTTATATAATTATATTTTGTTCCGAAATAATGTACGTCTTAAACCCATTAAAATCAAAAGAAAAATCAATCCAAAGCAGAAGAGGTGAAACGTTTCCTTAATGCGCCCTTTTTTGCTTTAGATAGATATAACTTTGAAAACGTAATTGGTTTCTGACTGTTATAAAACTAAGCCTGAAACTTTGATGATCATACCTTTCTGATGTGGAATGATGTTTTTTACTCGTTCATATACATCGATGATGCTTTCATGTTTAGTCACATCCAGCAGCAATGTCGTGACCCGATCGGATGTAGTCTGTTCAAGGTCAATGCGACCTTTGTCTGTCAAACACGCGGCTATCACGTGAACACCCTTGGTATCAAGTTGCTTAGTGAGCTCCTTACCGAAGCCTGTATCACATCCAGTAATAAATACATACCTGGTGGTTGAGAAGAAAAAGAAAAAGTAGATTAGGACAAAACAAAGTGCATGTAGTCATACTGACAATAGTGGGTTTAATGCCAAGCATCCACCTTCATACAGAGGCCCGGCGGAAAGTGGCGACTCTTCCGGCATCCTACAAGGCTATCACGTGAACACCCTTGGTATAAAGTTGGTTAGTGAGCTCATTACCAAAGCCTGTATCACATTTAATACATACCTGGTGGTTGAGAAGAAAAAGAGAAAAGTAGATTAGAACAAAACAAAATGCATGGCTTTTTTAGTCTATCGACAACCCGGGTCTAATGACTAGCCTCCACACTCATCCAGGGCCCGGATCCAGGGACGGCGGAAAGTGGCAGCCTACAAGACCGACAGGCGACAGCCCTAGTGATCGACGGCACCCACTACCGAGATTTAATTTATTTGTCTATTTTGTACAGAGTAAATAATCCTATAGGCTCCTCTCAGACGATTTAACTTAAAGACGAAGAAGAACATTATACATGTAGCCTTTGCGACCGACCCCAAAATCTTGTCATGTATACGGTCGGCTTTTTATTTTTTATTTTTTTAACCGTTTTTTAGAGAGAAAAAAATATTAAAGCATTCAAAATTGAGAAATATCAACCCAAAAGGGAGAGAAAAAAAAGGAAGAAAATTTTTTTTCCGACCGACCGACCCATGTTTTGGCACCAAAAGGGCAATACAACATTTTATTAGGCCATAATGGCGTGAACATTGAACTTCCATAATTCACATTACTATAATGTATTTCAGGTGAACATGGTGATAACATAAACAGTTAAAGTGAGACTTAGAGCTGATCGCAGAAACTCTCACTAAATCCTAATATGCTGTCAGTCACTAAATCACAAAAGTCCGAGTGGGACATACTTACTTGTCTTTTGTGATGTCCTTTATATAGGGTTTTCTCATACGGTTCTCAATGATTTTCCAGATCAATAGACCCACTCCTATCACCAAAGCAACCAAACAAATATCCATGTTGACCTGAAAAATAATGGAACAGAACGTAGCAGATCCTTTTTACAAGTCGAAATACCTTATTTCAAACCTAATCGTAGACAAATAAATTATTATACATCAAGAGTAAATGCAGACGCATTGATTATAGTGGGAGCTGTTAGGGCTAAATAGGGGTTGTTTGGTGCAGATTCTTCTAAAAGCACTAAAATTTGGCTCAGAGGTAGATTATACCATACTATTACGATTTCTGCCGGACGCCAAGAAGGGCACCCTCTGGGTATGCCATATTGGGCAAATCCAAAATGGCCGCCATCTGAGTTAAAGGTCAAGCGTATAGTTCCAAAAGAAAAAGCGCTTGTATGATAATAATTGATATACTTATGGGGTTTTGGGGGTCAGAGAATCTGATTATGATATTCTTTCATCGATTTGAGATCTCCTCGAGTCATACTGGTAATATTGGTCAAATCCAAAATGGCCGCCATCTGATAGTTACAGGTCAATAGTAGTTCCAAAAGGAAAAGAGCTAAAATGATAACAGTTTATGTAGGCCTATTTATGGAGTTTTCGGGGTCAGAGAATCTGGACATCATGTTCTTTTACCAATTTGAGGTTTACTTGGGGCTGTCATGCTGGTCATATTGGTCAAATCTAAAATAGCTGCCACCTTTGAGTAAAAGGTCAAGTGTAGTTTCAAAAGGAAAAGGGCTAGTATGATAACAATTTATATAGTAAGGGGGTTTTCGGGGTCAGAGAGTCTGATTATGATGTTGCTGGTATCAATTACAGGTCTCCTTGGGGCTGTCATGCTGGCCATATTGGCCAAAAAAAAAATGGCCGCCATCCGAGTTAAAGGTCAATCGTCGTTCCAAAAGGAAAAAGACCAGTATGATAAAGTTGATAAATTCATGGGGTTTCCGGGGTCGGATAATCTGATTATGATGTTCTTTTATCAATTTTATGTCACCATCCTGTCCTTAGGCTACAATGAAGTCCATTTCCCGGTTGAAGAAGATGAGCGAAGATGCGCCAAATTCACATCTGAATGGGTATAAATCTTGGCCTGCGCCCATAATATGCAAACTGTCCTCTGTGAAATGAATACTAAATTCGTTTTCGAGGATTGGCAAGGAAAATAGATAAACAGTAGAAACAAACCATGGATAAAGAAATAAACAGCTTGTTCGATTTGTTTTGAAGCATTATATTCAAAGACCCGGACAGCTTTATCTTTATTATAAATATAAATAACGTCTATAATCACTCTCAGATGGGAGATAATACCAATACGAAATGCATTAAGTAACGTCTAGACATAAAGGTCGAATCAGCTCTCATTGGCCCGAATTCACAAAGCAAGGTTTGAGCTCAGACCAAGGTTTGAGCTCAAACCTCCTTTTGTTTCGCCAAACAAAGGGAGGTTTGGCGAAACAAAAGGAGGTTTGAGGTCAAACCTTGGTCTGAGCTCAAACCTTGCTTTGTGAATTCGGGCCATTATGTTCATGTGACCTTTGTAAAAGTCCGTTCCCGATTTTGGCGCATGCGGAGTGTGCAATTACGAACTCGCTCATTGATAAAAGAACATCATAATCAGATTATCCGACCCCGAAAACCCCATGAATTCATCAACTTTTATCATACTGGTCCTTTTCCTTTTGAAACTACGCTTGACTTTTAACTCGGATGGCGGCCATTTTTTATTTGGCCAATATGACCAGCATGACAGCCCCAAGGAGACCTCAAATCGATACAAGCACATAATAATCAGATTCTCTGACCCAGAAAACCTCAGAAATATATAAACTTTTATCATACTAGCCCATTTCCTTTCATAACTCACTTGACCTATAACTCAGATGGCGGCCATTTTGGATTTGACCAATATGACCAGTATGGCGGCCCCAAGGAGACGTCGAATCAACGAAAGAACATTATAATCAGATTCTCTGACCCCCAAAACTCTATAAATATATTATACAAATAATGAATGGTTATGAGTTCAATAGTGCGAATATTTTCATGAGTTGAAAGATTAACATTCTATTCAACGAGGCGTCAGCCGAGTTGAATAGAATTAACGTTAATCTTTCAACGAATGAAAATATTTACACCATTGAACGAATGAAAACATTCATTATTTGTTTTATACAACATCGAAGAAGATCTAATAGAACGTTAATCAACAAATTATGCTTTACTCCTTATATTAAAGATAAATTCAAGTTGGATTCAAGCCTTCTCGATTACATTCAGATTGCCTTCGCGTCAGATACACGCAGGGATACGCGCGCGCTCGGCAGAGAGGTACGCAGTCTGCATAATGCACGGCGCATAATTATAACCAAAAATGTACGACCGTGCAATATACCATCTATTGAATATCATGTGACCAACAATCCTCCAATCAAATGACAGGGATCCACGTAGGTGTTGTTTAAAAACTATTATCATACAAGCGCTTTTCCTTTTGGAACTACGCTTGACCTTTAACTCAGATGGCGGCCATTTTGGATTTGCCCAATATGGCATACCCAGAGGGTGCCCTTCTTGGCGTCCGGCAGAAATCGTAATGGTATGGTATAATCTACCTCTGGGCCAAATTTGGTGCTTTTAGAAGAATCTGCACCAAAATAACCCTAACAGCCCCCACTATTATGTGTCGGTAGATTTCAAGTTAATTTAAAACTTTTTTATCAGGGTAATGGGAAGCTATGAAACCATTTTTTGTTCTCTAATACACCAGTTTACAGTTGTGTGCGCCATTTTAAACAAAGCCAATGACCTATAGAGGTCATGCGTAAATTAAGATTGCGCCCATGCAAATTTTGATGATATCACTGCCTACGCGCTGCGTTGTGCGCGCACATCATTATTTGCATGGGCGCAATCTTAATTTTCGCATAAATACCAGAGGTCAGAGGTTATTGGCCCCAATTTTGGGGCCAATGACCCGAGGTCAACTGTCTGCGCATGCGCACTGATACAACTGTAAACTGGTGTATTGAAATCTTTTAGATTGGCTTAATACTGCTGGCTTCACATTATTGAGTGAAACACAGCCTCGCTCATTATTTTGTTGAAGAATTTCAAAATATTGCTGTATTGCAATAAAAGGTATAAGATGATCCTCTGAAATATATTTCGATACCCTAGAAAATAAACCTGTTAACACAATACATTCAGTCATAAGTCACTTATATTATCCTACCCCGGAACCAGTGGCGTACCTGGGGTACTCCGTCAGGGGGGGGGGGGGCAAGCGACCGAAACAAACAAAAAAGGCGATGCTATTTTTCACTTCTGGCGAGCGAGCGAGCAAAAAAAAAATCTTTAAGTAACGTTTGGTATATAAACTGGTATTATTGCAAGTTGGGGGTGGGAACATTCACTTGTTAGCGACGTTAATTTCATTTTTTTTTGCAAACGAGTGTAGCGAGCAAGAAAAAATCACTTCTTTTTTTAATAATTGCCACTTAAACTTGGTTCAATTGTCCCATGCAGGGCGCGGGAACAATATTGTGTTTAGGATGATTTTATACCCATTTTAGCTAGCGAGCGAAAATACATCTTTCTCTCAATGAATTGCTATATAAAATTTGTTTCATTGTTGCAGTTAGGGGGCGGGCACAATCGTGTTTAAGGCAATGTCAATCCCATTTTGGCGGGCAGGCAACCCCCTACATTTCTCTTTTTAATGATATTGTAGCAGGTTAGTGGTGGGCACATAATTCCACGAGCTAGCGAGCGTAGCGAGCGAAAAAAAAAATCACTTTTCTTTTATAGGGAAAATATGGTACATAAAACTGCGGTTCATTGTTCCATGTCAGGGACGTGATTATTAAAAGCGGTGTTATTTCTATTTTGGCGAGCGAGCAAAAAAAAATCACTTCTCTTTTATAGGGAAAATATGGTATATAAACTTGGGTTCATTGTTCCATGTCAGGGACGTGATTATTAAAAGCGGTGTTATTTCTATTTTGGCGAGCGAGCGTAGCGAGCGAGCACAAATTTTGTAATGATAATTGGTTCATAAATTTCAGATTATTTTGTTGCAGGGCAGGGCTTACACAATCATGTCTAAGGTGATGTTAATTCCATTTTGGCGAGCACGAGCACACCAAATCTTCTTTGAATAACGTTTGGTACATAATTATTAACTGGTTGTTGCAGGTTGGGGCGGATACGTTAGCGTTGTCAATTCCATTTTGGCGAGCGAGCATAGCGAGCAAGCAAAAAAAATGAATTCTCTTTTAATAGAAATTAATAAATAAACTTGTTTTTATTGGTGCAGGTCAGGATGGACGCAATCGCGTTTAACGCGATTTAATTCCTTTTTGGCGAGAGGGCGAAAAAACTCTTCCATTTTAATGATATTGTTGCAGGTCAAGGGTGGGCACAATTGTTTCCAAAGCAATGTTTATTCATTTTATTCGCGAGCGAGAAAAATGAATTAGTCTCTTTTAGTAACATTTGGTACATAATTGTTGCCATGGTTGCAGGTCGGGGCCCGTCGGGGCAGGCACAATTGTATTCTAGGCAATACTAATCCTTTTCTTTTTTCAAGGGGACGAGCAAGTGAAAACATTTAATACAAAATAGGCTAGCAAGCAGTTCGCGCCAGCGAAGAGTTTCAAATTTGTTATATCACTTATATTTTCCTATTTTCATTTGTTTTAATTTTTCAGGGCCGTATGCGGAATATTTTTCTGGTGGGGGAGGGGGAAAGATGCGTTAAAAGTTTTCGAAGAATCTCAAAAGCAAAAGGAGTGAAGGGAGTTCGAGCGACCGAACTGGTCGTGAGGGTACTTTTGCATTTTCAAAAGTAGAATTGAAGGATTTGGTATAGGCCTACACTACATTTTCAGGAAAAAAAATGTACGTTTTCAAAATATCTGGGGTCAACTGCCCCCCCCCCCCTGGTGCGTACGGCCATGGTCTTTTTTTTTTTTTTTAAATTTCCCCTTTTTTATTCCTTTCCTTTTCTTTTCCCTTTTTCTTCCTTTTCTCTTCTTCTTCCTTTTTTCTTTCCTTTTTTTCCTTTTTTCTCTTTCTTTCCTTTTTTCTTTTTCTTTCCTTTTCCTTTCTTTTCTTTTCTTTCCTCTTTTTCTTTTTTCCCCCTGGAGCCCGTCAGGGGGGGGGGGGCACTCTGCCCCCCTGCCCCCCCCCCCATAGGTACTCCAGTGCCCGGAACACATTATAGCGGTACAATCCGAGTAAAGATATAGGCACTTCCAAATATAGTGTTATCCACACATCAACGTGGATACTGATACGTTAGAAAAAATAGAATACTAATATAATCATTCAATTCAGTTACTACAGAGAGTGATGTCTGTTGGACCAAATATGCGACAGTGAACGTGGTTGAAATTAGTATACCCTGTTCGTAAACAAACTTTTATGCATATTAAAAATGAAGACAACTAGATCGCGGTTATACATAAACGACATAAATTTGTACACCGTTGTGGCGTTAACATGCATGAGTTAGATATGATAAATAAACGTTACCTACCTCTACGGAATCCTGAATCAATCTGTAGACCTTTGTGTTTCTAGCAGTGCTTAACACCAGGCAGCTCTCAGCAGCAGCTGATGACAAATATCACACCTTTCCTTCAGAAAACTGTGCCGAGCAAATCGATAATAATTTTCAATGCAAACCAGCTTCAGGCATTATAGACTAATATGAACAAAATTCCCAACAAAATTACCCCCCCCCCCCCTTGGGCTGCCAAGTAAAAATGTGATGTGCATGAAAGACGCCATCATGTGTCCAGACCCACACAGTATCCGTATCGTCACTGGGCATAAAATTAACACTTCTCTTAATTATAAATCTTGTCTGTTATAAATATTCATATAAAAAATCTTGATTTGGTGTTACAGTAATAGATCAATGTACGAGGTAAAATATAAATCCTGCATGAATAATAGTTTCATAGCAGTGCAGGAGAAAGGGGCACAGATCAGCCTCCCATTATTCTAATTGTTTAGGACGAGTATTACTCGAATTGGGGGGGGGGGGGGGGATACGAATGCATGGGCAAACCTATTCCAGTTGGGTTGACGTCTTTTACCTTAATATTAACTTTCTAGTTTCTAAATAATATTGTGAGAAGTGGAAAGATCGAGCTAAAATTAAATGCCTCCAGTTATCGTTGGTGCTAGATCTTAGCGTTTTAAATAGTGAAAATAACGACAATTATTTGAGTTAATGCCGATACGAAAATCGTGGGGGGGGGGGGGATTAAGGGGTGTCCCGGCCCCAGCCGTCTTATTATGCGTATGATGTTGCAGTTAACGCGAGACAGTATTTAAATTTATGGCATTCTAAAGTTTTGAAGAAAAGGCCTATACTTTCTGTTGACTGGCATTTTCTCCTCAAGTTCATGATTACTTACTAAACAACACTTCTGCGAATAAATTGATAAGCTAATTTTATTAGAGGACTTATTTTACCTAAATGATACTGTCAGTTATTGGTTGAAAATGATTATTACCAGCGTAAAGGGAATTTTGTGAAAGTTTTTCTTTAAATCCCTACCGGTAGCCTATCCTTCATTGAGAATGGAAAATGCAGAGCTTACCAAAGTTGCACCTGGGTTCGAACCCATGCATGGTCTTCGTATTTTCAAGTCAAGTATTTAAACCAATTGTCTTTGTAAGATAACAATAGAAGCTGGGTAGAGGTATAAATAGGCTATACATTGGAAGTATGATTTACATATGTACATTTACCTTTAGTAGTAAAGGACTGCACCTTAGGGGTACTTTGAAAATTGCTTCCCCCCTCCCCATATCCCTCAGGAGAGGACAGTGCTTGAAAACAATGTGACTGCTTGTTGTTATTGTTGGTTTTTAATGGCGTTTTCCATCGTTTTCCATCATTTTCGCCAATTCATGCTGGTAAGGCGACAAAAGGAAGACGCCATTTTTATTAGAATTTGTTAAGTTATGAAGCAGATCTTGGCGTCTAGTGCCTAGTTCATTAGAGGTGTCCCTGCCGCATCGTGTTTTTACAAGTAAATACAAGGGAGTCACTATTGTGTAAGTATGTTACTTTAGTTTAAAGCTTTTACGACCCCTAAATACAAACGCTATTTCTGCAGCGCGGAGATTGATTAATTTTAAAGTATATTATTCTATTAAGCGTTAAGGAGGAGGGGGTAGAACGTAAATCCATCGGTAGATAATATCGATCCTGTATGGGGGCTACCCCCCGAGGGTATTCATACTACTCTCAAAATATGGTATACGGAGTACCGCTACAATGGGAGCAGGGGCGGCGGGGCGTCTTCCAAGGTGGGAGGAGGGGGGGGGGGGGCACCAACAAAAAAGGAGACTTTTTGGAACTAAGGGGTACCCACATGTACAAAAGGAAAGCTCAATGCGAAAATAGACAATTTGAAGACAGTGTTATATATCCAGATATGATTACCTTATCAGGGAGTGGACTATTAAGATGATTATTATTAATATTATTATTATTATTATTATTATTATTATTATTATTATGATTCAATATTTGTTTCTGTCTTTACATGGTCCAAGATACTGCTTGCAAGCATGTGCATTATACTTTTGCAGTTGAGTGAGATGGTCTGGAATTTAAAGTTGTGTGAGGTCACAGAGTGACACAAGTTATATCTTATAAAGAAGGGGAAAAACCATCAATTCTGATGGGGTTTTAACTCACTTTTAAGGACAATCCGCAAAGCATGAAAAACTGAAAAAAATCTTTAATAAGTAAAACATAATTATATAAACTATAAATATGAGCCAGGATAGCGTGCACAATTTGGGGGAAAATAAGAAAAAGATGCTCTCAGTCGCTCCACTTATGGACACTTGTTTGGAGAAATGACAAAGGGGCACTTACTAGGGGGAAAAGGACACTTATTAGAAAAGAAAAGGACGACGTGTCAAAGTAAAAAAGGGGCAAGCATCAGAGGTAACAAAATGGGGCACTTCTCGCTCCTGAAAAGGGGCACTCAGCAGATTAAAAAGGGGCATTTGTCGAAGGAAAAGGGGTACCTATCGGATTTTGATTAGGGCATTTAACTAAATTAGAAATGTAAAAAGTGGCATTTATGAAAAGGGGGAAGGAGCTCTTAAGAAAAGGAGCGCTTACCAGAAGGAATAAAGAATACTTATTACAAAGAAAAAGGGGACACATGTCAAAATAAAATAGGCACTTATCAGAGGTGAAAAGGGTCACGAAAAGGGGAAGGGGCTCTTAATAAAAAGAAGAAAGGACACTTTCTCGAATGAAAAAGAGTTATTATAAGAAAGAAAAAAGGGGGCGTGTACAAATAAAAAGGGCGATTACATGATGTTAAAAGGGGCACTCACCAGAGATGAAAATGGGCATTTATGAACGTCCAAAAGGACCCTAATTGCAAAGGAAAATGGGCATCTATCAGATTTCAGAGGGGGCATTTATCAGAGGCGAAAAGAAGCATTTATGAAAAGGGTAAGGGACTGTTATTAGAAGAAAAGGGGGATGGTACTTTTTAGAAATTAATGACAAGGGGCCGGGTGTCAAAATAAAAGGGGCACATATCAGGGGTAAAAAAAAAAATGGCATTTAAAAAACAAGGGAAGGGGCATTTTTTTACAAATAAGGGGCACCACTCATTTGATAGGGGCAATTATCAGAGGTAAAAGGAGCACTTATATGAAGTAAAATGGGTCACCATTTGGGGTACTCGAAAAAGCAGTGGGTGGAGCACTGTACCCCCTGTCCCCCTTGCGTGAGGCGTTGCTTTTTTCAGCGGCACAGATTGGGGTTAGGTGCGTGTTGAGCCTATGGGAAAGTGTAGGGTTAGGTTTAGGGTTTAGGGTTAGCTTTAGGGTTAAATCAAGACCCCTTTAAAAAAAAAAGGCCCCACTTCTATGCCGCAGAAGAAAATAACGCTTCCAGGAGCACCACCTCTAAAGGGAGCATGTTTTTAAATCCTGAAGATTGGACTACCCTCGGCTATCCAGCTCTATATAGCGTAGCCACTTGTCGATGGCCCTCGCTTTGTTGGAGTCCGTAAATTCTGGCGAGCGAAGCGAGTCAGAGAAACCGAGCCAGAATTTACGGACTCCAACAACGCGCGCGAGGGCCATCGATAAGAGGCTATTTAATCGTCGCGCGCCATCTACGGGTACTGTTCGGCAGTACAGTGCATGCAGTGTCTCGAATTTCGCGATGTCTTGATTTACGTAACATTTATCACACATAATTAATAATCTTTATTGAATCATTCTTCTCCTCGCTGTTTGATCGTTGAAAACTGGAATTAATCACACCGGGTAAACTTTGCAAGTAGCTCAGTAACTGCTGAGCGAAGCTCGAGAGTGGAGCTGAATAACAACACTTCTTGGAGCTGAGAAGCTTACCAACCTCTCTGGACTCTGCCTTTGTGACCGAGAGGGGACGGGGCGAAGCGGCTGCGATTGTCGGCGCGGAAGATTGGAATTGAGACTGAGCAATGCAATGGCACCAAACACTTCATGGGTGGAATTTTGCGGTTCCGATTTATGGGTAAGTAGTCTATGTTAGGGCTCATCATGGGGGGGAGGGGCGGGGGGGGGGGGGGGGTAATGGTACACACACACACACACATACATGTAAGTCTTTGTAAGACTCGCGAAAGTTTGAGGAAAATATGTAAAAAAGTTATGAAATTTTGAACGTTGAGTAGTCTAGATCTAATCAATGATGAATGAAACACAAATCAGTAACCTGGCCTGGCCTAGCACTTTGTAGCACCTCTGATCGGTATCGGATCAGAAGATAGACCCCAAAAATAGGATTGTGCCTGTTCTTGTTAACCGCACATACAAGTACAACACCCTGCAGATTAGATCTTCCATGTGCAGCACTGTACATACATGTACATGTATTTCTAAAAAACTAACTTTAAAAGTACGAAGATACTCTGATACATCGTCGACATGGTGGCCTGTAGTTCAACAGAAGAAGAAAAAGAATCATGTTGCCTCGCCGTCTGTGATATTAGAGGGAGCTGGAGAAAGTTGAGCGCCAGAAGTCTCTCTTTGTAAGGATGGTTGCGGATGTCTTAAACCATTTTGATGGCTCTCTTCTGCACCTTCTCTATGGTCTGGGAGTTTGAAAAGTGTAAAAACAAATGGAGATAATTAAGTAGAAATTTAAAATAAGTAAGCTCAAATTCAGCTCCAGAATATCAGAATCTTACCTCTATAATGGCTTTAATGGTTATTACAAATAAAAACTGCTAATTGCTATAGGAAAAGAAGGAAAATATTTGTTGGAATAGCCAAATTTTCTTCTTCTTCTTCTTCTTCTTCTTCTTCTTCTTCTTCCTCTTCTTCCTCTTCTTCCTCTTCTTCCTCCTCCTCCTCCTCCTTCTCCTCCTTCTCTCTCTCTCTCTCTGTACCAATACCAATGTTGTATCCCACCCTGCCTGTTTGACCCCTTTTATGGGAGTTAGGCACTGGGCAGTACCTGCTATATAATATGAGTTATCTAATAAGAAGTACAGAGTAGTACAGTGTACAGATTGTGTAACTGGTCAGTATAGAAGAGTTTTATAGAAGTAGAAATATTCCCTCATAAAAAATCCCTGATATTTGAAATTGGATGAGAAAATACTGAAAATTTACAATTACCAAACTGCCATGGCACGTTTGTGTGCAGTTCCAATTTACTTGTTGATACCAATTTATGTGTGTAGTCATTCACTGTAGTGCATGTGCACCATCAAGGCAATTCTTCATTTTGATGATTCCAAAACCTCAACGTGTCCACCAGTTAACCTTTCTATTTCTTCTAGACTGTTTCTGTCATGATGTTATTGCCTGACCAGAACTTAACTTTATCTTTATTGATCTCTTATGCTAATAGAGCTCCTGTAATAAAAGTAGTTTTTACAGCACATTGATTGCTATAAAATGGTTACAAATATCCTAATATTTCTGATTATTTGTTAAGTTGTATTGATCTTAGTTGATATGAGAAAATTCTGAGCTGTTGTGAAACAATCAATTGTACATGTTCAAAACCATTTATATTTACAGTACATGAACTACATGTATGCACTGCCGAAGAGAATAGAATCATTTGAGAGCAGACTTGGTCTGGAGTGAAACGTGATACATGTACATGTACATGTAGTACATTTTTTAGCTCCATGTATGTGATCCGTCACATGGAAAAGAGACGGAAGTCGTACGGCTAGAAGTCAAGAAAATGGGGGAAATCGTGCAAAAAGAATAATTGGATTTTTAGGATCTTCCATGTTTCATGAACAGTTTTGCTATGAGTGTTTCGCAGTTAAGTCGTGTGCTACAATGTATGCTTTAGTGGTAAATTTTATAGCTCTCTTAAAAGCAAATATAAAAGAATGTGATTACACAGAAAGAAAGGACAAAACTACCAACACTCGTTGTGTCTCAATTCTTAGTTTATTAAACAGCAGCAAATTCTATAGTTCTAAAAAAGAGAGTTATTGGTGAAATTTGATGTTACAGTCTTGTAGGGTACCATAAGGATTAACTCTCGTTAGCTTTTTTCTCGGGTACAAGCAGGCCATGCGTGATAATTTGAGTAGTATAATGACCTGTTAGCTAATCTTAATATCCTGTGAATTGTTTCCCAAATGACTTCCTCGATTGTTATAATATTGTTTGAATTCACCTACATTGTAACTGCTGTTTTTAATCTATTCAGGAATTCTGAATGATGTTGAAAATCTATTTTCCTGATGTCATTCATAAATGAACAATGCCTCTGGATTTAGAGCTTGATTTTTGTTATTTCTTCCAGTAAAACATTAGAATTGTAGTTCATTAGAGGAAGCTGTCCAAGGGTCAGTCAGAATGCCATGAAGTCCATTGTAAATTGAACTCTGTAATTAATCCACCTTTTAGAAAGGTTAAACGTACTTTGGCAAACTGTCTAGAAGTTTGAAATTACCATTGTAAAGATTAATATGTTAATTTGCTAGATTTCTATTGTGTAGTCATTATCTGTGATGTTTGATCTGACGGTAGGCATACTGATAATGTATTCAAACAAGAATTAATCCAGGACATTGACTCTATTTGCACAGTATACAATACAGAAGATTTACATGTTTACATAGCATGCTGAAAAGAATCAACCTTGTTTACATAGCACTGACTTCTGCAATGATCAAAAACGTTCTTCTTGGGATAGGTGATGAAACGTTTTTTTCAGTTACAGTCAAACCTGCCTATAGCGACCACCCAAGGGAAACACAAAAAGTGGCGTTTGTAGACAGGTGGTCTTTGTAGACGGGTTCCTTTAGTACATGATTCAATGAGAAACCATTTTCAAGGAAAAAAAACAAATGTTGCCTTTGTAGACAGGTGGTCTTTGTAGACAGGTGGTCACCAAAGCAGGTTCGACTGTATTACATTTGTAAGCCTGTATGTATTGGGTTACAAGGAAGGGGCAAAATAAAAGAATAGATTCATTGGGGCCTGAGTCATGTCGGGATTTTCATAAACCGGGTCCCGACGGCCTTGCACCGGTCGGGACCCGGTGTCCCGAAATCAGCTCGCAGGATTTGTCACTTGCCTCTATAAAAAGCGCATATCATCAGTATGTCCCTTAAAAGTGACATTTTTATCAGTCAAATAAATCAACACATGCATACCTCGGCACAGATTGGTATATTCTTCCATTTGACATTATATTTATCCATGATTGGCGATGTTTAGTGCCATTATCGTGCCTCTAAAAGTAAAAAAACTCGAGCAAAAATATAAAGACTACAATCGAGCCGCCATTTTGATTTATGCAGGTTGAATAAATCTGGTCAAAAAATATGAATGTTAGAATAATAAAACGGCTTTCTAAAAAATTCTTCTGTACAATATACCGATCATATAATATTTTAAAGACAAAAATAAATATTTATCTCTTATTTTAAACATCGCATGCTTTTTTTTAAAAGCTGAAAATTACTTGGTAATCACAAGAAGTTTCGATACGAATAGCTGTTGCAAGGCAAGTTCAGACTAGTCTCGGAAAAATGCGCAGTGCTCCTCGTTATCTGTAATGCGTGCCAGAACGAACCCAAACAAAGACGTGATCGTAACGAGAAAAAAATCATTAAAAACTACGAGAGCACAATTGGAAAGATATACTGCTCAAAATTACCATAATCGGATACATAACTTGGACAAAGAATTCAATAATCGCCCAAGAAATGCCACAGAAATTGTGATAATCGAGGAGTAACTGGGTACATTTTTATCGCAAGGGGCCCGCTGCAAATACTCGAATCCTTTGTTATACTGCTTTTTACCGTAGAGGGCGGTATTTGCCTCGTGTTTAATTTAAACACGTTTAGATATATTGCAGCAGGCCCTTCCGATAATGATTGTACCTATAGTAACTCATTAAATATCACTATTTATGTGGCTTTTCTTGGACAACTATTGTATTCTTCCTCCAAGTTATGTATCTGCTTACGATAATTTTGAGTAGTTGTCTTTCCAATTGTGCTCTCGTAGTTTTTAATGATTTTTTTCTCGTTACGATCACGTCTTTGTTTGGGTTCGTTCTGGCACGCATTATAGCTAACAAGGAGCACTGCGCATTTTTCAGAGACTAGTCTGAACTTGCATTGCAACAGCTATCCGTATCGAAACTTCTTGTGATTACCAAGTCATTTTCAGCTTTTAAAAGAAGCATGCGGTGTTCAAAATCAAAGAAAAAATATATATTTTGTCTTTTAAAAATTATTCGATCGGTATGTTGTAAAGAAGTACTTTTTAGAAAGTCGTTTTATTATTCAAACATTAATGTTTCTTTCAACCTGATTTATTAATTCTGCCGAGAGACCCGGCCAGTACAGTAGCTAGCTAGCAGCTGGCAACAACAACCCCATGGGGCGAACTGCTTTGCAACTCATATTTATATCAGCAGTTCGGATTGATTCTGGATGAGCTAGAATACGATTGGTAACAATTAAATACTTAAGTTTTAGGGTGGATTGATTTTAGTGGTGTGCAAAACTGCAATATCTTACATATTTCATAATTTTTTTCGGAGCGCCGGTTCTCAAAAAACGAAACCGGGACCCGACGGCAACGGTCGGGTCCCGGTGTGATCGACCGTACCGACTCAAGCTTATCAGACAGTGAAAGCTTTCTTATAAAGAGTATAAATCATACAATGCAGCAGAATGTCCCCTGAAAAGGACAGCTCTCCTAATAGTTACCCCCATATTCTAAATAACCTTTGATGCTGGTAGCTGTTGGATGATTCCCAGAGTTCAGGGCCCCATTTCACAAGACTTGTCATCAGTGACAAATGACAGTATAGTATTAATGATTATATACCTCACTTAAGAAATCCAGCCATCTGATTGGTCGAAATTGCATTCATAAACTTTAACTATTTCTGTAAAATTCCCAGTGACCATGGTTAAAACAGTTCTAAAATCCCAGTAACCATGGTTACCGGGAAAATAGTTCAGTCTCCATGGTTACCCCGTAGGTTTACATGTTAAAAAATGGTCTGAGCGATCGAGGATACCGTACGTGTGCGAAGAATTGGTCGGTAATTTCAATACAATTTAATCTCGATCGATTTTACCGACAATTTTATCTTGCATTGTTGACATGAAGACGAAAATAAACTTCCAAAAACAAAAAAACAACATCTGCCGATAGATCTTGATCTAAGTTCGTGCCAATATGCATTGCAAAAGTAAAAGTAAAAGAAGGGCCCGTTTAATGGAGCAGCGGCGAAGCATCCACCACGCGAAGCCGTTTTCAATCCATTTTAATGTATATATTAGAGAAAACTGCTAGATATGGTGACAGAGCGCGATGGCCGAGCGGTTTAAGGCGCTGATTTTAGTTACATCACCTTTTGTACGCAAGAGATCGAATCCCATCTTCGACAAAAAATTTGTAATTTTTATTTTTTATTTTTTAGTCTATTTTTTTTTTGGCATATAAAAGTATTAATGACTGCTTTAATATTCGAGAAATAGTTGTTTTTATACGCTCTCGGGAAGGTTACAATTGGGCTATTGCCCTCGGCACGCCTCGGGTAATAGCACAATTCTAACCTTCCCTTGAGCGTATAAAAACAACTATTTCTCTCAAAGCAGTCATTAATACTATACTGCTTTGAGAGAAATAGTTGTTTTTATACGCTCAAGGGAAGGTTAGAATTGTGCTATTGCCCGAGGCGTTTCCCGAGAGCGTATAAAAACAACTATTTCTCGATTATTAAAGCAGTCATTGATACTTTTATATGCCGAAAACAAAAGAGTCAACTAATGACACCACCTTGGCCTTTCTCTAGTTTATCTGCACAGTTGTTTTTTATGAGTGTATCTTTGAGAGTAGACTAGATCTAGATTCTAGTCTAAGCAAGATATTTTTACAATTTTGGGGATGGGCCGGCCCCGTGGGTAATATGGAGAAGAACCTGCGCTTTCATATGACACCTCACTTATTGAGTATCACCTTCAGGATCACAACAGATAAAGGTTTGAATCTCGAATTGAAAAAAAAAAACTTAACTTTTTTTGCATGGTGGCGCAATGCAAGTAGACTGCATAGCGACTGCATTGCGTGCAAACTCTATGAGAAGAATTTTAACACACAACATCGGGTGCGCGATCAGACACCCTGAAAACTAGATCTATTTTCGTCTAGAGTCTACGTCTATGCTTTTTCAGCAACTAAACGAACATGTTTATGGATAATTTCACGAACCCTTTTTGTTGTTCTTGCTGTCAGCGAGTCTTGCATTTGATAAGTTGAAATCTTGGGAGGGTTTCTTGAGCCATTTTTGTCTTGTTTGGAATTGTCTTGTCTTGTATGAAAATACCGACCAATTCTTTGCACACGTACGGTATCCTCAATCGCTCAAACCATTTTTTAACATGTAAACCTATGGGGTAACCATGGAGACTGAACTATTTTCCCGGTAACCATGGTTACTGGGATTTTAGAACTGTTTTAACCATGGTTACTGGGAATTTTACAGAAATAGTTAAAGTTTATGAATGCAATTTCAACCAATCAGATGGCTGGATTTCTTAAGTGAGGTATATCATTTTTGTTATATACCGGTAAGCTACGGTAATGAAATCCTTGCTTCTGATTGGTTATCAGCAGATTTGTCACTGATTTTTTGTCATTTGTCAATGAAAAAAAGGCTTTGTGAAACGGGTCCCAGGAGTTCAATTATTCCTCGATGTAATTTGTTAGACTGTGATAACGCTTGCATTACCTTTTATTCTGTTCACAGGATTATTTCTAAAACTAATTATTTTCTCTTTGTGATTTATTTCAGGACCCATCCTTACTGAATGCTTCTGTACCTGATGTGACACCGTGTTTCCAAGAAACAGTGTTGTCATGGATACCATCAGCTTTTCTTGTTCTTATCACTCCTTTCTATCTCCTCTTCATGAAACACAATGACAGAGGATTCATTCCTATATCTAAACTGCACAAGGCTAAATTGGTAAGACTTCAACTATGTACATGTGTATAATATTTTCAAAACAAAACATTTTTGAAAAAGAAGTTACAGTACATGACACTTGTCCAAGACAATTTAAGCACATCATGACAATGAAATAACCTTGCTACATGTATCCACAATAATTCAATAACACCTACAAGGAAAATGATACTGCTACAGTGTATATTTCATGTAATCATACATTCTGAGCGGAAGTGCTACTGTTCGATATGATGTGTGAAATAAGATTAACCTCAAGCCTAAATGAAGATAATGTCTATTAAACGCTGTTCATAAACCATATTTGAGAATCAATAATACTATACTTGTATAAAATTTGTTCATTATATCATCTGTTCAGAGCTGGAAGGGTTTTAACTCCACACACTGTACATGTACATGTTTGTACAGTCAAACCTGCTTTAGTGATCATCTGTTAAAAAAGACCACATTTTTGTTTTCCTTGAAAACGGTGTCTCATTGAAACATGTACTATAGGCACCTGTACAAAAAGACCACCTGCCTATAAATACTACTTTCCTTTTCTCCCTTGGGATGTCTTTATAGACAGGTTTCACTGTATAATGTATACATGTAGGTATATGGATCAGTGCCCTTCTACTGTAGCTCTCCATCAATGACATCCATTGCTTCAAAGTGTTTTTCCAGGACATTTATGAGTTGAATTTTGCGCAGTTATAAAGAAAAAGGACTTTAGTAAACATACCGTAGTCTATTTCATGTCAATTTGATGTTTTTCTGTGTTGTCATGAAATTGGATATGATCAGTTAAAGTCACTTTATAAACTTTCTCTCTCAACCTGAATGGTGTATGTATACAGAGTCTTGGGTTGCTGCTCATTCTGCTACCAGTATTAGATGTGTGCAAAGGGATATCAGATATGATGCAGACTGATGGAGACTTGCCAGCCGTATACATAGTCACTCCAGCAGTATTAGCAATAACTATGGTGAGTTCACATGCAAATTAAGTTTGCTGGTATTGTATCTAGTCATGCCAACAGTATTAGCAATGGTGAGTTCATTCAGAGTAGGTTTAATTCTTGTGACTAATGAGCATGTTGAATCTTTTTCATAGTAATATAGTGATAATAGCAGATATCACATTAAAAATCCTCTTTTCACTTCCAAAAGACTTTTATATATTTCCCGATCTTTTGCTCTAGCTCTATCATAGCAGGTACCCACTTACTACAACTGGGTCAAGTGTGCCAAATGTAGATTAATGTCTTCCTAGAGGACAGTAAGTGCTGTGGCAGGGATTCAAACCCTGTACCTTGTGGTTTAGAGTCCAGACACCTATCCACTAGACCTTAAAGCACTACTGCAAAATCCCAGCTGTAGCAGTTTGGTCTCATAAGACCTAAATAAAAAAGATGTTGTATTGCCCTTTAGGGGCCAAAATATGGGTCTGTCGGTGTGAAAATAATTTTTTTTAGAGAATTTTGTTCTTCTTTTTTTCTCCCCCCTCTTTGGGCTTAATGCTTTAATATTTTTTTTCTCACAGTAGCTGTGCTGTTGGATCTCGCATTAAGTCCTCTGCCTGCAAATGTAAATTAGGTTATGGGTTACGCACTGTTAGCAAGTTGACCATGAGATGGCGCTGTGCGATAAACCGTACGCTAGGTCAGAATGTTCATCAGTTGAGTATCGCTTTAACGTCTCTACATTACCATGTTTGTTTGTGTTTCAGGTTGTAGCCTTGATCCTCATCCATGTAGAGAGAATGAAAGGACAGCAATCCTCTGGTGTGCTCTTTATATTCTATCTTATCAGTATTCTATGTGCAGTAGCAGAGTTTCATTCAAAGGCTATCAATGCCAAGGATCAAGTAAGTATTGTTGGTTTGTTTGTTCGTTCTTATTTTGTACTTTTCTCATGTCTCTGGTTCCAAATTATTAACAATCTAGGATCAATTTTTTATTAAAAAAAGGGCAATTTAAAGTGTACATGGAGCTTAAATCTTTGTCTAACAACGTAAAAACATTTTCACTGCTAGTATTCTTCCCATCTTCACTTTGAATTCTTTACATTATATTTGAAGAATTCTGTTATTATTGATTTTTAGGATATCGGTAAAGTGTATGTCATACCCGATTATATACTGGTCCTTTACCAAACATACTGCAATATCAATTCTGGAATTCATATGACTATTGTAAGCCATGAATTTCTTGTAATTTCTGGATGAAGTGTGATGGTAAATGAAAGTTGTGCAATAGTCAATCATTGAAACTACAGCAAACCTCTCTCCATTTCAAGAATTTTTTTATTCCTTTAAGAAAGATGGACCTTTAAAAATAATTCTATTTGCAGTCAGAACACTTTATTAACACAAGATATTTTTTCCCTCTTCAATGATTTTATTCTTACAGGGCTCCGAGGATGCATTCCGCTATGTGACCTTTTACCTTTACTTCTTCCTTCTGATTGGTCAGTTAGTGTTAGTCACCTTTGCAGATCAGATGCCATATGACTCGCCAGATATTGCCGAAACTGTAAGTTTACTGGATCAAATCAGATTTCCTTAATTTTATCAAAATAAAATGAAAGACAGCTCTTGGTAGTATGGATGCAGCTCTGTAATATTTGTATGCTGACAATGGTAGATGATTATAAAGATGTAGTGAAATTTATTGCAATATATTTATTTTTGTTGCTTTCTTACATGTATATCACTCTGTAATTATCACCCTGCTTATAAGTCATGTGTCATCATAAAAACCCAGCCAACGTTTGTTGTATTTGCGTTTGATGTTTGAAATTTATCTGTTATAATATGTAAAGAGCATTTTTGACTTCCTCATCTCTATACCTGGTCAGTCAGAGAGTGATAACCCATGGCTTACAGTGATAATGTATGTCTGAGATGCGTATCTCTGACTTGTACTAAATTAAAGCGTGATGAAATGCATGTACAGTTGTTTCAAATGGTAAGGACATTGTTATGCACACTGAACGCGCACTACAGTATACTGTGGGGCTGCGCTAACATGTATGTACTGTGATGTCATTCAAAGCAAATGGCAGTCTCCCCTTCCCTGTGCGATTCTTGGTATTTTGATCAGGTATTTTACTGATTTCTCGACTTAAAATCGTATTGCCGACCCGTTTTATAAATTAATTCATGTTTTGAAGTTTGTGCATTAATGATATGCACTGCACGCAGGTTAAGTCACAAGTTAACAAATTTGACGAGTCTTGTTCATTGTTTGATTGTGACTTAACCTGCGTGCAGTGCATATTCACTAATGCACAAACTTCAAAACATGAATTAATTTGTAAAGTATCTGTTAGCCATTCAAATGTTTGGATTGTTCAGGGCTAACAGTTCTAAACACTAATTAATTTGAATTGTATAAACAGCTATCCCACTGCTACATGTATAGACACACTGATATATATTGATCAGAAATGTTCTTGTATTTGATTTAAAGGCCTCGGATCATTCAATGATGAAAACCCACATGAGAATTTTGCACCTGATCAAATACTTCTAAACCAAACCAGTGTTATGTAGTACGTGTAGATGTAATAGACTCTACTGCAAGCTAGTACATCCAAGTCAATATTTGAAGTTTGCTTACTCACCGCCATAGGAGAGGATTCACTTCAGTGGCAGGCAGTGACTTTAACATCTATGTTAATATTGTTGATACTAAATTTAGATTTATGTACCTCACATTGATAACTTATGATGAAGACATTGTGAACATTTGGGTAACATTGACCATGGAATCTTTGTAATTTACATTTATGTAGCCTTTTAGACTGCTCTTTAATTGTGATTCATTATTTGAAGGAAAATTTAAGAAGCAAACAAAAAGTATGGAACTGAAGCTGCACTCCTGTCTTCATAGAGAATGATAATATAGATTTTGAAATTTGTAAGAGATAGTGAACACTGTTCATCTTGTCTTTGTGTTTGTTTGTTTCTATACAGAATCCTTGCCCCGAAGCTAGAGCCTCTTTCTTGTCTGTCATCACATTCTGGTGGTTTACAAGGTAAGCAAGGTCAAAGGTCACCAAGCTAAACATCCCACAGATTTCATCATACTGACCAAAATATCAAGGAGAACTGGCATATCTGAAAGAAAAAACTTTAGTTATTGTGACATGTGTTTACTTTAGCCAAATAACTTGTGCAACTATGTCTTGAAAATGATAGGAACTACAGTATAAAAGCTCAAGAATTACCATTCCATACAAACAGAATGCATAGCATTGACAAATATACATACATGTTGTACATTACATACCGTAAGGTTTTTCTGATAATATTTAAGCAAATTAAACGTGTTGTATGGCAGTCTGTTTTCCCACCCTTCAAATGCAGATTCATGTGTTAAAACAATCAGATTATTTTAATTGTAGAAAAAATAAACGCACCAGATGGTAATATTTATATAATGATAATGTTGGGGGTGAAATTCCAATGAAGAAAAGTGTAGATGTGGTGTATTTCTAGTTTATCATTTTATTTTGTTGTCATCAGACAAAACCAAAACAAAGCCACATGATCAACAGCACCCTGGCATGAAGCCAATTTACTAGGAACTGAAACTACCCAAGAGATCACCATCATTTCCCATGGCCGCCCTCGGAACATTTATAATGCGCTGGTATCCATCACAATAGTGATGCTCATGGCGCAGTAGAAATAGTCTCATAAACATGAACATGAGTACAAACATTAAACATGAAATCATATGATACGATACACTACACTTAATACTCAGCAGTATACGACATTGAACAAGTATGTTAAGTATTACGAATAGAGTGGCAGTTTGTTCCAAAGTAGCGCCTTGAGTAAATTATTAAATAAGTGCGCTTTGTAAGTATTTATTATAATTATTATTAATGGACCGGCATGTGAAAAAGCCCTATCACCCCAAGAATTTGGAGTTTGTGGTACAACCAATAAAGATGAATTTGATGATCTGAGATGTCTAGAAGGATTCTATACTAGGTTAATAAAACTGATTATACTGAGGGGCAGACCCATGTAGAGAATGAAATACCAGTAGAAGTAACTTATAATCTATACTATATTGAACAGGAAGCTAATGAAGAGACTGTAACACTGGCGTTATATTGTTTCTCTTGGGGGACGAAGTAATAAGACGAGCTGCAGGGTTTTGTAATAGCTGCAGACGGGAGACTTGAGCTTGGGGTAGTTGATAAAATAACGAGGTACAGAAATCAAGGGGAGATGAAACGAGTGCATGTACGACTCCTATATATACCATATTATTTCCCTGTACTTGATGTTTTCATTCTTTCATTTGTGATAATTTCATATTGCTTATGTTTTATAAATTCTCATTTGTTATAGTAATTATGTTTCCTTTTTGTTATATAATGCATCATTGATTGTATGTACAGCATGGTGATCAAGGGATATAAGAAGAGTCTAGAGAAAGCTGATCTGTGGTCTCTACTCACCAGAGATAAAGCTTCTAGAGTCGTCCCAGAATTTGAAAGTAGCTGGTTAAAAGAAGTGCATAGGTAGGTTCAGGATCAATTCTCTTAGAACTTTAATACTTCTCTTAGAAAAAACAATGATGTACCAATTTCAGTTGTATAGAAATTAAACCAGCTATCCATCGTATCATGTTCTTTGGCTGCTCTTTTTTATTTGTAAATTAGAATCAATTTTAATAATTTTAATCCCAATAATCGCTTTATAGGGATGATATCCATGGTATTGATCCAAGGACTTTGTACCATTTAGTAGACTTTATGAGAACTTCTATGTCTTCGGGGCCTGGTACATGTGTGCCCTTTACTTAATTATTTGTTATGATTTGATTTTCATGCAACATGCATTTTCCATAGAGCTAGCCAAAATTTTCCTTGTGATTGATGTATGATATATGAAATGTAGTTGTATTTTAGTTGAATAGAAATGCATCCTTTCATTTTGAATGACCTTCTAAACATGCCTTTCCTATTCTGTAATTAAAGTAGATCAATACGTAATTTAGCTTCATGTAGTATGGAGATTTCTTTTACTGTGGTCACTAATTTGTAATACTTCTTTGTGACATGATCTTGCAGGGTGAATCAATCCAAGCACAGCGCGTACTCTCAAGCCTCGCTGAATCGTCATGGTGATGGAGGTCAGAAGTATGCTATGACAGAACTCGATCCAGAAGGGAAATCCCCTAATGGTACCAACACCAAGGTCTACCGCCCACCCACTGATCCATCATCTAAAGGCAATATTGATGGTTACACTCAGGCCTTAGCCGTACCACAGGTGGAGTTTATAGATAGTAGCAGTAAAGCATCGTTGTTTAGAGCTGTCGCTATGAGGTACGGAGAGAAGTTCTTGGTTGCTGTTTTGCTCAAGTTCATCCATGATTGCTTACTCTTTGTCAACCCACAGATACTCAGGTATGTATACACATCTCTCTACAGTACTTTATTCTTTGTTACATGTGCCTTGGAAAGGGGAAGTGGTTACAATCATTATGAACCTGGGACCTTTCTTTTCAGTATAATATGCTATTCTTTGTGAGATACTCTTCTATAAACAGGACATTCAGATATCTTCATCTCTGGGGAAATTTATCAGGCGATATTTTCTTGTCAGTTTTTCTTTCTTCTCACAGCATCATGAATGATGTAATCATCACTGATAAGTCACTTGTCTTACATGCATTATTTGTTTGTGAAAGATGCTAGAACTCCCCCCCCCCCCCCTCCTGGGAATTGGCCCTCTTGGACACCTACCTCTAACCAACTATAATCTGGAGAAAGGCTCCCCTAGGACAACTCCCTTGTAGGCAGTAACACCAAGGAAGTTCCCTTCTTCCCGTCCCATCTCCCCCTCCCATCTCCCCCTCCCCATTTCCCTTCCCATTCCCCTTCCCATTCCCCCATCCTGACAACTTTCCCTTTCTTGCCATGGTTAGCTTGTGAAAGATGTTAGCTGTTCTGATAGGTATGTAAATATGTATATTACTATCCAAAGTATGCCCTTAATTTCATACTTCATTTCTGTTCCTTTGTTGCTAGATTACTGATCAACTTCACAGAAGACCATACTATTTGGCAATGGAGGGGTTTCTTCTATGCAGGAGTTATGCTCATGATATCAATGTTCAACTCTACTCTATTACATCAGTACTTTCATCGTTGTTTCATCGTTGGTATGCATCTCAGATCAGCTATCATTGGTGTGGTCTATAGAAAGGTATTTAAACAGTATTTATTTCTTCTTTATTCTTATTGATAACAATGCTTCAGTCTTTTGAACATTGTGGCATATAGACTAATTGGGCTATCTTGAGTGCTGTTTAGACATTGAGAGAACAAAATCTTTTTCCACTTTCGTCTCTTTTAAGAGGGGTACAGAATAGGAACAATGAATGTAAAAATTATGTTCGTTCCCTCACTGCAGTTAGCTGTAGCTAAAGCAGGGGTACTATCAGGGTCCTGTGTTATAGTGATTGATTGGAATCATCCGTAAATCAAACATAATCCTGGAGTGTCATAAGCAAATTATAAGACTCCATAACATTAAAGGGACTTTGTAACATTGTTCAGATGAGAGAAAATGGCACTTAGGTTGTGACCATGATGCTAGATGTACAATTAAAGATAATCTGAAAGTTTGAGTGAAATCGGACCATTATTAATGATGAAAATGGGGAAAAACTGATCTGATCGATTCCTTAACTCTCCTAACTATATCATTATAATTTGATTACATTTTAGGTGAATGTAAATTGTCACAAAGCAATGAATTGGCTCTATATACCATTTCAGACTTTTACGTGTTGAAAGATTTTTTAAAGGCTGTCTTATGTCTTATTTTCATGGAAAAACGGTTGGTAAAAATTCAATAATGGTTGGGACAATTTTTTCAGGATTTTTGCATGGTGAAGGGTAAGTACAGTAGAAGGAATATAATAAGTAACATTTCATACAAAATTTACGCGATTTTTTTCATCAACCTTCAACAATGTTACCGAGTCACTTTAATAAATGTGTTGTTTTGTACAGTCCTTACAGCTCTCCAGTGCAGCAAGGAAAGGAGCTACCGTTGGTGAGATAGTCAACCTGATGTCAGTTGATGCTCAGCGTTTCATGGATCTATGTACCTATCTCAACATGTTATGGTCAGGTCCATTTCAGATCTCAGTAGCCCTTTACTTCCTATGGCAGACGTTAGGACCGTCAGTCTTGGCTGGGTTAGGTGTCATGATTCTACTCATACCACTCAATGCATTGGTAGCTACGCAAGCAAGAAAACTACAAGTAAGGTTCCAACAAAAGAGTCATGATCATGATATGATATTTAATCACAAACAACAGCCTTTATACAAACAGTGATAGCAATACAAACTATAAATTGCCATCTGACTTATGAAATGTTTACATTCATCTTTTACAATTAAATCCCCCCCCCCACAAAATGATTTGGACTGCCTTTTTAAAATGAAAATTCAACCTTCCTATATTTGAACTAAAAAGAGCCCTTTTTTATGCCGCCATTACAAAGTAGCCGGAAGCATTATGTTTTTGGGTTGTCCGTCCGTACGTCCCGTCCGTACGTCCCGTTCTCGTGATCGCTTTATCTCTAGAACCGACTGATGGATTCCTACCAAACTTTGGTCATGTATGTAACTTGCAGAGCCAATGAATTGATTAGATTTTGGGGTCATGGGGTCAAAGGTCACAGGGCTCATTATATATGCAAAATAGCTTGTAATCGTGTTATCTCAAGAACTGATTAATGGATTCCTGGCCTACTTAGTTCATGTATGTATCTTGCAGAGCCAATGAATTGATTAGATTTTGGGGTTATGAGGTCAAAGGTCACAGGGCCCATTATGTATGCAAAAAAGCTTGTGATCGTGTTATCTCAAGAACTGATTGATGGATTCCTGCCCTACTTAGGTTATGTATGTATCGTGCAGAGCCAATTAATTGATTGGATTTTGAGGTCACAAGGGCTCATTATGTATGCAAAAATAGCTTGTGATCGCATTATCATTAGAACCGATGGATGGATTACCATCAAACTCAAGACATGTACGTGTACGTATCTTGCAGAGCCCATGAACTGAGAAGATTTTGGGGTCATACATGTTCAGTATATGAGAAATAGCTTGTAATCATGATATTCTGAGAACCTGTTAATGGATTACAATCGAACTTGAATTTGAAAAAAATCCTTCTGTTTTGGTTTGTAAAATTGCTCTATGACGGAGGCATCATTTTCGAAAACTGAAACAAGTACACATTATGAATTAATTTTTGTCATGCAAGAATTTTTTATGTAAAATTCACGTTTTATAAAGGAAGAAATGAATCCAAAAACTTGGGTCTTGACTTGATTGTAAACTTGAAGACAGAGAAGGATCTAAGGGCAGTAATATAAAAGACTTTATTGGATAACATTTTTAGCAAAAAGCTTATCTACCACAATTTCAAAAAGTGCAAGATATTTGTATGTTATGTGTAATCCATATGAAATTAGATGTCTGTATTCAAGTCAAAGACTGCCAAAATCATCAAACTTGATGTAAAAGTATTGTCTATTATTAATCAACCAGGTGAAACAGATGCAATACAAGGATGCTAGAATCAAACTGATGAGTGAGGTGCTGAGTGGCATCAAGGTGCTGAAGCTGTATGCATGGGAGGAGTCTTTCCAATCTAAGATTCTTGCTATCAGAGACAAGGAACTGAAAGTCTTACGTCTAGCTGCTTACCTCAATGCCTTCACCTCATTCACATGGACCTGCGCACCTGTCCTAGTAAGTCCCTTCAATCCCCTATACACCTGTCTGCTGATTGATTGAATTGGGATTGTACATGTCCAACCAAACATTGTGGGTTTGCATCCATTCCAGGTGGATGGCTGAAGCCCGGGTTGTGTGTTAAATAATACTTACTGTATGATAATCATAATAATAATGATATTGGATATTTTATGTCGCACATTACCATGCAAGATGCTCAAGGCTCTCCAATATTACCCCAACTTTACTAGGCTACCGATTTTGGTGCTCATAGCATTAAGTGAATTCCTTCCTACCAGTAACCATTTAACACCTGGGTGGAGAGTGGCAAATTTAGATTGATCCACTAGACTATAACACCTCCACAACAGAAAATCCTTGTTCTCTGTTTGAAGAATTCTTTGCAGTCAATTAATTTGGTGCATTCCTTATTTGTTTCCCCTTGTCTGTGTTTTAGGTTTCTGTGACGACATTTGCAGTGTATGTGATATCAGATGAGAACAACATTCTTGATGCAGAGAAAGCTTTTGTTTCAATCGCTCTCTTTAATATCCTGCGATTCCCACTCAGTATCATGCCAAATCTTATCTCAAATATGGTACAGGTAAGATATAAGGATATCATGTTTATTCATTAAAAAAGTTAGTAATTGCCCTTTTCCATCAATATTAACTACCATGGCTACATCACTTAGCAGCCAATCAAATCAAGGTTTCCATGGAAGGTACATGTACTATTAAAGATAAACTCCAGTTCTGGTAAAAAAAATTAAATGAATTCTCACAGAATCAAACAAAACTTACACTGAATGTTCAAGATTACAAATAAATGACATGTGCCAAACAATTTTGGAAGAAAATGTATGCTGGCTGAGTAATGAGCATAGAAAGACAAGGAAATCAAGGTAGTACTAGCCCCGACACCATGCATGTTGTCCTATATATAGCTTTCTGTGTACAGTGCTTGTTACTTTACCAAGACTCTGTCAAATTTATTATGATTTTGATGACTCCAGAACCTTGCAGTGCACACCAATACTTACATGCTACATGATCAACTGTTTCTGATCCCTTCCACACCTTTTCTTTCACAATGCAATCGCATTACCAAAACTCACCTTTATCTTTAATGGCAAAGTTATCATCAATTGTAAGTTTGATGCAACAGGGCTCAGGATTCATAAAGACTAACCAGCAGCAAGACTGATGAGTGTTATCATTGACATTACAAACATATGATATTGTATTATGAGAATGTGATAGAGCAAAAACAAAATGAAACAAAATACAAATGATGGCTCAATCTTATCTCTAATGTAGTACAAGTGCCTATGTGCTTATGTATGTATTTTTAATTAATTGTAGGTTGATTAGTATATATTAATTATAATTATTGAATGTATTATTATCTAAGTGCAACTTTGTAAAGCGCTTAGAAACATTGTAATAAGCGCTATATAAATATAATGTATTATTTATTTATTAAGTAGGATATGAGGATATCATAACAAAGGGATGGAGGCAGCCAGAGATATACAATAGGTTAATGTGAGTTTTGTTTCTTTTGTTTCTTTTTTTTTGTGGGGGGGGGGGGGGGGAGGGGGTTGCAAAGGAGGTGAATGGTGTGGAGGGGAAGAGGTATAAGCTCTTGTTTGTTCTCATCTGATCAGCCTGTCTTGGATTATTTGCCCTAACAGACCAGTGTATCACTGAAGCGTTTGGAGAAGTTCTTGAAGAATGAACAGCTAGACCCTCAGAATGTAGACCATTTCAACATGCCAGGTTTGTTAGAAACATCTATCATTTTCATTGATAATATTTATGGTGGTTCATTTATTTCTGCTCTTAATATATATCACATTTTTCATGTCAACCTATCCATATCAATAGGACTTGCAAATGATTTCTCTTGTAGTCTTTATATAAAAGAAGCCCTTGTCATTGTATTAAAGGTAATACAAAGTTTTAGTATGGGGTCATGAATTTGGTTCAAATGAACACATTGGAAACATATGCGATTTTACAATATTCAATGATCGTTGTCGCGGTTGAAATCAAGTCTAAAGCGATGAAATTGTAAATATTAAACTCTTTATGTTATATAGCGCCCTCTCAAGACTGATATTACTTTAGCTTTAAAACAATGTTTCTTGACTACAATCGACCGATATGTTATTCCTGTTTGGAAATTATATATCAGAACTGCATATTCCGAGATTTTCATGGTCGCAGCTACCATGGAATGGCCTTAGGCGCTGTTTGAAATATTTGAAATTTACCGGAAAAAACAGTAAATTTTGATTATTCAATTTGCTCGAAAGCAGAAGTGTTTCAGGGGCTAAAGTTTGTATTGCTTATAATACATCCACAGGGGCATCCAAATACAGTGTATATCAACAATTTAAAGATTACTATCCATCCAATTTTCAAAATTTCTCAAAACTTTGCATTTCCTTTAATGTATATCTTTACATTTATTTGATTATGTGTTTGATATTTTTGCTGACAGTGGAATAGAACTGAACTGAGGAGAAATACACATTAATGTCACATGGATTGACAAATTTGATATTAATCTTGTATTTTTTTTATGATGAACAGTGTAAATTTTAAAACTCTGTTTTCAGATTTTGCTTGAAATAATTATTTGATTAATGTTGCAAAAACAGTTTGAATGAAGGTTAACTGGAAATGTATAAATTTGTTGATAATATTTTTGTGATTATTCTTTCAGGTCACTCAATAACTGTAGATAGTGGACATTTCACTTGGGATAGAGAGGAGAAAACAACTCTTACAAAGTATGTTTAGCTCACTTTATACAGATATACCATTAATACATTTCTTAAATTATGTACATCGCTTTGACCTACATTGCATTTTTACCCTTCCCCCTTAGGAAATAGTGTTAGGTCTTAATATAACATGCATTCTCATTACAGCTGAATTGAAATATTCTGAGGCGTAGTTTTTCACTGTGAAATCATTTTTGTTTATAATTTGTAGGCTTATATCATATGTTTGTCTAAACTTTATCGCATATATCAGAGCACATAATTATTGAGTGTATTATATTGATTGCTTCATGATAGGCCAAAAACTTTTCCATGGTATTTGAACCCATTTCAAAAGCAAAGGGTAACAATATACACTTTTGTTTTTTAACATTGTGTGTGTTTAGCATCAATCTGGACATCAAGCAAGGATCTCTAGTAGCGGTTGTAGGACAGGTTGGATGCGGGAAGTCATCACTTCTATCTGCGTTGCTAGGAGAGATGGAGAAAGTAGATGGGAAAGTCTTTGTGCAGGTTAGTCTCCTTTAAAGTCATTTTGTATCGGTATATCATTGTACAAATGTTTTTTAGTGTATGGCTTTGATACCCCGATTAAAACTTTTTACAGATTTCTTTAATTCTTATTTGAAGGATGGACTTTACTAACAATTCTAATTGGCTGTGAAATTTTTGCCACTTTGATTGGAATATTAGGAAATAAAGAGGTGAAATATAACTTACATCCTAGGCCAGGAAATTACTTTGATATTTGCATGCGTTCAAAACCATTAGAGACTTCACAACTTCAAAATTTGATTACTTAAGCTTCTTTATAATCTGATGTAAACTTCTACTAAAGATTGTTCACTCCATGTGAGCTAATATTGAAAAAAGTCCAAGAAAAATACATTGTCATTAGGTAATAATGATAACATGTTGATGAATGTTTCTTATATCACTCTCAGGGTTCCGTTGCCTATGTTCCTCAGCAAGCTTGGATACAGAATGCAACACTGAGATCAAACATTGTTTTCAGTGGAGATCTTCATGTAACTAAATACAAGCATGTGATACAGTCCTGTGCCTTGGCTCGTGATCTAGTAGTGCTACCAGGTGGAGACATGACAGAGATTGGTGAAAAGGTACGATCAGGGCCCTCTTTCATGAAACTTATTATCAATAACAAGTTGCAATAAATGTTACAAGCTCCTGAAATTGTTGCTTTTGATTGGCTGAAAACAAATCTGTTCAGGAAATGTGACACTTATTATTGGTAATTTGTGTCATGAAATAAGGCCCAGATTTCAACTCTATCGGGTATTGCCATTGGTAGAAAACTGAGGGTTTCTATTATCTTGTCTCTCTGATCATCTTATAGCATAGTCCAACAGGGCTGTGAAACACTTGAGTTTTGCAATAGCAGAAGTCGGGCAATCCAATTTTGTGTGGTATTCAAACATTTATTCAGCAAGATATGAATCTAGAATTGGCTTCAATATATATGTTATTTTTTCAAATTCTCAAGGTTAAACAAATCCCTTTGCCAAATGTAAATAGCATTGATAAAAATGGTATATGTGAGACGGATAGGTGTTTAATACCGAAACTGTATTCTGTGTTGAGTATGAATATATTTTTGTTATTAAGTGAATTATGTAATTATGACAATGAGATGTCTTCCATGTGTTTCAGGGTATCAACCTGAGTGGTGGTCAGAAGCAGAGGGTCAGTCTGGCCAGAGCTGTGTATGCTAACACTGATCTGTACCTGCTGGATGATCCATTGAGTGCGGTGGATGCTCATGTAGCGAAGCATATCTTTGGACATGTCATAGGACCTCAAGGTCTTCTCAAGAACAAGGTCAGTATTAAACAGTAAACACATTTTATAAACCAATTTTAAATGGTTAAAATTAAATGATTCAAAGACTGATTTTTGTTGTTGCTGCTTCAGCTCACAATCTGCGCAGTCTTCCAGATGTTCAGTTGGATGTTGGTGGCACACTCATTAGCCCTTCAAAAACAATAAGAAACTTTGTCGTTGTATTTGTTCTTGCATGTCGATGCCTCACCATATTTCTCACATCTGTAGTATGGTTACGTTTTATTTAAGGAATATTGCTAGAATCAGAAGGTTTACTGACCAGTCTGCCTGTCATAATGCTGTGCTTTCTTTAGTTCTATCCCGTATTGATTATTGTAATGGGCTTCTCTCTACCATTCCCTTGACTAAATTGATGTGTGTGCAACGGCTACAAAATTGGCAGCCCGATTGATATTTCAGGTTTCTAGGGACCATCCATCTCAGCCACTCTTGAGATCATTACACTGGCTTCCTTTGAAACAAAGAATAATTGTTAAATTACTCTTTTCATTGAAGGATTAAAATAATCTGTCCAGGGTAAATGAGTTGGCAACAGGCACTCCATAAAAGTGTGGACTAAGTTAGTACGTGCTAACTTAGTACGCGCTACCGGAATACCACCCATTATATTTATTTGTTGTGGGGGGGGGGGGGTGATACATTATGCATTTGCAAACAATAGGTACTTGAGATATCAACAAATAATTGTTGACAGCTAGTCACACTGACAGTCTCTGATTGAAGGAGAATCCCACATATGCCAATGAAATTGGTTCGCTGCTGCTTACAGAAAGATCTCTTGGATAAGGGAGAAGAAGAAAAAAGAGAGGATTATTTGCTATCATTAAAACAATGATACAATGAAAGATCTGTCATGTTAGAAGAATCTATCACTAATCTGTTCTTAAATGCTTGAAAATCAGACATAGATTCTAGAGATTCAAGCCAAATTTGTCAAATTTCAATATTTCAGACTCATCTACATTTATGTACTTCTCACCAACAACCATCTGTGCAATGTGAATGTGTCTAAGAACAGATTTTTTTTGACGGATTATAAAAGCCAGAAATCTGAAAAATAATAGTGCATGAAATCTGAACTAATGATTAATCCTATCATATGTATCAATTAAATCTTTGATTCATATAAACACTGATGTATATATATATATATATATATATATATATATATATATATATTTATACTCAAATTTTTTTCTTCTTGACAGACTCGTATCCTGGTAACCCATGGGATCAGCTTCCTACCTCAGGTTGATCAGATCATTGTAATGATAGACGGCTCTGTCTCTGAGGTAGGCTCCTATCAGGATCTATTGGATCAGAACGGTGCGTTTGCAGAGTTTCTTCGGAATTACAGCCAAGATGCAGACGAGAAGGAGGATGAAGACGAGGAAGAGGAGGAGGAGGAAGAAGATATACCAGGTTTGTTTTACAGGCAGATAAGATTAAGTGGCCATCATTGAAGTATGGTTTTTATTTGTCAAGGAACATGTGTCTCAATGCATGTTAAGATGCAATCATGATGATGATGGTGGTGGTGCTGCTGATGATGTTTTTAATATAATACTTGTTTCGGCTACTAGTGTTATGTCACCAGGGGGCTAATCATGTTACAATCTTGTTAAATTTATTTGTTGTGATTAAACATGTTTATTTACAGCAGTCGTAATAGTCTAATTGACTCGTGTTATATACATGTACCTATTTAACCCTTTCTCTCTCCTAACCAGTCAATATATCACTAGAAGATCTAACAGAAGACAGAGAGCCAACCAGAAACCTAGAACCACTCAGAGGAAAAGCTAGGAAACTAAGGTAAAACAACTGCTATATATGTGAGAATAAAAAACCACACCCACATGCATTTAAGCGATGCAGTTTACTCAAGTTCTTTTTATATCATAGAAAAAATTAAAAAAACAATAAAAATACTTAATTTTTTTTAAAGTAGGTACCGGTATTGCTGATAATTAAGGGAAAGGTAAGGTAAAGTAAAGTTTTTTGAGCTCAATTATCTGGAGCTTTTTCGTTTTTTGAACAGGAATGTTAAATAGCACCTTCGATTATCAGGGTACTTCAATTTTGGAAAAATAAGTATTTAGAGACCATTTCATTTCATGGCAATAAGCAAATAAATCTCATAGTAAAGGGTTGAGTAATGTCAAATTATTTCTGTATGCAATGTATGGGAATAGATACGTTATATACAGTTAACTAAATTATTCACACCCCTTGTAAATTTGATGTTTTTTATGTGTTTTTCATTACACAGAAATGAAAGATGGACTGGTTGAATAAGGGCCTTTGTTGAATACTTTTAGATGTAAGCTTGAATATGTCACATTCTCAAGAAACATAAATCAGGACAAATCAATTTTTAAAAATGTTGAAACTTGGTAATCGCATGAATAATCTATTTGTTAACTGTAGGTAGTATTGATTTACGATAATGACAATCAGTATGATGTATTTATCTGTGTATCTTACAGTAAAGGCATAGAGGCTATATCACAGTATGATATCTTCAACACACCAAGTAAGAAGACAGACCATGTAATGAAGACAGACGCCTATGATGAGGTCGTGATGGGTGATACAGAGGAGAAGATCATACAAGCAGAGAAGGCAAAGCTAGGCAATGTAAGAAATATTACTCTTCAAAGATTTATATTCCTTTATGTGATAGCTTTTGAATTTATCACCATTAATTTCCAGGGTATCTTGTTTTATGTAGTGTTTTTAAAAATAATGATAGATAGTATTTGTAAGGTGCCAAATCATCTTAAAATTAAACCAATGAAAGTTCTATTCACCTTCCCTATATTGTACTCTTGTATGGTTGACCTGTTCATACAATTAAGAACAATAATCGAAGCACACTTTTGTATCTTGATGATAATAGTTGCAATTTATATAGTGCCTTTTCCACTGAATACAAAGGTACATTTTCATTCTTGTGTTGTAGAATCATTCTGTTTCTGTATCAGATGCAGGTACACAACTATTGTGTGAAATTTGGTTGGAGATTCTTCTAATACGAGTCTTGAAGAACAAATGTTTTACCATGTGTTGTTTTGGGGATAAATGTACACATAATGGCCAAAAGTTTCTATTTAGCATTTTGATGGATAGGTCTATAATACATTCAAATCAGTCTCTATAACCTCTCTATAAAGGCCACCTGTCTATAGTGGTCATCTATATTGTTCTCCTCTATTAAAGAAGAAATGTATGTTGTAGAACCCGTCTAGAAGAGCCACCTGTCTGCATTGCCCAGTTTTCCTCGTTTCCCTTGGGTGGCCTTAACCCTACGTTAACTGGGGGGGGGGTCAATTTGACCCCCCCCTGTAGAAATTTCGCGACTTCTCCGAAACCGCGGCAGATATAAAATTTTCCTCTCATGACTTTTTACTTTCGAGTCTTACGCATCTTTTAAAACAATTTTTTTGAAAATCGGACCTACGGTTACAAGGTCGCGTGACCTTTTGTCTTTGCATGTCAGCCCGAAAATCGCTCATTTTCGTGATTTGTGTACAAAACATATGTAAAAGTCATTTTTCCTAAAAATAGATAAAACATTGGTTATTCAGTCTTGTTTAAAGTTTAGATGTTTGTTTTGGGGTCAAAATAGTTGAATTGTAGTTATAAATGAAATAAAACAACAAAAACAATAAAATACATAAGTTAAAAAAACAATGAAATACATAAGAAATTATAAAAACAAGAGATAACATAAGGAATAACCTGGCTCTTCCAATTTTTTGTGTTGTACTATTATTCCAAATGGTCTAATAAATATATGTAGTGAAAAAGAATACTTACATATGAATAATCTATGATTTATGGGCCGAAATGTGAATTTTATGACCTTATTTGCATAAATTACCATAAATATGCAAATGAATGAATTTTTCAAAATTTTGAAATTACCATAGTATTCTATACACTTCACTTGACATGCATGCAAATTTTCGCGGCGATCGGCGGTGAAACGGCCGAGATCTTAGGGGGGGGTCAAATTGACCCCCCCCCAGTAAAAACCTGGTCTGAAATAGCCCAGTTAAAATAGGGTTAACAGACAGGTTTGACTGTAATTGCAACCATTCACTTTGAAGAGCTTTTACAAGCTGCTGATGAATATGACATTTATACTATGGAATGCTTTGTACAGGTCAAGTTGACAGTCTTCTGGGCCTACATCCGTTCCATCGGTGTATTTCTCTCCACTGTCATTGTCGCCCTCTACATGCTCTTCAACATCACCTCCGTAGCAGGTAACCTATGGCTAAGCCGCTGGAGTAATGAGCCCTTGGTTAACGGAACACAACCAGACTCTGTGAGGGATAGATATCTCACTGTCTACGCATTGCTCGGACTCACACAGGGTAAGAAACAAGTTATACATCATGCATTGACAAAGGAGAGCCGTGTGTTCCAATACATGTACATGTATATATATGTATATATGTATGATGAGATAATAGCTTGGGAATAATGCATTAAAGGGGGTGTAGCATGATGAGACTCTGTGTATTTCCTGTGGCCTTACTCAGGGCCAATCAGGTATAATATGACTATGGACGACGCGACCACAGTATTCATGTGCGTTCAGCATATGCAAAACCGAAGCGTGAGGAGAACTTTGGTCTGTTTCGCGAATGCTAGCACTCGCTGACCGTTAATCAAGATGGCGTTAACCAGTATTTGCCATGCTACACCCCCTTTCAGACTATAGCGTATCGAAAGAGATAGACATGCGCAAACGTAGGGGGTAGTTGTCAGGGTGGTAGTTGTCAGGGCGGTAGTTGTCCAGGGGTAGTTGTCCAGGGGGTAGTTGTCCAAGGGGGTAGTTGTCCTAGGGGGTAGTTGTCTGGGGGGTAGTTGATTGGGGGTGGTTATCCGGGGGTTGGATGTCCAGGGGGTAGTTGTCCTAGGGGGTAGTTGTCCTAGGGGGTAGTTGTCTGGGGGTGGTTGGATGTCCAGGGGGTAGGTGTCCTAGAACCTGTCTTTTCATATGAGTTGCAGTTGGGTTGTATCTTATGTGGTATTAGATCATTTCTATGTTTTGTATTCTGTTCTGTGAATAAACTTTTGTTGAACCACGGTGCCTCTGAGCATTGAGGTGGCCCCTCTGTTAATTGATTTCATGTATTTAATAGTGTGAAACCATCATTAATATTTTGCATTTAAAACATGTTTATTATTTTATAATTGAATTTGAGTTTCATGGATGATGAATGGACAATATCTCCACATAATATCCAATGATTATAGATGATACACTTATGTATCTTGGTATCACATGCACCATTAATATCTCTGTGTGTGGATGGAAGCGTAGGGTATTAATCTCTATCTAAGAGATCTTTTCATAAGAACGGTCTTACATGTATTTGTCTCAAGGCAGGCAGACAATGAAATATTATGAGTTGCTTAGAAGTGACTTTGTCTCTCTGTGAAGGATATCTGTGATGTAAAAGTTAAATGTGTTTGTTTATGTGTGTGTGTAAATTCATGAAAAAGTCTTACTGGCTGTCACTTCAGCAAGCAAGAATGAAAAAATGGAGAAAAAATACAATTCATCAAAAGATGACAACTGTCACTGCATCGGGCTAAATAGAAATGAAAGAGAAATTGCCTTAGGGTTTTCATGGCTTATCAGCAACAAATTATCCAGTTCATTGCTTCAAAAACAGAAAGAAAAGAAAAGTAAAAGAATGCTGACTATTATCATTACACCCATGTGTATCATATTCTATAGAGGGTGTTACTAATTCCATTGTCCCTTAATACTCCACTGTCTATGCCACTATGTCCATTTCCAAGCATTCCATCCAAGGAAAAACAATTCATAGATGTTGCTTATAAGTATCGGCTTGCATGGTGATGTAGATATACAGTAGGCTTGCGGTTGCACCGCATCCCAGTGACTTAAGCTCACGCACGCCAGCTATTCCCCACTCCTGACGACGGATAGTCAACCTGTTTGAAACGTCGAGCCACTCCTACCACCCATCCTCTCCAACCGGCACTATAGTTCTCCTTAGAACTATAAGCTAAGAAAGATAACCAACAGTCTTTTTCAAGACTACACCAACAGTCCTTTTCAGGACTACAAGCCATAAAAAAAAACAGATTACCGAGAGTCCTTTTCAGGACTCCCCCATCCTCCACCTCTCTCACATGGTGCAACTGCAAGCCTACTGTATAATTCTTGTCAAGTACAAGTGGCAATCGACGTGTCATTCAAATTAATCAACTGTTTGTTCTTACCACTCCCGTGACCTCCATCCCCTGCACCAGGAGTCTTCCTGTATGCTAGTTACATCCTCTTCTACAAGGCAGGGGTGAGAGCGTCTGGTCATTTTCATCAGATCCTTCTCAAGAGAGTCCTGCGCTTGCCTGCATCGTTCTTTGACACCACCTTGAAGGGTTCCTTCATCAACTTCTTTGGCATTGAAATGGATGGGATTGACATTACCGTTCCCCACCGGTTTCGATCTGTTCTTAATTGTTATCTCAGGGGGATGACTGCTCTACTGCTTGTCTCCTATGCCACGCCTTTATTCCTTGTGATGATCTTACCCATAGCAGTAGTTTTCTTCACTGTACAGGTACATGAGAGATAGAGAAACATGCTTGCTTTGCAACTATCTAACATTTACATTCTATACAGTAGGCTTGCGGGTGCACCATGTGAGAGAGAGAGAGAGGATTGAGGAGTCCTGAAAAGGACTCTGACTCAGTAATCTTTCTTTCTTTCTTTCTTTCATTTACATTCTAATTTATCAATAATATACCCTGATACTCATTTATTGCTTCTACATCCTTTACCTCAATTAATGCTCTGCGCTAGGCCTCGTCATTACCACTGCTAGTTTCTTGCTGTACACCGGTGGCGTCCTTGCGTCTAGATGCCTCCATTCTCTGCTTCTTACAAACATTATACGCTGCCCAATGTCCTTCTATGATACCACACTCAAGGGGGCGCTACTCAACTGCTTTGCCAAGGAAACGGATGAAATCGATGTTGGTATCCCGATCAAGATCCGTTCCTTCCTGGATTGTTTCCTGAAAGTGGTGTCAGTGTTGGCTGTGATCTCGTATTCCACGCCTTGGTTTATGATCATTATACCACCTCTCGGGATAATCTATTACATAGTCCAGGTAGCCTAATCTCTTAGCATGTATATGTCTTTTGTCATGTTTGATACTGTTTCACCTAACCCTCTAATAATTTTCAAGCATGCACTCAACATTGTATTGAAATCTACTTGGTTTGTAAGTCCAGTATGATTGCTGAGAAACTTTTATTTCCGCACCGATAGGAGTGTGTAACAGAAATAAGAATTCAATATTTTTGTATATAATATGTATGTTAGACACCTCTTCTGCACGTTATTTTTTTTTCTCTGTTATTTTCGGTTCACAAATGGTTCGACACAGCACCCTGTAGTTCATGAGTTATTTTCTCTTTACAATATTTTTGCTATAGCACGATATAAGCTTAGGTGATGGAAAACCTGCCTAGATGAAGTTCATAATGACTCAAATTCTTATTTTTGCGTTACATAAAGGAGAAATCATGTAGTAGGGTAGAATATATGCGCAGACATACATTTATATTTCTGAAAAAAATCATCTTTTATTAATTAATACATAGAGCACAAATACACCCAGTCTACATGTTCTTATTGGAAAGAGTACAGGGCGACACAAAAAAAGATACAGTGGACACATTCATAATAAAGAAAAAGCATATACAGTTAACAACTAAATTATTAATTCCCTCACAGAGTTTAGTTATTTTTTAAAGTATGTTAAACATTGATTTGTCCTAATTTTCTTCTTCGGAATGTGACATATTAAACCTTACATGTAAAAGTATTTAACGAAGGCTCCGATTCAGCCAGTCCACCTTTCATTAAGTTGTTTAATAACTGTACAGTATGTCAAATAAAAACAAACTGAAACTAATGCTGTTATATTACAGCTTAGAAAATATACCACAATTTTGTCTTTAATATAGACAATATAGACATCTGACAGAGATTGCACTGGAAAAAAAAAATGTACATATTTGTGCGGTACTTTAAAAATTGCATTATTAGCTTGTATATAGATTGCATCATCATGTCATATAAAACCCTATTGCACGTTAGCTAGTAATGGGAATGTGATACATGTTATCGACAACCACATCAAAAGGAAACTGCAAAAAAAAAAAAATGCTTTTTGTATTGTTCTAAAAACAGGTGATATCAGGTGTTTAATACTAGGACATTGATTCACGAAACCATTATAAGTGCCAGGTCACCGACATACACTGATACCTATGAATTAAAAATAAACACACATATCAATGGGATGTCCATTAACTTGTACCTACGTGTAATCTTTGAATCACCAGGTTTCACTCAATGTGATCCTGGCTAACAAAAATATCAAATAAGAACAGAAAGCAGATATTTGAATCTGTTTTGATTCTATGAATGGATCTCCCCTGGATCCCGGCATTAATTTTGCTCACTCTTTTCTTCATTTACTAAATGATCAAGATACTACCAAGCATGATGACAAGTATAATATGTAGCATTGCATCATAAAAACAAAAACAAAACAACATGATATTATTCATCAGAAGGGGAGGGGTGTAGAGATGCCCTCCTTTTGGAAAATACGATCCATCATCCCTGGATGGCCCATGGCCCACGGCATAATGTCATATTTAAACAGTAGGATTGCGGGTGCACCATGTGAGAGAGAGAGAGAGAGGGTTGAGGAGTCCTGGAAAGGACTCTGACTCGGTAATCTTTCTTTGGGGTGTGTAGTCCTGAAAAGGACTGTTTGTTATCTTTCTTAGCTTATAGTTCTAAGGAGAACTATAGCGCTTGGAGAGGATGAGTGGTTCGACGTTTCGAACAGTTTGACTATTCGTCCTCAGGAGTCTGTATATCTACATCACCATGCAAGCCGATACTTACAAGCAGCATCTAATGTCATATTTGTTTCTGTTCTGCCTAACGCAAGAATCCCTGATTTTACACAGGTGTAGTTGCGACCTTTGCTCTGCTGCTTCTGAGCTATGGAACCATCGTATCATCAGGTAATCTTCATGCCATGCTCCTAAGGGCTGTACTGGCATACCCTATGAGGTTCCTTGATACCACCTTGAGAGGGACACTACTGAACTGCTTCTCAAGGGACATGGATGTAGTAGATTATACACTGTTCTTGAAGGTAGAAGGCGTCATCTTGTGCATCCTGGAGGCTCTCATTTCTATAGTTGTTGTCAGCTTTTCAACGCCTTGGTTTGTTCCAACTTCTGTTCCATTTGTGGTACTCTACTGCCTTGTCCAGGTTTGTATATATGCTGGCTGGTCACAAGAAGTATTGCACGACTTAATTTTCTTTTGTTCTTGAAATAAATAACTGCTTTAAATGTATTCACCTAAATATATACTTGGAAAATAAAAGCAAACTAAACGTAATATTTGCCTTGCCTATTACTGATGCCTGTTTAAATCTGCTTGGTAATTATTGCTCATATTAACCTTCATGTATATATGATTGCAGCAATGTATGTTCATGTATAGTATCCTAAAAGGCCATACAAAATATCAAATAAGCACAATAATTTTATGCAACAGGCCCCTAATTGGACTGTTCTTGTCAGCTCCTGATCCTTTGATTCCTAATCTAAGACAGTATCTGACCTGGTTGTCTTTTCAGTACCTTACCATTTGATAGGGAGTTTTGAACCAGTCTAGGAAGTTTCTGATCTAGTGGTCTTTTCAGTACTTTGTCATTTGATAGGGAGTTTGGAACCAGTCTAGGAAAGTTTCTGATCTAGTGGTCTTCCTCGGCTCCTGATCCTTTGATAGGGACTTGTCTCGGACAGTATCTGACCTGGATGTCTTTTCAGTTCTATACCCTTTGATAGGGAGTTTGGAACCAGTCTAGGAAAGTTTCTGATCTAGTGGTCTTCCTCAGCTCCTGATCCTTTGATAGGGACTAGTCTAGGACAGTATCTGATCTGGATGTCTTTTCAGTACTTTATCATTTGATAGGGAGTTTGGAACCAGTCTAGGAAAGTTTCTGATCTAGTGGTCTTCCTCGGCTCCTGATCCTTTGATAGCGACTAGTCTCGGACAGTATCTGACCTGGATGTCTTTTCAGTTCTATACCCTTTGATAGGGAGTTTGGAACCAGTCTAGGAAAGTTTCTGATCTAGTGGTCTTCCTCAGCTCCTGATCCTTTGATAGGGACTAGTCTAGGACAGTATCTGACCCGGTTGACTTTTCAGTACTTTATCATTTGATAGGGTGTTTGGAATCAGTCTAGACAGTTTCTGATCTAGTGGTCTACCTCAGCTCCTGATCCTTTGATAGGGACTGGGTTAAATTAATGCTGACAGTTTTTGTCAGGTTATTCTTTTCTAGTTACAAATTGGAGGGTGCAAATTTTCAATAGTTCAGGCAGGCTTGTAACAAAAGAAGGATTTCTAAAACAAAAATTAAGCTTCTGCCAGCCTTTAACCTATGTCTACTTGTGTGGGACTTTTAGTGTGGTGTAATAAGAGATTTCAAAAGTGAGATTTATTTTACAAATGACTATTAAATGATGAGAAAAATTGAACATTCTTTATTTCTCTTCAATATTTTTTCTTCTTGAATGTCACTTTTATATGATTGTTGGACAGGTTGATGTGACCAGCTACATGAACAACTTGGCTGTGCAGTAGACAATGATACAGTTCACTCTCATTCTTTATCCCTACTTCTAACAGTAACCTATTAATATTTTCAACAGCCTTCTATTACCTGATGAAATTGATGGAAGCCTTACTGACTGTTGTAATTGAAGAAAGCTAGAAGAAAGTAAATGTAACTTGTTCAGGAAAGAGGGTGTTATTTGTTAAATAATTCCAGAGAAGATATATATCAGGAGGTCATCCATATTTTCTGAGAGTAACATTAAGTCATCTTCCAATACTACGTGCAATAATCTCTTCTGTTTTTGTGCTTCTAGAGTCAACAAGTCTTTTCTCAATCCCCTTTGACATTAACATCTGACCTTCTTCCTAGAGGACGATGAAGGGCACAGAACGGATTTCCAAGCATTACTTTGTTAATGTGTCTTCTACTCTCAAGTCTATTGTGGCACTTTCATAAAACATTGTGTGCCTCAGTCTCATGCTACTAATGATCAATCTCTTTCCGTTCATTTGTCTCATGATTCTGACTCTTACTCATATCAAAAGCATAAACCGTGACTGCACTACTTGTAGCTACTTGCCCTCTATATAGCAAACAATGCCTAAGCGGTAACCGTTGGTCCCCCACGGTCCCCTTTTTCTTATATTAATTGAGAGCTGAATTGATGAGATAACCACCTGCCAGGGACCACACAGGGAGGTCTAATCCCTTCTGGCCAAACTCTTGCCGATAGGCTTTAAATGATGCAATGTCATCGATGACAGATTAACTAAATTTACAGTCATATCATTTTCTTTCTGATTTTTCCATCTAAAATTCTTTGATCAGGCATCATAGCAATCGCAGCCGTCAGCATCCTTCGTCTAGGAACCATCCGATCCGGTCGTATCCTTCATATCCATCTTCTCAATGCCGTCATTCGCTATCCAATGGCTCTCTTTGATACCATCCAACGTGGTAGTCATCTCAACCATTTCTCAAAAGACGTGGATGTCATCGACCATGACCTTCCAGAGAAGCTGGATGATTTCCTGACGTGTGCCCTAGATACTATCTTCTCATTCATCATCATCTGCTTCTCAACTCCTTGGTTTATGCTAGTGGCAGTCCCACTCATTACGTTCTATGTTGTAGTACAGGTCAGCAGCTCACCAATCATTGAATACCTCACCCCTTTTGTCGCTCCTCACCATTTTGCGTATTATCAATCATTTGATTTTTTTAAACAATATATGGTTGCAGTCCCCTGTGATAATGCATGCAAATTTCAAGATTTGTTGTTGTTCTAACATTTTAGTTGCTGTATCCAATATCCTGAGTGCATGTGTTTCTATCCCTTCTCACCTAATGGTCTTTTTGTTGTGCACCAAAGTTATTTGATTCAATTTGATGTATTTTGTGATGGCTTAGTGTTAAAGCAGTGCTCTCGTAACTTGTACCCCTGAGTTTAAAAAGTTGGTAGAACTGTAGATGCCCGAGAGCCTTGCCGATAGTCATTTATCTTCCATTGCAAAGTCCCTCAGAGAGGACAGACCTTCAGTAATATATTTGTAGGTCCACCTGTTGCTTAACTACAAGCAGCTGTACAGGTGTACTACATGTATGCAGGTACAGAGTACTTGCTTTCTAAACACTCATGTAATAAAAACATCAACTCTCCAAGCAAAATCATTGTTAAATCAGTGTAGAAATACGCTGTACACAAATCATGGGGTTAGCACTACAGAAACCTTCTCGTTGTATTCCATGACAAAATAATAATAAAAATAATTTCCCCCTTTTATACAGCGCTTAATACAATCAATGACGTCTCTAAGCACTTTACAGATATATTAAAATTACATACAAGATAACTACAGAAGAAATCAAACTAACTTGAAGAGGTAATACCCTTCAGAGTCTGCACATTCATGAATATGTTCATTTAAATTGTATTTGTACATGTAAGACTCTCTGTGTGAACAAAAATTGATACAAACTTACCAAATGCACCCAAAAAAGAAGAAAAGAAATAAACAGCAATTTTTAAGACATTTGTTAAGACAAATTTTATGATAAAGACTGTGCACCTAGCCACCTACATGTACCTTTAGGTACATTATACATATTACAGTCTTTACGATCAAGATTCAAGAACAATAATATAATTAGAAGGTGTTTCATGAAGTAATATTTCTGTTACAGGTACTGAAACTCTTTGACATATAGACGATTAACAGTTGCTATAAGACGGGTTCGAGAATGTAGCCAATGGCAAACCTGTATTCAAGTCGTGTGTTTATGCATTAATTTTGTTCCCATCGCCCCCGGCTATGCAATTTTTGTGCTGCAGTATGCAAGTCGTATGCAACACTGTGCAAGCTCCATGCAGCACTCATGATCTTGATGCCTTCAAAGTTCAGAGGCACAATGTACAATGCGCACAATTTCATATTCCATGATGATACGCACACACCAAAGGAGCGCATTGTACATGTGTTTGTCTGGGCTCGCACCTTGCATGATGTGACGTCATCCGATAATGCAAATGGCGGCTTGTGCGACTCCTTGTGTGTGTGTGTTTGTAATTTGGTTTTTACAGACGTTTATCAATCAAATATGATTATTTACGTCAGGGGACCGACATGTAACGTCACCATCCGATAAATATGATTCAGTTTCGAACCGGGGTCGTCTGAGTCAGTTTGTAGGCGAAGACAGAGAGCTGACCAAGTGAACAATTGCTTTTTGATTAGGTTTTTAATCAATTTCTCAACTTTATACTCATATTGTAGACCCCATCTTATAAAATTTGGTTAAGTGACAACGAGACGGACAATGAACTCGACAAGTCTTGTTCATTTTCCTAATGTGACTTAACCTGCGTGCAGTGCATATGTACTAATGCACTCGCAAACATATATTATTTGTATGTTATGTTTCCATACATGTAGTAGTTTCCTCCAGAATGCATCAAACAGTCAATCATACAATGCAGAAGGAGAAATGTAGCTGTTTTTCATTTAGGTGGTTAATGAAAAAAAGGGGGACAAGCTCCCTTCATCTCAGAATTTTGAGAAAATTAAACAGTATTGTAGAATGTTTCCAGATTTAAAGTTGAATGCCCCATGAATATATATAATAGTGTTCATACATGAATATGATGGCTAATATTATTCATAAAATAGATAAAACCCCCCTAACTTACTACTCCCTTGCCACTTTGACAGGCATGTGGATATATTGTGGAGATATGTTACTGTACACCGGCGCTGTCAGGGCTACCTCTCACATGCATCATACCATGGTTGTAAAGTGTCTCCGGTATCCGATGACATTCTTTGAGACATCGTTGAAAGGTCAGATGTTGAACCGGTTTGGTAAGGATGTAAACGAGATGGATACGAAGATGGGTGACAATATGAGGACCATGTTACTAGTAGCAACCAAGTACATCAGGACTATAGCAGTCATCTGTGCTGTACTTCCTCTCTTCACCATCATCATTCTACCTCTAAGTCTGGTTTTCATTTATATGCAGGTACTAATAATTGCTCTTGGCTTTTGTATGCATGTATCAGTACTTTTAAACTTTACAATGGGTGATTTTACACTCGATGTTGGTGTTGGTGTTGATGTTCAGAGACACATAATCAAGTTGTAATACAGCCATTCAGATTAATAGGCTTGTATCCTAACACTGCTATTGATAAGCCAACTTACAGTGGCTATACATCCTTTCAACCATAGACAACCATGCCATACACTCTAGCTGAAGCAATGGCTTTCTTGATGAAGAATTAAGGTTTTATTTAAACTTATCAATGATTACTGCAGTATCTCCTAAAGTCTCACTTTAGTTAATAAAGAACAAAACCTTCTTTGATCTTCTGAGTTTCAAGTTTTTATTTCACTTCTCATTGTTTTTTATTGCAGAGAATGCTGCATTATACTGTATAAAGAAATTTCTGCTTCCACCCGGTATATGTACATGGTACAAGAAATTATCCGGTGACTGTCAAGCTTAGTTTAGGAGACAACATTTGATAAAAAGCAATATAGTTGGTCAGCAACCTGAGCTGCATCATAAATTCACAGGTCAACCCTTTTTATGTTGTTTTATGTTTGGTGTTAGATTAGGATTGAACATCAATCAAACACTAACCTCAACTGGTGTTGAGTGTAAAATCACCCATTATAATTACAAATAAATGTATACAAATTCGTTATTTCTGCATTCAGTGTTTAAACAAATAAAAAAGATAAAAAAATAAGGTTAATCTGACTGTTGCACACTATTTATAATTAAATCAATTATATACACTGAACCATGAAAGGCCCCTAAAAACAATAAACATATGCATACTCATGCATCAGGATTAATCATATATAATCATCCTCTGCATTCAACAGTACATGGGTTGTATGGGATGTGCGATAATAAGCTTTTACGACGTCACAGAAGCAGGATCATGACTTATAACTCATTCATCATTATAACATGAATTTACATTATAGAAAGCGGCTGTTAACATGGACATGTGAAACACATTGTAAACAAAAAGAAATCATTCTGCATACATTGCGTCTGACATCTAATACATACGGTACATCTACTGTACATGCCATCGAAGACCATGTTTGTCTAAAATATAGAATTGTTAGAACAGGGTCTTAAATTTTGGCATTTTTAGATAGGTTAAGAACTTATAAAATAATTCAGATGTTCACTTTCTCCCCCATCCTACCCCCAAAAGAATGAGATGATAAAACATAACTAACACTGTTATTGCAAATATTAAGAACACTAAATTTTAGTCCAAAGAAAGAACAATTGTTTGTTTTCATGCAACGTCTATGTATAATATCTTTTACCAATAATTAAAGTTTGCCTCTTTGAGATTTGTTCCCTAGCAATGGAATAGTCCTTGCCTTTAAAGAGTTCATAATGTATCCATTCATCAATTATTTATCTATTTGCCGTTGTAATGCATATTCCAGTATACAGTAAATATCCCAGAAAAAATGAAAAGAAATCTTGTTTGCATATTATTTAATTTTGATTCAATTAAATGATTTCATTCTTTGACAGATAATTCTCATTCAATTTGCGAGCCAGAACAATTTAGCCCTAATCTAGCAACTAGCATGCTTTTTATGGCTATGTTTGAAATAATTAATTGCCAATATACTAGTAGATACATGTACATACTGATGTTATCAGACAGAGCTTACATCTACATGTACTTCTCAACATATATTACGCCTCCACTTCCACACAGAATATGAAACATGTATTTGCACAAATAGTTCATACTAATCGCATTTCTTTACATCATATGATCTCTAATTCATTGCATGATTTTTGGTGAATAATGATCATCTGAGCAAGCAATTTTTAATTATTCTGACCACTTTTTATTTGTTTTCACAATCTCCATATTCTCAGATGACAGGTACCAGTTTATTAATTTCCAAACAATTTTATCCCAGTGTAATGACTAACTTGTTATCCTATGTTTAGGTCTACGGTGTCTTGTTTTTGTTTCTCTGGTAAATCCATGAAATTGTGATCCGTTTTGATAATTTCTGTCTTGCGATTAATTTATTATGAGTATTTCTCTCTTCAAACCCTTATTTTATACGTTTATTTATCAATTTGTTTACAGAAGACTTGATGGAAAAATGATCCTAATCGATGTTGTATGAAGCCTTTTTGAATTTTTATGTTCATCAAATTTTATTTCACTCATTTTCTTCCACAAAGCCATTCACAAAGATTTCTCTCCATTTTGCTATTCATCTCAGCTTCCAATTTACTAAATAATAAGCTCTGGTTATTTGCTATTAATGCTGGTATTTAATGAACCATTTTGTGAGTCTCTCACTTCATCTTTTTGAATACTCAGAAATACTTCATTTGTGTCACAGTGCTGCGACCGGACTTACACTGTACCAGCTCTTATTAATCCCATCAAGTATCATGTCATTGTGGGATGCCAGTGCATATTAAAGATGTTTAGAAGTACTTTGGCCTGTTACGGGAAACTGTAGAGGTCTAATGTGCGGACATCCATTGAATATGATGAATGTCTATGTTGGAAGCGGATGTTCATGAATGTGAACATGGACTTCTGATGGTTTCTTGAAACTGCCTGTGGTTTTAAAATCACATGGTCTAGGCCTGCGTTTTTCAACCTGGGTGCCAAAGACATCTCTAAGGGTTCTGCGAGAGAGAATTTTAGCAATACAAAAGAGTATTTAATTTTATGAGGAAATAGCATTTTAAAGGTAATCAGACAAGTGTTTATTTCTTGCTCGCTCGCAACCTGTAGAAACATGATGAAATCAGGCAGCGTGCCTCCATGAGCATGCCTCCAAATCTGAGCAATGAAGTGCCCGAATAGCCTTCTATTTCAGAACAAAGTTCCAAAAATATATATCATATCTTGTCTATTGACTTTACATATTTGCGCTGGGCTCGCTTGCTTCACTCGCTCGCTACATTTAGAAACGGGATAATTCCAGGCAATGAGATCTCAGAATGTCCTAAGATTCGTGCATTGAGGTGACTGCACATAATGTCTCTTCAATTCATTCACGACAAGGTGTGCCAAAAATGATCCTTGAACAAGCTTCATATTCAACCATACACAGCATTCAATTTAACCTGCCAGTTTATCAAAATATGATGTCCAGTTGTACATTCTCAAATATGGGTGTTGCGCTCATAATCATGCATTACAAAACAGCATCATCTGATACCTCCCTAGTTAAATACATTTACAGCAGTATATCTCTTTAAAATGAACAAGTTTATTTTTTGGTATTTGCCTGAGTGAGAGTTCTTTAAAAAAACACTTTTATTTAGCTGAAATAATTTAAAGGTGAGCTTTGATAATGTGTAAAAAGGGCAGTGAATTTCATCTTGACTGTGTTGCAAATGAAAATAATGCAGAACAGTTGTGAAATTTGATTTCACACTTTTTTACCAAAATAATGAATAAACATTTGTTCATTTTGAAAAGATATACTGTTTTACATACAATCTGCTCACTTACTTATACAAATAACGTAGCATATCTACCCTCTCGCTCCATTTCATAAATTGTACATAAAAATATTTACCATTGCAAAACATCAAACTAAAATTCATATGCTTTAGCAGTCAACTGCATCATCTTATACATATATAACGTAAACATGCAAATCACACAGATAATACCAAGAAGAACATCATATTACATGTACAATCCCATAGTGATAATAATGTATATCATGTTTAAAATGCTTGTATATTTATTTGGTTAGCTATATGGATACCTATTACTGCACGTCATGCTGCTCTGCACCCCTTTGTATTTCATCCCTTCCCAATATTATCTGTATTTGATCGACATGTTTGCTTTGCTTTGCTTTGCTTTTACCCACTACCTAATATTTGTTTTCAGAGACACCACTAACCTTGTTTGACTGGTGAGAGAGGGGTGTGGGACCTAATTGGCAGACAAGTAATACAAAGATTCGTCAATGAGCTAGAAAAAAAATGTATTGTCAGATCTAACATTGGTAAAACAGGAGAAACGGTCCTGAGATTTTCAATTTTTAAAAATTATTGTGTTATAATATATTTTCTGATCTGTCATTGAGGCGTGAACAAAAGAAATATTCTATTTTGTTCACATAATCTCTTTTTTTGTGGGGATATCACACACTCCCCTATCCCACCCCTTTAGGGGTGCCTCTAGCCCTGGGTGCTCTGGGTTTATATGTTTCTAAAATGTTGTTATTATTATTTTACCCAATTCCCATATGATTTGCTTTGCATGAGTGGCTATTAATTTGATGTTTGCTCAAAAAGTTTGCAGCACCGTTTTGTAAGTTATATGTTACAGCCTTGTTCAGAAATGACGTGGTAAAACCACATCTCTAATAATGAGACAAAACTCAGGTCTTTGTTGCATGCACTTGCCATCTATTTACACGCTTTAAGAAAAGCTGCTGAGGATTACCTCTTGATATGTGAACATGCCTTAATGAAGGATATTTTTATATCACAACTAGAACAGAAATTGTCTTTTGGAAATATTAGAATTTGCTCGTGAAAATATTTGCTTTGATTCATAAGTTAGCAGCATATCAAATAGTGCATGCATACAGTTGTCTAGCATAGATGTACATCTATCACATGTTTTTGGCTTGCCTTTTATAATTGCACAAATGTATTTTCAATGTTTGATTGTCTGTTTTATTAACTGTTTTGTTAAACTTCATCATGTTGTTTTATATTAATTCTTATAGTGAAATTGAATATACTGTACACGTATCTGTAACGGCATTGACTTTCAAATTATATGTAGAGGAGTATGGTAACTTGAATGGAAGCAGTCGCACTAATCCCCAAAGCCTGTGAAAAGCAGGCCAATTTTACCCCATCTACATGTAGCCTATGCACAGAAAATGGTTAAAAAGAAGTGATATAACTTGACATTTCAAATAACACCCCCACCCCCTCCAAAAAAAAAGAAGGTCAAAACCATCCATTGATAAGGTTGTTAGATGCCCCTTATAAGTGTAGTGAAAATTTAGGGAAATTTGAAATTTAAAAAGTTTATTTATGAAATAGTAAACCAGAACAAACAGTTCTATGATCACTTTACAGTTAATTTGTATAAGTAGCAAAGTTGTTTCTGCCAAAAATAATGTTTTTGTTTAATATATTTACAATATAAACTATAAAAGCAATGCTTTAAAGGGTCATTCAATTTGAGAAAAACAACTATCATTCAATTGTCATCATGTAATGATATATTTATTATTATGTTATCTTTCTCTAGCGGTTCTACATCTGTACGTCCCGTCAGCTGAAGAGACTTGAGTCAGTGTCACGCTCACCCATCTATTCACACTTCTCTGAGACGATCGTTGGTACAAGCACCATCAGAGCATATCAATGTCAGCAAGACTTCATCAAACACAATGAGCAGCTGATTGATAACAATCATATCACATACTACCCTAATATCATCTCAAACAGGTCAGATTATGATTTCAAATGATTTTTATCTTTCTGAATCTCGTTCATTTTCTCTACCATTTTCCACTCAGGGCCCTGTATTACAAAGAGTTGATATCAATCGCAACTTCAATCGCAACTATGTACATAACAGATAGGAGATTGCAAACTTGGGATTGATTTGGATCAATCGTAACTCTTTATTAGACAGGGCCCAGGTGTGATTTTCTAATTGTTGTATTTGTCCATGTCTTTGTCAGTTGTCAGACTCACACACTTTTGTGTTATTTTTGTTGTGTGTGTGAAATTGTCACTTCTCCTTCACTTTACCCTGCGGTCATTACTTTTGTAAGATGTAACATGTTATGTTTTCTGTCTACAAGTGTATATTGGATGTCTGTCTGTGTCTCTCATTTCTCTGTTTCTGGACTTTCTGTCTTTTCTCTCTCTGTTTGCATCTGTAATTAAGTTAAATTTCAGTTTCAATGATAATCAAGATAGTAGTCGATGTACTTTGTACATGTTATGAAAACATGCTTTCTTATTTTGACAAATGTTACTCTGCATATAATTGCAGATGGCTTGCCTTGAGACTAGAGTGTGTTGGGAACTGCATCGTATTCTTTGCGGCTCTCTTTGCAGTGATTGGTCGATCCAATCTTAGCTCAGGCATCGTAGGATTGTCCATCAGCTATGCCCTGCAGGTAATCTTTCATTTTATTTTATTAATGACCCACTGCACTACATATACCTACTTGCTCCCTCTATGTAGCAAACAATGCCTAATGGGTGACCATTGGTTTATTCCAACTGGAATAGTGAGACATTGAGTCCTGTTCTTGTACATTATGTATAGTAGTCAAACATCTTTTAGTCAGGACTATCCAAACAATTGAATAACTGCAGGTTGGTGCATTACCCAAACAAAGTATGTTAGAATTCCAAACTCAATCTCTCAAAATTGTCAATACGGGTATCATATTTTTGTGCTGTATCTAGATGACCATTAAAAACTGTATGCTCTATATTCTCTGTGTTGATATGACAGATCACCCAGACATTGAATTGGATGGTGCGAATGACCAGTGAGCTAGAAACCAATATTGTTTCTGTGGAGAGAGTCAAGGAATATTCTGAAGCACCGACAGAGGTAAGAAACCGTCTTTCCCCTCCACAGCAGGGTGTTTAACCATCTAGGTGATGAGCTGTCTAGGATGATAGCTGGTAATCTTGTAGGACAGCTATCACTTAGGAGGATTGTATGTTGATTACCTATCTGGGATGATTGTATATTGATTACCTATCTTGGATGATTGTATGTTGATTACCTATCTGGATGATTGTATGTTGATTACCTATCTTGGATGATTGTATGTTGATTACCTATCTTGGATGAGTGTTGATTACCTATCTTGGATGATTGTATGTTGGTTACCTATCTGGGATGATTGTATGTTGATTACCTATCTTGGATGATTGTATGTTGATTACCTATCTTGGATGATTGTATGTTGATTACCTATCTTGGATGATTGTATGTTGATTACCTATCTTGGATGATTGTATGTTGATTACCTATCTGGGATGATTGTATGTTGATTACCTATCTGGGATGATTGTATGTTAATTACGTATCTTGGATGATTGTATGTTGATTACCTATCTGGATGATTGTATGTTGATTACGTATCTTGGATGATTGTATGTTGATTACGTATCTTGGATGATTGTATGTTGATTACCTATCTTGGATGATTGTATGTTGATTACCTATCTTGGATGATTGTATGTTGATTACCTATCTGGGATGATTGTATGTTGATTACCTATCTGGGATGATTGTATGTTAATTACGTATCTTGGATGATTGTATGTTGATTACCTATCTGGGATGATTGTATGTCATGTTGATTACCTATCTGGGATGATTGTATGTTGATTACCTATCTGGGATGATTGTATGTTAATTACGTATCTTGGATGATTGTATGTTGATTACCTATCTGGATGATTGTATGTTGATTACGTATCTTGGATGATTGTATGTTGATTACGTATCTTGGATGATTGTATGTTGATTACCTATCTTGGACGATTGTATGTTGATTACCTATCTTGGATGATTGTATGTTGATTACCTATCTGGGATGATTGTATGTTGATTACCTATCTGGGATGATTGTATGTTAATTACGTATCTTGGATGATTGTATGTTGATTACCTATCTGGGATGATTGTATGTCATGTTGATTACCTATCTTGGATGATTGTATGTTGATTACCTATCTTGGATGATAAACCTTAGACAGCTATAACTTCTGTGATTGAGGACAGTGGCCACATTCTATTTTGTTGGGGTAATTGTCGTTCAAGGATGTAGATGTAATTACTGTCTGTTCATATTATCTAATTTCTTTTTCATACTACGGGTGAGACAAAGGAACTTCAATTAATGATGATACACTATTGATAGTGTTAAAAAGATGAAATTAGACATGAGAGAGAAGAGGAGAGGGAGAAGGAAAGACAGAGAAAATGTGTGTGTGGGTGGGTGTGAGAGAGAGAGAGAGCGGGAGGAATCAACAAAAACATTCTTTTGAGTGAATGAAAGAAAGGAAACAATATATATTCTGATAAAATGACATCACGATAATGAGAAGTTATATTCACAATGAGGTGTCTTATATTCACAATGAGGTGTCTTATATTCACAATGAGGTGTCTTATATTCACAATGAGGTGTCTTCTTTCTTCCACATTTAGGCAGCTGCTATAGTAGCAGACAACAGACCTGCAGAGTCATGGCCTGATGAAGGCAAAGTAGAGTTTATCAACTACAGTACTCGTTATAGAGAAGGGCTTGACCTTGTCATCAAAGGAATCAATTTTACTGTCAAGCCTGGTGAGAAGGTAAGTCCTCAGATATACATGTATTTTGAAGAGGTCCATAGGGCAATCCGTCCTTTATTAATTTTATGAAACAAACTAATGCCAAGTTTGTAGGGATTCTAAGTAATTGCACACTTGAGGACCATGAAGTGCAAAGCCCATATCCAAGTTTAGTCTAAGATGGAGTTCTACAAAGTACAGCTGAGGTCTAAGGTTAGACATGGAATGGATTCAGTGTCATGTTTAACTGAATCAGTAGAGTATAATGTTTGTGGAATACTACAAGAAGGAGAGGGTTATGTTATTGCCATGGTTATACTATTACTTTTACCTTGTGCAAAAGTTATTGATGCTAGCCACTTTTACAGTCTCTATAATGAGTTACAGTATATAGTTAAACAGTACCTAACATTTCGTATGGTCCTTTGATATGAATATGTATCACCTCCTACTAATCTGAGCTTCAGTGTTATTTGTTTGTAAATATGCATTTGCCACCATCAGATTATGTTGCACTATCTTACGCCCTGGTGCATTAATTGAAACTTTCTGCAAACCAATGACCAAATACAGTAACGAGTACCAATGCTTTTAACTTTCAATGAGCATGAACATGTTCATTTCTATGTGTGAGTGTCGCTGTAGAGTGCATGTACCTGATGGATTTGATCTCTGTCTGTTCTCAGGTTGGTGTTGTTGGAAGGACAGGAGCAGGGAAATCTTCTCTGACCATGGCTCTCTTCAGAATCATTGAACCTGCTGAGGGTCACATTGAGATTGATGGTGTGGACATCTCATTGATTGGTCTCAAAGATCTAAGGTCTAAGATCACCATTATACCTCAGGTAAGATACATGACTCAAATCAAATTTGACTCTGAGATTGATATCTAATCTATTCATCTCAAACTGTGCTAACCATATATTTTGGGGCGTGTGTGTGTGTTGTGTCTGTGCGAAGATTGCTAACAAAGCATTAGATATCTTTCAAAGGCTTGTATGAATTTGCATCACAATTCGGGATTTCCCTAAATCATTTTAAATCAAAGAAATGTTTCTTATCACATGATACTGAATTTAAGTGGCAAAGTGTAGAGATCATAGTCTCCATTATCTTATTATGATGAGCAATATGTACATCTTGACAGAGTTAGAAATAATGTCATCTGCAATTCTGCATGAATTTCAAGTATTATTAATTGTATTTACCTTCAGTAAATGTACTAGCCTAAAATGTACATGAATAAGTATTGTTGATAATATGTAACCCATTTGTAGGATCCTGTCCTGTTTGCTGGACCTCTACGTATGAATCTGGATCCATTTGAGAGCTATACTGATGATGAGGTCTGGCTAGCTCTTAGACTGTCTCATCTAGCAACGTTCATCTCTAGTCTTCCTGAGGGATTGCAGTATGAGTGTGCAGAGGGAGGAGAAAACCTCAGGTCTGTCATCTTTTTTTTTCTTTCATGATCTTAAGAATGATAATACAGTCAAACCTGCTTTTAATAGGGACCACCTGTCTTCAACGACCACCTGTCTACAAAGATAACATTTTTAATTTCCCTTGGAAATGGTTTCTCATTGAAACATGTACTAAAGGAACCTATCTACGAAGGCCACTTTTGTGTTTCCCTTGGGCGGCCGCTATAGACAGGTTTGACTGTAATAATATTATGCATTTGTATTGCCCCATCTCTCTAGAAGTTCTATTCTGAGGCGCATAGTCTGACTGATATTTCACTCATTTCAATGAAGGCACATTGTTGTTCAAATTGTAGCTCAGTCAGGATTCTACTCAAATTTAAACCTGTTGCTCGTCTTAAGCTTTTGTTCAAAATCGGCTTTAACAAAGGAGTTAGTCTGAGTTCCTGGGGCGGTATTCTGAACCCTGTGTTATCTCTAATATTGTTGTATCTTTGGAGATAAGATAAAGTTGGTATTCTGAACATTGTTGTAACTTTTGTTGTATCTTTTGTTGTATCTTTTCTCTAATCTGTTTGGTTGCGCCTGAGTTCAATCTTTGGTGTGCTTGTAATTGTGCTTATTAGTAATAAAATGGCGCTTAATCCTCATTTGCATATACGCACGAGAGATAATATGACACGATAATTGTATTCTGAAAATTGTTGCATCTTTTATCTTATCTTATCTTGCATGGTATTTACAACAATATTTACAACAGGTAGGGGGTTGTTGTATCTTTCGTGTTGATATAATAGCGGTAATATTTCTTGCTCAGAACCAACTTCGTGCCAATAGACGAGTTAGGAGAAATTGTGTGTTGACCGGAAACATTACAGATGAGAACTTTCTAAGAAATTACATGCTAGGATATGATGATTTTAATGCTCTCATCTAAACCTATATAGTGAAAGCGTGATTTTTCTTCATGATCCACATGCCACAGTGCATATGATGACGCGTGCAATGAGCGCTAAAAATAACTAATTACGCCCAAGATTATTATGCACTAGGCGCATTTTCAGATAAGGCATAAAGTATTCCTATTGGTTGACCTACTTATCATGCTTATATAAAACAGATTTTGATTGGTAGGGTCCATACAAATGGGCGTGTCAACAGTGGTCAAAGATAAGATAGAGGCGGTCCTTCAAGAGATAACACGGATAAAATGATGTTCAGAATACCAACTTACAACAATATTAGCGCTGTGTTATCTCTGGAAGATACAACAAAAGATAACACAAAACTTACAACAATGTTCAGAATACCACCCCTGGTGTGATTCCTCGTGGGGACCAGTGACCAGTGACTTACGCCCTTTATGGCCTGGTCACACGTAGACGACGAACGGCCGGCGCATTGAAAATCTGAAAAAGTTGTGAGCCCGACTTTTGTCAGAATTTGGGAGAAGTTAGCGCGTATACAGGGCGTGTGCTCTGCGTTGGTCTGGCGCGCTCCATGCATGTCTGGCGTCCTTTTGGCGTATACATTTAAACATGCTCAAGAAATCCTGATGCACACAGCGAATGACGAAGAATGCATAGCGTTGGTCCAGCGTTGGTCCAGCGCGCTCGATGAACGAGTAACGCATGATGACGCACACCTAGCGAACGACAACGCACTGGCCAAAATTGCAAATTTCCTATGCGCTGGCCGTGCGTCCCCTTTGTGTGACTGGGCCTTGAGCAAGACACATTACTTCTCTTCATCATGGTAGTGTTTGGTTACCCAGTAGGATGCGATTGTCATTGTGATAATGTAAGCACTTTGGTCAGTTGTAACTAGTGAATTGCTTGATGTGAAACAGTTCTTATTATTTGGATGAGGCTGCTTTAATTCCTATGTCTGAAACGACTTTAAGCTAATCAATATTGTCTGCTTACCTTTCAGTGTTGGTCAGCGGCAGCTGATCTGCCTTGCGAGGGCGCTGTTGAGGAAGAGCAAGATCTTGGTCTTAGACGAAGCGACTGCAGCAGTGGATCTAGAGACGGATGATCTCATCCAGACTACAATACGAACAGAGTTCGCAGAATGTACAGTCATCACAATAGCACATAGGATCAACACTATCATGGATAGTACCAGGTATGATGCTCAAATTTGCAACTTCAATCTTTCTGTACTCTTGGCAGGAATTCCTTCCTGATATTTATATATAGTAAATTTAATGTTTGGATTAAAAGGGGAAGTCCACCCTGATAAATAGATGGTATTGGTAAAATCGAATGTTATTTCAAGCTGAATGAAACAAAGAATAGACTCAGATCTATAATCCATTTGTCCTTAATAAGGATTTTATGTAAAATGATAACCTACCAAGACATGAGAATTGTTTAGGTAATATATTTGACAAATTTGTATAGTCATTTGTATTATGGTCTTTTAATAAATATCTTTTCAGTTCAGTGTTTGTAATATGTTATGTATTTCTCTTTCAGTCAAACAGTGATTTGTTTCTCTAAGTTCTTATTTCTCTCTCTCTCACTCACTCATTGTGTGTACAATCATTCTATTTTGTGTCCATGTAGAATCTTAGTGATGGATGGAGGAGAGATAGCAGAGTTTGACACACCCACCGAGCTACTTACCAGTGGAGGGATCTTCTACACTATGGCCAAAGATGCAGGACTTACCTCATAGTACATCTAGTGTGAAGTCTACCCCTTTGACTCCCATCAACTTTTTACATGACTGAGTTGGTATGTGAAGAGTTCTTTAATAGGGAATATTGTGTGTATGAAATGGCTAGAATTTGTGAAAGAGGTTTAATTAATATATGGTCTAAATCATAATTTAAACATCGTCCGTGGACTGCAGTAAACGTAAAGAAGTGTTTATCAGCAAATGGATTGCTTGCCCTTTAGATGTAAGATCATATAGGTTCTATGCTTATGGCGTTTTAAACCATGGCTTACAATTAACCTCTTTTGTGAATTTAAGTTAGTGTGTCAACAGTGACACTGTATTTATCTTTAAAACAGTCATGAAAACACCATACTGAGAAAAAGCAAAATCTTGTGCAAGCTTACAGTGACATAATCTCTCCATTAACATTATATTACCTCAATGTGTTGGGTAGATTCTACTTTATTTGCAGGTTAAAACCATTTTGTGTGAACTGGTCGTCGGGAGTGATTACTTCATTTAATACCAATGAGAGTTTTATTGACATGTTCACTTTTTAAAACAATGCCTGTATGGAATGATCCTTTAGAAAATGAGTTTTCTTGTGTGTGCAATCTTTGGGCACGTGTACATATTTGTAAGAGGTAACGTAGTGAATCTCTTCTTACAACTCGATCTATTTGCAGTGCTTGCCTGAGGAAATTGAAATTGTATAATATTGATGTTTTGTATTTTCTTCATGATGCCTTTATTGTACATGTACCTCCTCCATCATCTACCAAAGATATTATACAGCAAGTTATTATGATGGTTTAACTTTGATGAATAAGTTTTTAAATGCCAATCAAACCTTTGTTGATTTTGATAAGAGCAAATGAATATGAGAAACAGACTGGTGAAAGTTTTTTTTTTAATGGGTAAGTTATGAAAGTTATGAATGATTGTGAGTTGAGATCTATATGAATATCAAACTGGTATTATGACTATAGGGATATAGTGTCATGTAAGATTGTTCTTGCATTCGTTCATCCATTGAGATGTTGTAATTTCTATTACCTCCTAGATAAAACTTTCCACCAATTGTACTCAGAATTTAATTGAGAACATGATGTTTAATGAACCTCTATTAGTCTAGAAAGAGAAAGAGAAAAAGTGATGTTTTGGCCTTTCACTGTAGCATTCTGACATTTCACTTCATTCAGAATACAATTATCAGCAAATCAAGAATTCTGTCTAAACATTAATTTTAAATTGTTGAATTTTCACCAATCTGTTTCTCTGATTTTTATGCTTAAAGGTAAAGACCAGTTATGGTCATGCGATTGCATTGTGAAAGAAACATTGTGGAATCGATCAGAAAAGGTTGATCATCTAGCATCTAGCATCTGCAAGGTTCTGGAATCATCAAAATGATAAGAAATTTGGCTCATTCTTCGTAAAGTTACAAGCACTATACACAGAAAGATGTATATGGGACTACCCTATCTCTCTCACCAGACCATGAGAGAAATAAATTTACCAAATATATGAATTAGTAGGCAGTTTCCCGGCAAATTTTTTATCATCATGTATTAGTCAAAACATATTCTTTCACATGATTGGTAATGAGAGCTTCCATTTCATTTTTTGAAATTGGGGCGTTGCCAATACTGGTCTTTACCTTTAATGAAATAAAATCTTGAGAGATAGTTCTTTGCCGCATAAAGTAATTAGGTGCCTATATTTAAATGATGAGAATGTAGCAACACAACAGAATCAGACAGTGATTGAAAAAAAAACTTGACTTTTCATCTTTTAATTTTTTAACCTTGGTAAATAATAATAATAATAATAATAATAATAATAATAATAATCTTTTAAAGTCCACTTCAAATTTTATTAAGTTCAACCGAAAATGGAAATTCTTTTTGCCCAATCGATCGTGAGCCTGGCAGCCACTGAGCAGCGCCAGACCGACGTTGCTCTATCTCTATGTAAGGGTGGATACAAAATAATTAATGAACTTAATAAAAAACGTGGCAATAACTGGTATGTAGGCTTGGTATGTATTACCAAGGAATATGTGAGGCATAAACAGGTGAATTTATGTAGTAAATGTTAGTTCATTATCTGAACCTATAATCATTCAGATAAAGTATAACATGTATTCTATGTATGAGAGTTGTCATGTTTTTATTCTATTTATTTTGAAGACACCAAGTGCTGTGTATTTTTATGGACATGTATTGAGAGATTTCAGGTTGATTGAATCAGATATTTTCATATAGTTGTGCACCTGATATATCATATTCATCTATGCATGTTATTTTCCGTAATGACTATCCATGGTATACAACATACTTACATCGATTACAGTATCGATTAGTGATTAAAATGGTCTTTGAATTGACATTGAATTGAATTGACATTTATTTCCATCATCATGACAATATATACAAAGATAAAAAATTTCATAACAGGTAACAATATCAAAATTACATATAAATTAACATAACAGCATTAAAAATATGAAGAAAATATTAAGGTAAATATGTTGCAACTCTTCATAGATCATCGAAACTACCCATAATGCACTATCCATGTATACGAATGTACAAGTTGACTTGTTGTCTTGTTACACTGTTTAAGACATAATTAATTTCCATAGAAGTCCATTCATGTGTATCAAGAAGTAAAGTGGACATTCCTTTCGAAGGGAAGTGATTGAGATGAAGAGGTAAGAATAGAAAGAATGAATCGTCTGTTTGGAGCCAGAAGGGCGGTAACTCTGTTATACTATATGAGATAATGCCCTTCTGGCTAGCTCCAAACATATGTAACGTGAGAATAAGGAGAGTGAAGAAGAAAAAGACAATGAAAGAGAAACAACTTTGAAATCACCTAACTACTTTTTACATGTATGTATATCATCTGATAGAAAATGTTGGAAATGAAGGAATGACTAGATAGAAATGGTATTATTTTGTCTAAAGATATGACTTACAAAGGTACATTGAAGTTGGAGACATAAAGACCTACAGTCAAATATAGCTAAGTTGTTTGTTGAACCACCATTAAAACGTATTGTAGTGTTGTGACATTTTAACTGCAATGAAATTCTGATTATACATATTGTATATGTATGTTTTAAGTGATCTAACAACGAAAGAGTTATTTTTAAAAATCTCAATATTTTACTCATTGGTTTTATCCCCCCCAAATATGTTATTTGGATACAGTCTATTGGCCACTAGGTACTTACTGTCAAAAGAAAGAGTTTATGGTTAAGGCAGTTAATGTATTTCATTGTGTATAAATCAATTGATGCTGAGGTTTACTAAGCATGGTGTGCTGATATATATACATTTTAAACGGTAATGTAAAGTTGTCGGTATTGTAGTCAGGTTTTAACGCATTAATTACAAATTTTAAAAAATTGAGAACTTATTGGATTTTCACTTGACAATACGCCAAGAGACTATTGAACAGATTTTTGTCCAAACCAACATACTTTTAATAGAATTCCTATTGTAGTGATGTTAATACTGCAGAATTAACAAAGTTTACTATAATATATTATTGATGCAAAGTTAGAGTCTTGCAGTGGTGATAAACCACAGATTTGGAATGTTGATTGAGCCTAGACACCCATGATAAAGATATCAATGTTGTATACATGCTGAGTGAGATGCTTACCCCTTCAAATAATACAGGACTTTTTGTAAAGTCACAGATTTTGATTTACTGATGCCAGAAGCCAGGATGTATTGAAGGCAACAAAACGTTAAATATATTTCCAAAGGAAACTTCTCTCACATGAAACTAGAATTTAAAAGAATCCTTGCCAATTTATCTATCTTCAGACCAATACTGGACCTACTCTCCATGTTGTCTTGAGAGTGTGGTGGTAATATGCATGTTTCAAGGGGTGATGATTTACTTTGAGTGGTTAACATTTCTATTACAGACATTTCACCATTTTCTTTGTTTTAAAACAAAGTCTGTATCAAACTACATTTTAAGATAAAAAGATGTTATTTTTGTGCATTTGATGAACACAATAAAAAAAAATTAAACATGAATTACTTTCTGTACTCTATTTCGAGTTTCTTTCTAATATTTTGTTTTAAGTGCATTATATGGAAGTTTGACAATTGTGAAGAAGAGAATTGAGAGAAATATTAGATGTTTTTATTCATAACTGAGAATACAAGGTATTCATAATACCTCAACCTCCTACGAATCTCGGCTGTTAGGTGCTGAGAAAGGTTTAGAACAGGTTGTGTCCTCGTTTCTTGATAGATTTTTCCCAGGTATTCAATGGAGGTGTATCATAGACAACGAGATTTGTTTTAATGGTTCCGGCCAGAACAATACTTTTCTAATACTTTGAGTCACAAGAATGACTTTTAAAATGTATTGAAATTATCCATGACAATAAAAATCATTATGTAACTGTAAACACTTTCTATATTAAACTGAATAACTCTTTCTCTCTTTTTCTTTTTCTGTCGTTTCTCAATCTTCCTCATTCATTTCACCACTGTCTGTCTTTCTCTTTCGTTAATTCATTAATTTCAAAAATATAAGGAGAGTGGTAGCTTCTCAAGGTGATCTCGTGATGCTGCTAAATGATTTGTTTTTGAAAAAAACCTATAAAATGATTTATTAACGATTACTGATAAGGATTTTAACGTTCATGCAAAAGTTTTACATTGGTTTGACTGTCTAATCTCATGACTGATTAAATGTTTCTAGGATAACGGTTCTACTCACCTTGAAATTCCCGGGAGCAGAACATTTTGACATTTTCTGAGACAGTCTTGCACTATCAATAGAGAAGCATGGTCTTTGAAAATTCATCCATCTGACCAAAATTGAGAAAGAAAATATTGTAGATATATTGTTTTTTCTAGACTCCATGTTATTATATCAAACCTATTCTGAAGGGTGAATTTTTTATTTGCAACTATGATAATAATGTTTAATTTTGAATAGGTTAACTTAATATGCCATTATTAGTTTTAGGGTCAAAGAGGAATTTTTTTCACAAATCTATACGATAATGTATAAGGCTTAATTGAAGAAAGAAATATCCGCTACACGTTTGCATGTTCCTTAAAATATTTCTTGTTATGGACTAATTGAAGTAAGTAAAACAGTGAAAAGCCGGAATACATGCATTACCTAGCTTATATGGGGTTGGTGACCGTTGTTAGAGACACTAATCCTTTCTCATTACGGACAGTTTTGTTTTTGGGCATGCCTTTTGCCTTATATTTCTTGTCATCATCCTCGCTCACTTTCCTGGCCACTTCCCCGTTCATACCAATTAGCCCAATCGGAGTGAGAAGTGATGAAGTCTTTCTGCCAGCGATACTGGGCCTTCATAGGAGAAAGGCTGCGGGGTCGGGTCTAGATTTGAGTCTTCTAATTCGTCCAAAAAATCATTCTTTGGTGTGTTATTCCAGTTGACTGTAAACGAAGTCATTGTTCATACCAATGTGAATGGTCCGTTCAACAAGAATTGAACAAAATAAAATGTCTTCCCAGTGAAAAAGAATGGGGACAGATAATTCGTCAAATAGAAGATCGCCAGAAGATTACTATGAATTGAATAGAGCATCTGCTAGCAGCAAACCTTAACCAAACATTGAGAACAAGTTTGTGTTGATAATGCCTGCTGATGTTACATCGCGTTTCGGATAGTTACAAGTGTACGCGCATATGTTTACGTCATAATGCGTTTTATTTGCGCGTATGACCACGCCATAATCCCACAAACACACAAAGGCGCCAGTAGCGGGGGGGGGGGGGGGGGGGGCTGATTGATTGATTGATTGATTGATTTTTATTCGACAAGCTTCCAACATACAACAATATACAATAATAACAGATTTTAAAAAAGTCAGCTTGAACAGGATAACCCACGAAAGCTCGAGAGCTTATTTCCAGTGGGGTCCCTTACAGACATGTATAAATTAATAAGTTAAAATAGTAATATTTACAGACAGATAAGACAATTAAAAGAACTACTTCTTTGGCTAGAAGTGGAGGCCGAGGAGGACAGACATTCCATAAAAAGGGCTGGGAGTAAAGGGTCCCCTTGGAAGACATAAAACGTAGACATCATTCTACCCAGTTCAAACTACATCTTCTCAGTATTACTGCCCTATTACCCCTTATTTGAATATACAATCCACAAATTATCCTTAATATGGAGGAAAGGGTTTATCCCACTGGCTTCGGTGCAGCATTTTGGTTGGGGTAATAAACTTGCCCACTAAATTAATATGGGTGCCATCCCTACTGTTTCGAAACGCTGGCGGGCGATCGATGGCTGGATTGGCATTGAATAGGCAGGGATTCACATTATTTGAAAAATAGGATTATGAACAAAGTACATTAATTCGAAATTTGAAAAACTATGATAACAAGAATTACAGAGAAAATTGAAATTGAGAATTTAAAAAAAATCAAGGACTGTTATTAAGAACAAATATTGAAACTTCTGATAAATAATGGAAAGGGCAGTAGGATGGGGTAAATTATACCGTCTTGAAAAGGATTATTTACCGAACTCCTTGTCTGTTATGGATTGATATAGTCAATGACCTTTTGTGTTTACTCCATCTACTTATTATTGACAATATCTTGCCACAATGCGCTTTCATTCAAATAATTCGTAATCTACTTAATCTCTTGCTAAACGGTTTAATCGGTAATTATAATCCAAAATAAACTATCATCAATACCACAATATATTTTTATAGGGCTATTAGTATTGTTACTATGAAAGAGATTAGAGAATATAAACACAATCTGATTATAGGTCTGTTTTTGTATATAACTGAATAGTCATGTGATTTAACCCTTGGTACCTACGTGACTTCAACACGAGTAGGCATCTATTCTTAAACTTATTTCTGTTTGTACTTCGCATATTATTTTAAGTCACGAGTGCAATACTGTTTTGCGTCCAGTATTTCAAATATTTGCACGAGCACTGAGCGATGTTGATTTAGATTTTTCAACAAAAAAATAAGACGCCCTACGTAGCCTTGTGGGTTATGAAGTACAAACACGTTTCTCGAGATTTTCATAGCTATAGTTCTGGGTCACCATAAAGACTGGAGTAATACACACGACTTGCTCACATTTGACAGACAGCTTGTTCAGAGGAATACTCTTCGCAGTTCACTTTGTGCTATCCTACTTCGTCAGTTTCTTACACTTTCTTTCTTTTTGGGGCAGCCTTGTAAATGCAGATGAAGTCAATATGATGAAAACAGTGATTTTAATGGGGTTATTACTCACTTGCAGCTGCCTTGCACAAAACTACGAATTTGCAAGTAAGTATTAAACATGAATACTATATCTTGTTATTTGTTTTTGTTATGTTTGGCAATCTATTGATAAACCTTTGCTGGTTAGAGTAATTAAGTCCCGTTCACGTATGACGTCACTGTGCCTGATGTCTGAAAGTGTCTTAAGTCACGATTGATTGAAGGAGTTAGAGTTTATTGTATGTTTTGTTTTGTTACGAGGCCTTGTTGTACTCATTATTATTATCATTATTTGTATTATTATCATAATATTTAACGACTAGCTTATGTGCTATTATCTGGCCCCTTCTAGTTTTACCAACCAATAGTTTCTCTTCTTGTATTATGTAAACACATTGTACGAAATGTATTACTGTATTGATGTTGATAAATAAATTCAAACAATCAAATTACATTTTCTTGAAAACTGATATTACTATACATGAATTTTCATGGTATCCGATCGAAACCAGCATTAATATCAGACGGCAAAGAGGCACTTAAATGGACGGTCCAATTAAGGTGGTGTTTCGCAAAGATCCTACTTTGAACTTATCTCTATTAAAGTCGGACTTAACAATGATGGGAAACCGTTAGCATCTTTAAAAATATTTTGTAAAAGTTATTTAAAAGGCAAATTAATATTGATCCAAATTATCCATATTTTCTATTATCAACAAGATTTCATGATCTTGATGTGTAATTAATCAAAAGACTAAAGTACTTGTATTTTTTAACTTTTGAATATGTTTTATTTTAAGGCTACAAATGGCTCTCCATAATTTTGAAGTCCAACTTAGAGTTAAGTTCGACTTAGGATCTTTGTGAAACACCCCCCTGATGTTGCAAATGTAAAAGACTTCGCCTCAGATGAAGCATATTTCTATTTGATTGTTTACTCATCATGACGTATTTGATAAAATGCATTGGAATTTAAAGATTATTAATTTGCTGCTTGGACATCACAATTTCTGCGTGAGACAGATGATACAATTAACGGCAGTGGCGGATCCGGGGGGGGGGGGGCCGGCCCCCACCCCCTTGAGATAAAAAATCATGTAAAAGCACGTGATTTTTACCTGTTTGGGGGGGGTGCAAATTTTTAAATTTTCGAGGACGAAAAAAAAAATGTGCTCACTATTCCCCCCTCTCCTCCCCCCCCCCCCCCCCCCTGAGCGACTTTTCGGCCGGCGCGATTTTCAAATTTCGGAGCAAAAAAAAAAAAAAAATAGTGCTCACTACTCCCCCCCCCCCCCCCCCCCCCCCCCCCCCCCCCCCCCCCCCCCACTAAGCGACTTTTCGGCCGGCCCGATTTTTACATTTTCGGAAGCAAAAAAAAAAAAAAAAAGTTGGGCCCCCTCCCCTAAGAAATCCTGGATCCGCGCCTGATTAACGGAGTCATTCCCATTCAATATTTTACTTTTAACTTGGAAGATAAAAACGAAGACAAGCGGAAAGTCCATTTTCCTGGCATCATCTAACTTTTATTCATTCTGACTTATGATACAGCGTTCATGCATTCTTAAAGATCGAATTAACTTAATATGATATTATACTAACTTTTCGCTACATTTTTATTTAATTTACAAATTCGGAAACTCTAGTCCAGTTTGATTGAAATAAAATCATAGGAGCAACGCACTGAGCATAATTTGATTTCGTCCCCGCCCATTAAGCTGTACTATGGAGCCCCAAATTATGTAATCATATTCAGATAATAATAATACTATAGAGCATTCATAATGCACTAACTAACGTTCTCAAAGTTTAAAAGATATTTGAGAACATGGAAACAATTAGTAAAGCAAAAAAAGTAGATCTACTGGAAAGACATTTTGATATTTAATCTAATTATAAAACCAGACATTTGAAGGGAGAGTCCACCCTGAGGATGGGTTTACTCCGCCTTTACTAGGCCATACACATTCTCAGGGTGGACTTCCCCTTCATTGCAACCGGGGCTAGACTCGATAAGCTTCGCTTTTTCTAGCCCCATCTACATTACTCACCTTTTTATGTTTTAATGTTGATGTTTGTTAACTGATGTAGATTTTCATTGTTCTTTTATGCTTATGTATCTGTTTTTCATTTGCTCTATGTGTCAAATGTATAAAATGTATTTTCTTACCTTGTATATTCTTCTGGTTTTTTAATGTGGAAAATAAATGAAATGAAAAGAAGAGTTTCGATGGTATGTTTAAAGCAGTCTGCAACTGAAATATTGTTAATAGATTGTGTCAACTGATGTGCGCATAATATGACCGACCACCACCCCTCCCGTACGATTTCTTAGTATATATTAGGAACAAAAAGCAATTTTACATTGAATGATCTGGGAGGATTAAAAGGCATCAACAAATCAACATTGTACTCTGGGGCAGATCAATCCTTACAGGGAAAAAAAGCAATAATAATTCAAACACGATGCGGAATTTAACAGGTAACCAATGATAAGAGAACAAAACTGGAGTGAGCAGTACATCTGCTTAGGGTAACATAAAGGCTGCTGAGTTCTGTAATTTATTTAAGTGTGAACGTTCTGATTGTGCATAGTAGCGAAAAAGGGGCATAACCAAAGACCAGCCGAATTGGTAAAACAATTTCGGAACTTTAAACTATATTGAGTCGTCTCAAAACAAATTTACAAATAATGAGAATGGGAGATAATCATCGATGATACTTGAGTCGCCGAACTTTTTTTAGCAAGTTAATATTGACTTAATGTTAAATTTGATTTCTTCCCTTTTCCAGGTGTTTTACAAGCATTGACCGAGGCTAGCGGCTTACCTGCTATTCAATATCTGGTACAGAATCCGCCCACTGAGGTTAGTTATGTTTTTTCGAAGAGTCATAATGTTTGTTTTTTTAAATATCCGCTTACTCCCTAAGAAACAAAAATAAAATCAACGAACAAAAGCAAAACACTTACTTATATAATAGTTGTGTGGTAAATGATACGTATACATCGTATACCTCATTTGTTAAACCATGTTTTGGAGCGAATGCTGCGAACGCTTTCAATGTGATATAAATGATTGAAATCTTCTACTAGCTGATTCAAGATTCCAAGATTCATTAAACATTTATTTACTTTCTGATGGTGAAAAAGAAATTGAAATGAAATATGTATTACAAATTTAGTAAATGAGATTCGCGAAAGCATGAGTCTTGTAATGGAGTCGCCATTACGATTCAAACATACATAATTATACATATAACAATAATTCTATCTACATATACATTACATTATAAATATACTCTACGTAAGATAATATGTAATGACAGTAGCACATTTTTGCATATTCTTTTTTAAATTTCTTTTATTTTCCAGGAGTCTGGTCCTTGCTTGAATGATCTACAAACTTATTTATCGGATCTATCAGTCGGTGCAAGATATGCAAGGAAGTGTAAGCTTGAAAATGTCTCCTTCGTTTAATTTGGTATAGTTTTATGGCTGAGGAAAAAAATATACATATTATAATTGGCCTAGTGCTTTAGTTTTAAAATGAGTAGAACAAATTGTGTTATGAAAAGGAGGTCCGTTATTTGTAGTATTTTACCTTTCTATGCATAATTGGAAATGGATGGATGAAATAGATTCAATCATGATTAAACACATGGGGCCCCTATGACTACGATGAGCCCTGATAGCCTTGAATATGTTTTGACTAAACCACAGGCACGTAGCCAGAGTTTGATGTTTGGGGGGGGGGGGCCCATTGATCGACGTCCTGGGGAGGGGTCTAAAAAAGTTCAGCCGATCTTGGGTTTTTTTTTTTTTGGGGGGGGGCACGTTCTAAACCACACTCAGAAGGGCATTTACTATTATCCTGTTAATACTAGTAAGAGACATAGACCTACAATCATGTCCTTTTCTAATCCTTAAAAACCGGCACAAATATTTCTTGATATAGTATGAACAATTGAAATGTAAATATCAAATCCAGAAAATATATCAATGTAAATTTATATTTTGAAACAGTTGCAACCTCGTTCGGTGACTTTCCAGACGAGAGTGTGGAATTTACGTGGAATGCGTATGACTATGGAGTCATGGAACAATGCTTAGATGTGAACAAGGGTGATGCAGATGACTCGCCATTTAATACTCATTACTGTATGGCAATGACTATGATAGCCACGGTAAGAATGACCCGCTATAGTGCTCATTACTGTATGGCGATGACTATGATAGTCACGGTAAGAATGACTCGGTTAGTGCTCATTACTATATGGCAATGACTATGATGGTCACGGTAATGCCTAGGTCACATATAAACCGGGCCCCGTACGATTTTCCCTACCCGGCGGCTTGCCGTAGATTTAGAGACCGTACGGGAACCGTCCGATTTTCATTTCTACGGCATGTGTGGTCACATATTATGCGGCGCCCGGGAGGTGCCCGGAGAAAATTGGTCGAGTGAAATGCAAGGCGCCCGTAAGGGTGCCGGCAGGGTGCCGGCAAGGTGCCGGCAGGGTGCCGACTGGTAACCTTACGGGCTCCGTCCGATGAGCAGGTGTACCGATGGCTCCCGGAAGGTGCCCTGCCGGGGCCCGGCCGGGGTCCTCAAGGCGCCAGGCCGGGTGCCGTGCGGTGCACTGAACTACAGAGTGAGTCAGAAGAAATGTCCCACTTTTTAAAAGTTGTATTGTCTGAAGTATGAATATTTAATCATGGGTTTCATGATATATCTTGATAGAGTTATCCTCCCAGTACATTTAAGTACCATTTTCATTTGAATCCCTGCATGCATCACTGAATATCAGACACTGCCAGATCTCACTTGCGCCAAGTTACTTGGTGAGGAATAAAACAATGCATTGGACAAAGACAGTCAGACACGTGCACACACCAACACGCACACACACAACACACACACAACACACACGGTGACAATTATTTCATAATTGCCCCTTTTCTGATTGAGCATTGATTTTTATCAAGATCGCTGAATGTTTAAGTGGCATAACCCTAAAGTAAAAATCTTTCCCTTTTAAACACATTCACTACCACGATCATGTCATCATTGTCATCATCTTAATCTTCATCGTCATCATCATCATCATCATCACCATCATCATCATCTAGCACAACATCCGCCAATACGCACCAAGAGGACAGCGGCCACTCAACTTTTCGTACGATAAGAAGAATTCCCGACAAAAAGTAACAGTTTTGGTAGGCCTTGTCGGGAATGGAATGCTCATTTGTGGACGTGTGCCTGTGCATGTTCGTATATAATTATATATTATATATATATTATATATATATATATATGTGTGTGGTGGGGGGGGGGGGTGCGTGTATTTGTGTGTTTTTGTCTGTCTGGCTGATTGGATAATTGAACAAAATGGCTGTCTTTGTTCAAAACATTATTTTGTTCCTCACCTAGCAACTTGGCACAAGTGAGATCTGTCAGTCTTGTAAAGATTGTCTGATGTTCAGTCATGCATGCAGAAATTCAAATGAAAATGGTACCTAAATGTACTGGGAGGATAACTCTATCAAGACATATATCATAAAACTCATCATTAAATATTCATACTTCAAACAATACAACTTTTAAAAAGTGGGACATTTTTTCTGACTCACTCTGTATGTGTCCTCTGGTATCCGTACCTCCTGTATTTAAATCTGCGTTGTACATTTCGAGATGCCGCCGTGAGGGACCCGCACGGGCAATATTCATTTTAAATGGCCCCAGGACGGCAGACGCCTGTTGTTGTGCATATCACCCGGGGCTCTTGAGGGGCCCGTGAGGGCGCCGTAGGGTACACGTACGGAACCCTTGAGCACCGCAAGGCGCCCGTAAATATTTTTTATTAAAATTGAAGAAAAAATTCGTAAGGGGCCCGTCCGGGCACTGTCCGGAGCCCGCACGGGACCCGTAAGGTGCCTCACGGGCCCTTTACGGGTTTTCTACGGGCTAACGGTCAGTTAAAAACGCCGGGAGAATTGGGAGCAGCCAACTCAGCACCACGGGGCCCGTACGGCTTAGAAAACTGTCCCGGCGCCCGTAGGAACTTGTCGGCAGCCGGCCGGACACCGGCCGAAAATTCCCAAAATGTCTGTTTTTACTCGCCGTACGGGCCCCGGAGTGTATATGTGAAAGCCCCATAACTGTATGGTGATGACTATGCTAGTCACGGTAAGAATGACTCGCTAGTTTATCAATTACTGTATGGCTATGACTATGATATTCACAGAAGATTGAAATCGTGTATTGTGTGTGTGCATGTGCGTGTGCGGGCACGCATGGGTGTGTTCGAAATACTGTAGTCAGTGCCCCAACCACAAGTTTGTTTTCAAACTTCTTCAGGGGCTCCTAACCCCGTTTTTTTTAAATATTTTCATTAATTATTGTAAATGCATTTTTATGGTTCAATAAATTGAAATTGAATTGAAGTATCATTCATTTCAATCGATCATTTTCATTTTTGTCCATCTATTAGTTGGAGGTTCATATCGGGACATGTTGGCCTTCATCTTGTGACACGCAGGATATACAAGCCATCTCTACTCAATGTAAGTTCATTTTAGATAAATGCATTTATATTGTATTCCTCAGAGTTAACTTTGGAAGTTTCTTTGGCACATGTTCGTAAATAATGATACTTATAATGATAATAATAATGATGATAATAGTAATTAAAATAACTGTGATTTTCAAGTAAAGCCTAATCAGCGTCAATTATCTGAGGGCCCTGCAATACCAACTAACCTTTTTACACCTGGATGGAGAGTGACACATGTGGATTCGTGTCTTGCCAAAAAGACGTTAGTGCCGGCCTGGGATCCGAACCCTCAATCTTTGGATTGAGAGTGAATAAACCGTACTGTACCACGAAAACTCCACAAAACTCATTATTACTCGTTTACTATATTACTACAAAACAATAATATTGATCGTAGCATATCATGATAAGGTATTATTATCGATGGAAAATAATTAGAAACACGAAATTAAGTTAAATATAGGTATACACGTACAAAACAATAAATACCTATATTTTGAACACGTTTAGGAATATCATGATGGCTATCGCTTTTTTTTTTCCTTTTTAACACTTTATTTACATATCAATTTTTTTCTATCTATTCAAATACCTTTCTTTTCATGTGCCTCCGCTCCTTTCCCTCGGTCTCATTTCAATCCTTGCTCTTCCATTCCATTTCATTCTCTCTTTTCCACCTCCACTCTCTCTCTCTCCCTAATACATCCCCACTCTCTATTTCTCTCCTTTTTCATATACTCTCTTTTCCATTCCCTTCTCCGATCTTTAACAAGCACCAACTCTTCCTCCCTCACCTTTGTCACTGCTCCCCCTTTCCGCCGCTCTTTCTCGTTCTCTTAAAAAAAAATGCAAAACTCTCAATCTTTTTAGAATTAAGTGTAAACAATTTCTGTAAAATAAGTATAATAATCAGTATTAATAGCAAGGGCAACTTCGACACTTTTGTAGAGTAAATTTGTTACACTCTCTTCGTTTTTTTAATTTTTTTATTACTCTGATTGTACCATGCCGTCCCCCAAAAAAATATACATGGCTGCCGAATAAAAAAATATATAATTCTGGGAGAAATTTGTATATGTATGGCTCATAAACTCAACTTTCATATGACACCAAAAAGTCCGAAAATAATTCATGCTTGGGTGAGCACTGCTCACTTCTGTAAAGGGTATGAAAATTAGGTTGCGCAGAAATTAGCCTTCCAATTTGTGAGAGGTAATCCTTTGGAGCTTACATAATAGTATGATAGTATGTTTTAGTATTTTTTATTTATTTTTTATTATTTTTTTTGTTGGTTTTTTTTTTGTTGGTTTTTTTGGGTTTTTTTTTTTTTGGGGGGGGGGTTTTCTTTTGTTTGTTCTTGTTTCTTTTTCCTGTCTGTGTGTGTTTTAGTTGTAGGCTTTCATGTGAGGAATCCCTCTTTTCCGCCTATCCCAAGTGCTCTCATAAAATGCAATTGTTATTTGTTATCACTATCTTTTTTTTATCATTCCATTCTGTATTTGTTTGTGTTATATGTTTTCATGAAGAGTGTTGAATAAACTTTGAATTGATTTTGACACCCCCTCTCTACCTCCTTTCTTTGGACCCCCTCAGTGTCCTTAGTCCTTCTAAACAGCACTGATCCCGAACTAACCTTCGTTTGTCTAGCTCGGCCCCCATGGGATGCAGACGCTATCGCTGTTCTGTAAGTATGATATATTCAAACAGTTTTATATCGATTATAATTGTAATTGCAACATTAATGATTGATGTTAATATTAATTCCAAAGTTTTATGTCTGTTCACTATCTGTCTATTCATTCCTTCATCTAAAATAATGTCCTTGTTATTGTGTTATTGCAGCTGTTCAAATTATAAAGTATATAAAACTATAATTTAGAACTCATATTTTACTATTTTTTAATTACAGGACGTTCTTCTGCGTAGTTGCTGCTTTGGTGTTAGTAGCAACTATATACGATCTCTATATACGAAAACATTGCATCTCTTCAGAATCCACACGAGGTCCTCCGAAGGCAATGATCACAACGACGGAGTTAATGGTTTGGTCAATGAGAAATACATTCCTTCAGATGAAGACAACCCGTCAACGAATGATGTGAGTATGAAATATTGATGAGCAGTTGCAAACTTACCACTTTGCGACTGTTCTGTGAAGGTACTATGTCAACACTTTAGTTGACGAGGGTAATGGAGTACAGTGTACATATATTGGAGTATATTTTGTAATCAAGTTAGGATTCATGAATATCCAGTACTTTGGGATTTAATTGTAATTATGTACGTGAAAAGTTCAGTTCCAAATCGTATTCCAAATCGTATTCCAAAATGTAATAAAAATAAATTTACAGGCAGTGATAGTGCACAATCTGCAAGAAATACTTCACAGTGTGGCTGAATATATTTAATTAAAGAATATAAGCAGAGGCTCCGTGGTATAGTGGAAACGTCCTCGGACTGTGGATCACATGGTTCGAGTTCCCCTGCGGCAGTAATGTTCTTGCCACTCTCCAAGCTAGAAGTTAAGACCGGTAGGAAGGAACTCATTTAAAACACCGAAAACGGTACCACTTCGCTTGGTTGATATGTGCACTATAAAAATATCCGATATTATATTATATAACCCTATATAATGATGACCTTTTACAGGATGAGTGGAGAGGTGAGATGCCGCCCAAAGAAGCGTACCCGGGTACCATGGCAGGCAAGGCTTTCGAAAGTATGATGATGACATCAATACAACAATCGACTGAAACACAGATAGAAGAGAAGCAGACAGACAAGAAACTCGGTAAATCCTCCAGTCTTCTTGAGGTCAGATTTTTATGATTGAAAAGCAAAGTGATTTTGGTTTCTTCTTTTTATTCCCTTTCTGTAGACGGAAATGTTTACATCTGTACATCCGAATTTTTCAATATCTAGCAACTAGCATGAACGGTTGATCCAAACACTTGAGCTCTCCTCTCCTGTTACGTATATGTCGGCATTCTCAGAGCCAAGAAAGGGATTATGTTTTTCTATGATATCATTTCAAACTGAAAAAAATGGCATAAAAAGATAAAAGCTCATAATTATTTATAACTTCCTAAGGCTCAACCTTTTATTTAAAGAAAACCCAACTTGATGAAATACACTATCTGAGTCTTTCTCTCTTTCTGTGTATATATATATATATCTCCTCTCTCTCTCTCTCTCTGTAAATATTCTATACCTTCTGCTTTGATTTACTATCTTCTTTTCTTATTTTGTCTACAATTAATTCTACAGGTATATTTGACGGTGTATTGATGTCGTTCTCTGCTGCTACTAATCTTCGATTTATATTGAGTGCCAAGCCATCTCGATCTAATCTGGGTGTTCTTAATGGACTGCGTGTTATTAGTATGTTCTGGATTATCTTGTTACACTGTAATCTTTTCCTTTTTGGATCAAAGAAGTTAGGTAAGTTATATTTCTAGTTATTAATATGCCCTCAAGAAATACATTCACAAGGTCTGAACTATTATTTGAAATAAATTTTAGAACATAGACGCATGAATCTTATTTGTTAAAAGAAATATTGTTCATAATAGCTAGACTTTCTAGTAGAAGTCGTAACATCAACAAGCCCTTCACTAATCAAGCAATTACAAACTCGAGGAAAAATAACGAATAACAAAGCATCAGGAGTTTTGTTTACAGATAATTTAATTACCACTTTAGTTTCAGATCTAAAACTTATTAATCCTTTTCAAATGCTCATGTAATCAAACTGACAAACTCTAAGGTCTCTTGGAATTTCCTAGAGGGCCGGACTCCATCTTGTACGCCTAGATGATCTGCACATACCATGTCAAATTTCAATTCATAAACTAGAAAGTACTTATACTTTGACGAGACTTGTTACAATGAAGGAACAGTATTTTTAATTTCATTTTATTTATTTATGTTACATATACATTTAAAAAAAAGTACAAGTTATTTTGTGTGTGATAACATTACACATCATAAATAACATAAAGATAAGTGGTCAATATAGAGTACTGATTTAACTGAGAGAAGTATGATGGGACCTACATGAAAGCAAGCTTGTAAAGCTGTAGGACCCAGTATTGATGAATGCATCATTCGCTTGGGATTATTTTCTTTTTTCACAAAATAGCATACCCCCAGAATCAGACTCAATCAATAACCTATTTACAAAGGAGTATAGAGGAAAATTCATATGGGTTAAATATTCATTCTGTCTTGTGTCAATTTCCAATTGTCATCTCTGTCACAGAACGTCAAATCTGCTGTTAATTGCAAACGTTCATTATGCTTCACACAGTTATCTCATGATTTACATGAAATATATTTGAATTGCAGATAATTATTACACCATTCTTAACACGTCAAACAAGTTTCCTAGGATGGTCATTCATTATGCAACATTCGGAGTAGATACATTCTTCGTTATCGGGTGAGTTACTCTCTTTCAATAATCGTATATCCCTAAACAGTTGTCGTGAGATTGTACAAAATGAAGTGGTTATTTTAAAAACTTTAGGATTTCCAACAAGTTGTCAGCTTGCTTCTGCTAATTCTTTGCAATACTTTGACGAAAGACTGAAACTGTTAAACCGTTCTTTTAACTTTCTGTTTCATTGAATTTCCTTTAGGCATATCTTATTTATCTAAAATTGATTTGAATTGAATGAACCCTTTGTGTAATTTGGGTACACACACGACTACTTCCTTATCTGATCGAAAACTGACCACGTATGGCATGTGCTTTTGGTTGCTCCTGTTAACTAGTAGTTTAAGATGATGGACATGTAGTCTTTTCTTGTCCCCTCTAACACTTATGATACTTAAGTTTACGTACGGGCATGGTGGCTCAGTGGTTAGAGCGCCCGCCTCATAAACGGGAGGTCGTGGGTTCGAACCCCGGCCGAGTCATACCAAAGACTTATTATAACAATGGGACATTCTGCCTTCTAGCTAGGCGCTCAGCATATTAGATTGGAGAAGGGTAGTAATAACATATTATGTTATGCAGGGCCCGCTGGAAAAGCAGTTGCATAACTGAAATGGCTACCCTGGGTAAATAAAACGTTATTATTATTATTCTGAGCTGCCCGGGGGTTAAAATTAAACTGTATTAGAATCTTATTGTAGACCATTCTCTTGTATGGTTTTCCAGTTGTAAATGGGGTCAACAAACCGCAAAAACTAATCAAAGTTGGCCCCGTTCAAGAAATCAATCATTTAGAACAATCATTGAATCACAAAGAAGCAATTTTGGTTTTATCAAATAAATTTGTATAGGCCTACACAGAATAATTGTGTGTATACACTTTATTATGTACATATTTACATAATCTGATTAAAATATGTTTCAAAAATCGATTTATATTATACGATGTTTTACTATGAGTGCATTAATTATTATAACATGTTTTTGAAATTAATTTTTTTCGAGAAGATATCCTTTACAATTTTGTAGTCTTGTTCATTTATACAGAATAACGCTGATTTTATTGATGTTTTTTAATTTGTATAGAGGGCTGCTAGTTACATACACCACACTGATGAAGCTGGGTAAATCCAAAGGAAAGATGAATTGGCTCATGTTTTATTTTCATCGTTACTGGCGCCTTACCCCTGCACTGTTAGGAGCCATGGCACTCTGGATCTCCTTAGGAACACATCTAGCCGGGCAGGGTAGTATGATAGAGATATTCTATGGATATGTTGAACACTGGTGTAAGCAACATTGGTGGACATACCCGCTTTATATCAACAATCTCTATCCATTCCCTGGTAACAATAACGAATCGGTAAGGGAATCTTAATGGGTCAGTGGCATACGCGTGAAATTTTCAAGGGGGGGGGGGGTTAAAATTGGATTGCTTCATTAATGTGACCCCGCGAAATATTTTTTTTTTCTTGACGGGGGGGGGGGGGGGGGGGGGGGGGGGGGGGGGGGGAGGGGGTTAGTGTTTATATATCTCCGTATGTTAATCGACTGTATCTTTTACTTTCGTTGCCTGATATTATTGTATGTATTTTTTACACCTATTGAAAGAACAATTCCTTCAATTTCTATTGTTTATTACTTTTGATTTATGTAATGAAGTTGAATGTGAAATATGATATAAAACTAAACTGAAACTGACACTGAATGGTAATTATACTGGGAAAGTCACAAATGCCCTAATAAGACCAATGTTTTTTTTTTTTAAAGGAAACAGGTTAGTCGGTCCAGGCGTCATACGTCATGTCTTTATTTTATAAACATATGACAGGAAGGATATACCAAGCCCTAGTCGGGGATGATACAGCATAACATATCGTCGACTTCCTTTCAAATCTAAAAATTAGAAAAGACTTGGGATTCCCTATTTTCAAGAAATTTATTGTAGATTTCCAACATTTGATTTTTGTTTAAATTGGATCTTATTATGGTGAAGGAGTTTTATGACATTACATAATTGTGTACTTTGGATACTACATATCTATTTTGTTCTATTACAAATATGATAATAATAATAATATATTGTTTTATCAATTCAATGTTTGAAAAAATGTACATCTTTATTTAAATAATAATTATTACCATTTGCTCTTACTAATGAAAGCAATTGTTCGTAAAACAATTTGTTTGACATTTTTTGTTACTGTTTTTATTTTATAATTATTTCATAATTATTTAATATTTATTTATTATGTTATCAGATTTTATTTTATTTTTAATTATATAAGATGTTTACATTGATAACTCTATTGATTATCGATTCGGTCATCTACAAACCAAACACAATTTATACCTAGCACTCTGTTTATGAAAAATGCCTCTGAATTCAATATCAAAACGATCAAAATAATCTCTTCTACTGATCGTTTTATCTTTCTAGTGCATGGGATGGGCCTGGTATTTGGCATGTGATATGCAGTTCTACTTCATCAGTCCTATCATCATCATAATCCTTTACAGGTAAACTAGCTCTCAAGTATTTCTGCTCATTACGGAGTATTTTTCATGGCCTAATGTTTGAAAACATACCTCTAGATTATAATGGTTAGGATGTAGTCATATTGAAAACATACCTCTAGATTATAATGGTTAGGATGTAGTCATATTGAAAACATACCTCTAGATTATAATGGGTAGGATGTAGTCATATTGAAAACATACCTCTAGATTATAATGGGTAGGATGTAGTCATATTGAAAACATACCTCTAGATTATAATGGTTAGGATGTAGTCATATTGAAAACATACCTCTAAATTATAATGGTTAGGATGTAGTCATATATGAAAACATACCTAATTATAATGGTTAGGATGTAGTCATATTGAAAGCATACCTCTAGATTATAATGGGTAGGATGTAGTCATATTGAAAACATACCTCTAGATTATAATGGGTAGGATGTAGTCATATTGAAAACACCTCTAGATTATAATGGGTAGGATGTAGTCATATTGAAAACATACCTCTAGATTATAATGGTTAGGATGTAGTCATATTTAGTTCTGAAGTGTATAGTTAACCGTGCTCACAGTTATTAAATTTCACAATATTGGCAGACTGACATAGAACCCCTTCGGCGATCTCCAGAAATCTTTAATATATGCCAAAGAATATAGGCTGCATCCACTTATTCTAAAAGAGAATTCCAGGCCACTTAAAACAGTAGTAATGCATGAGCTACCTTGGAAATCCCTTGAACGTAGATGCGGTCATCCTGCGGTCAGCCAGGAGGGTCAAATCTGACTGACATGAGCGCTATACAAGAACCCACTATTATAATTTTTATTATCTTGACTTCAGTTTTACCGATCGCATTCACGTATTGTTAACGTTTATGGCGGTCTCGGTGTGTTCTCACAGCATTCTCATTTTTCGAATAATCAGCGTGTAAAAAGCTTGCAGCACGATGACTTGCAATAAACCAACTCAAAGCCACTTTCAATACCGTATGGGTGTCGATCCCGGGGGGATGGGGGGAACTGAATTCAGACAAGGATTAAGAGTCGAGAATAGTACAACGAATCGTTTTCTTTCTTTAATAATCTAATGAAACGTCAAAGCTTCCGCGCTTTGCGCGGGAGGGGGAGGGGGGGGGACTGAATTCAGACAAGGATTAAGAGTCGAGAATGGTACATCGAGTCGTCTTCTTTCTTTAATAATCTAATGAAACGTCAGAGCTTCTGCGCTACGCGCGGAGGAAGGGGAACTTGATTTTATAAACAAGGATTTAGTGTCGAGAACGGTCCAACGAATCGTCTTCTTTCTTTAATAATCTAATGAAACATCAAAGCTTCCGCGCTTTGCGTGGGGTAAAACTAAATTCAGACAAGGATTAAGAGTCGAGAATGGTATATCGAAACTTCTTCTTTCTTTAATAATCTAATGAAACGTCAGAGCTTCCGCGCTACGCGCGGAGGAAGGGGAACTGAATTCAGACAAGGATTAAGAGTCGAGAATGGAACTACGAATTGTTTTCTTTCTTTAATATTCTAATAAAACGCCAAAGCTTCCGCGCTTTGCACAGGAGCGTGGAAACTGAACTCAGACAAGGATTTAGAGTCGAGAACGGTACAACGAATCGTCTTTTTTCTTTAATAATCTAATGAAACGTCAAAGCTTCCGCGCTTCCCGGAGGGAGGGGAACTCCCCCTCCCTGCACCCAACCTCCTAGGGAGCGTGCTTCGCGTGCTCACTACCGCCCACCCACAATAAAATCCTGGCTACGCGCTTGGGAGGGGTGCAACCTGCCACACGCTTCTACCTCTTGGCTGCTTTGATGCATTGCCGAAAATATTTTGGCACCTATCATACCCCCCAACCACGGATACAAATCGACACCCTTGCGTATAGTATTTCCTCTTTAAAAGAAAATCATGTCTCCACTACGTATTATGTCAGTGTCATTTTTTTAAATATTACAATTTCAATACCAGACGTGTATGGCTACTGAAATCGCTCAGGTTTTATGCTAAAACTATTTACCGTTGTGCTTCACCGAGAGACTGTGGAGACCATATTCGTCTTTTTTGTATATTATGATTCTTCTTTGAGTTCCAATATCGATATTTTTTAATATGTTTGCATACTACACTTGTTTTGACCACCATGTAAAAAGCATTTTAAACTTCATAAGGATGAGATGCAGACGAGCGATGGTAGATTGGTGTTTTCCCCTCTAAACCTCATTAAAAGAGAAGGAAAAGGAAAGATATATTAGATGAATAAAATGTTTACCATTATGATATAAGAATAGGAAGAAGATAAAGAGAACGAATTACATCATCATTACATTGTCATATAAAGGAGATATTTTCGCAGACAGATAAATCAAGGCTCGTTTAGACGGAACTGAATATGAGAGAAGGAGAGAGAGTATGTGTACCATTAAAGCTTTATGATATTGATGTATATGAAGGATGATATAACACCATGTTTGATAAAACATAATTTCATGCGTATCAATTTCTACAAATCTTCAATCGTTTCTAGAAAGAGGAATGTCGGTATCGGTCTCATCTTGGGCTTGACAACAGCATCGATCGCCTCGGCCGTTGGAATCAGTTGGTATTACGGAATCAACCCGGTCGGACCGTAAGCATTCACATATACATTCATTTTTTTAAATAGATTTTATCATTTGATGATTATACCCCCTTATCAATATCAAGATTTATGTTAGTAATAAGTTAAACATACATGGCAGCAACTAAACACATCACCCCTTATATTTCCGATATCACCTACTTTACAATCTAATCATAATTTTTAGCAGCGATGTCTTTGTGTGAGGTTTCGTTAAAACTGATAGTCATATGTGCATGTGCCAAAATTGTTATTTCAGTAACTTTAATCATCGTCTTGGAGGAGAGAGTTTGGATGTAACCTACACCAAGCCATACACACGAATCCAATCATACCTGGTTGGTATGTTTGTAGGATATCTTCTCTACAGGACTGTAGATCGAAAGATCAAGATTCCTTTGGTAAGAACAAAACTTTATTCCAACTGTCCTCAAACCTGGCTTATTAGACCGTCTGAACTCAAGGCATCATTTCCATAGCGCAATTCAAGACAGTGACGCAAAGCCAATCCGAGGTGGGTGCGTGTGTGTGTGTGTGTGTGCGAACGTGCGCGCGCGTTTGTATGTGTGACATTGTGTGAAGGGGCGAATGCAGTCAAGCGCTGAGATTTATCGTGCGAGCACACACGGGACTCTAATGGAGATGGATGTGACACTTTAAGGATAGAATTTTAAAACATTTTGGGTCAAAACTACTTTTGGTATTTGAATAGATCTAGCATTTTAAGCAGAAACTTTTCACCATTATAAAAGTCGCCTATATTAACTTTATCAAATCTTGTACTAACTGGCTAACTTTCATTTTCACTGAAAAGTAGGGGCATTTTTAAGGCCATACCCCCTCCTTGAAATGTGTGTGTGTGTGGGGGGGGGGGTGTATACCCCCACCCCGTGATTCTATGACATTCATGCCTGCTAATGCACAGAACCGCCCCATGCAAACACAGTGTCCTGCCACTTCATTGACGCAATGGTGTCATTGCCTGGCGGAGGTTTGTAAATCGGTTGACGGTGTAGCAAATAATTTAATATACGTAAATCAATTAGTGAAATGAACTCAACTATGTTTGTTTTTTAATGTTCAGTTCCATTTTTATTTTTTATAAAGTGGAAAATAAACTTTGAATGAACTCGAAAATCATAGTTGGTCGCTTTTTTGTGTGATGAATCATTTTGAGTTGGAATTTATAAGCGCAGTGATTGGACAGCTCGTGTGTAGTCAGCCTTAGAGATGTCGGTTGGTGTAAAACTGTAAACCGATGTGGCTCTTTGACCAATGTATTTTTGTTTTAACCCAGTCTGATCCTCTTTAGTTTCTTTCAATCGCATGCTAAAGTCCTACCTAAGAAAGTGTACCCAAGAAGTTGTGAATTAAAGATTCAAACGCAAACTGACTCTTCTTCCGATCATGTTTTCGTATTCTGAACTTGCGCTCAATGTCTTAACCCTAATAAGGCCGGGGGGGGGGGGGGCATTATGGCCCCCCTCCACGATTTGTCTGATTGTTCGAGAACGCATATGGATGGCGCCCCGCTGCTCGCTGACTTTTTTCTTTAGAGTCTTGCGCATCTTTTAAAACAATTTTTTTTTTAATCGGACCTACAGTTACAAGGTCACGTGACCTTTTGTCTTTGCATGTCAGCCCGAAAATCGCTCAATTTCGTGATTTGTGTACAAAACATATGGGAAAGTCATTTTTCCTAAAAATAGATCAAACATTGGTTATTGGGTCTTGTTTGATGTTAAGGTGGTTGTTTTGCTAGTCAAAATAGTTAAATTGTAGTTAGAAATGAAATAAAACAACAAAAACAATGAAATACATAAGTTAAAAAAACAATGAAATACATAAGAAATTATCAAAACAACAGAAAACATAAGGAATAAGCTGGCTCTTCCAATTTTGTTTGACGTATAATTATTCCAAATGGTCTAATGAATATATGTAGAGAAAAAGAATGCTTAAATACGAATAATATATGATTTATGGGTAAAAATGTGATTTTTATGACCTTATTTGCATAAATTACCATAAATATGCAAATGAGTACATTTTTCAAAAAATTGAAATTATCATAGTATTCTATACACTTCACTTGACATACGTGCAAATTTTCGCGGAGATCGGCCTTTTCACGGCCGAGATCTTAAGGGGGAGGGGCCATAATGCCCCCCTCCCCCCCCCCCCGACCGTAGTAAGACCTCAAATAGCCCGGCCTTTTTAGGGTTAATGGAGTTAAATTTTGCACGCTTTCGTGTAAGTGTGATCTACATCATCATGTATCGTCTTAAAATATATATGCCGTTAATCCGGAGTTATATATTCATATATTCCTCTCAAGTACAGCCAATAAATGCTTTAATGACCCTTTTTCTGCGCTACCTTCTTAATGATGGTCTTTATTTTGTTCCAGATATTGGTGATGTTAGGCTGGTTGACTGCCTTTGTTCTCGGGATAGCGTGTGTATACTGTCTATATGGTGTACGGAAGGATCCAGCTAATGATTTAGAGCAGTACCAAGCCGTTCTCTGGGAGGGTCTCTCAAGGTTCGCTTGGGCTATCTCCATCGCATGGATATGCTTCACATGTATCAAGGGATATGGAGGTAAATAGTTTTTTTTTATGCCATGTTTTATATGTCTGCTAGATCCAAGTAAAGAATGAATCATATTGATTGTAACAGATTAAATCATGTGAAATTAGCTTCTTGGTGTAATTTGATAGAGAAGAAAGGGTAATTTATAAACATGTATGGATTTCAATGAGTAAAAAAATATGAAATTGCTACAAGGCTAGATATAGATCTAGATCCGCTTTAAACAATTGCCAATTGTACATGTTAGAACCAACTGTAAGCGTAAGCCGGAATTTTGTATATAAATGTTTACTAGCGCCCTGTGATAATAACTTCCTAATACCAAATAAAGCTGAGCTCATGTTCTTTTTCCATTGGTACATGACTGAAAATGACATAATACATTAACTAAACATGGCTATGCAATCTCATGTCTTAATACCGCGTAGAGCCCTAGAAGATAGATCGATTGTATACCAGAAAATGAAATAGAGGGCAAATTTAAAGTTAGTCAACAAGAAACAGATGTAGATAGTGTTAACGAGATGACACCCCTTTAGGGGGAAATACGACTTGATGGTGATGATTTTAATGATGCTGATGATTACGATGATGATGGTGATGATCATGATGAAAATGATGATGGTAATGATGATGATGGTAATGATGATGATGATGCTGATGATGCTGATGATCGTAATGATGATGATGGTTGTGATGATGATGGTAATGATGATGATGATGCTGATGATGCTGATGATCGTAATGATGATGATGGTTGTGATGATGACGATGATGGTGCTGAACATTGCGTAATACAAAGCTCTGTATGTTGTTTCTTTGTAGGCGTTATCAACTCATTTCTCAGCTGGAACTTCTGGATTCCAATGGGGCGTCTCACATACTGTACCTATCTCATACATCCACTGGTTATCTATAACGTACTGATGAGCGGTAAAGCTCTCTTCCATTTCGGCATTATCTCTTTCGTGAGTATTCTTGAAAGAAAGACATCGAGCGAAAGTAAGAGAGGACAGAAAGAAAGAAAGAGAGAGATCGAGAGATAGAGAGAGAAAGACAGTTGTAGAAAGGGTGAGAATTGTGTGTGTGTGGGGGGGGGGGTGGAGAGCAGAGAGTAAGAGAGAAAAGGGTGCTCATAGACAAGGAAAGAATGCGGAATAAGGCGACAGGTACAAATTTAGGATTCTTCATAATATATTATCCTTCCCTTATGATTAAACATATTATTTATATTCAAGAAATGGTGAAAAATACGCCAAATGCCGTTTAAAAAGCATTTCAATTTAATTTGACAAAATTTTGTTTAAATCATAGTTTCATTTAGCATGTGAGTCATACTAAACGTCAATGACGACGAGAATTTTCGTTAATTATTTTGACATTGATGGACATAGTTTATACATCTACGAAAGGATAGTCAAAGATCAAAAGTCAATTAATGTTTCCGAAGTATTTTACATTACATTTTGTTCTTTTTTTCAGAGCTTCTACTTTGTTGGAAGTGTGGTGTTTTGTTACCTTGCTGCACTCATACTATCTCTGTTGATGGAAGTTCCGGCTGCTGGTCTCGAGAAAGTCTTGTTTAGTCGGGCTTGATGTCAAACTCTGATATGATATACCAGTTATGGCTTCTATCTTTAATAGAACTTGAACATCAAGGCAAGCAATTGTCGATGTCATTCTTATAATAACGGATTGATCGATTGATTGGTTGATATTATTTAGTCGTGACTTGTAAAGGGCACATATGATTCGTGATATAAACATAACAAAAATAATACATTTATGAATTGACATGGATGATTTACGAATTCAAAGCTCATTTCAAATATAATCCAAAATCTTGATGTCCCAACAATCGAAATTATTTTGTTCTATTAAACAATTATGTAAAAGAAGTGAGTAAAATTTATAACACCCATCTTTAAATCTTGATGAACTGTGCACCAACATGCTAACATAAGTAAGAAAAATGATGTTCTTATGTAACATTCGCCAATCTAAAGATATTTTCTTTGATGATCATAACTTATTTCATTTGTTTATCTTTTAGGCCTATCAATATAGTCTTAAAAAACTTAAGTGTTTTTAGCTTATTTTCTATATATTGTTGTGTTATGGTTGTAAATTTGTCACTGTTATATTACTTTTGTTTATATGTCATGATTATGTTGCTTTTTATCAACGCGGCCCTGATGGAAACCAGTCTGCAAACTGTTTCGGGCTTTTACCGTGTATAACAAAAATAAACTCAACTAAACTCAACTCAACTCAACTCTCAGCAAGGTATAGTTTTCCATGAAAATAGCAATTCAGCTCGTATTGTCCTTATTACTATTCTTTAGTCTGTACCTCAGTCTCTTCTCTTTCCTTGTCATATTTAACCTGTTGTACATGTTTATTTTGTGATGTTATCTATACCCTTTTTTCTTTGATCTTTCTCCTACAGCAGTGATTAAAGAACCAATATTTCATCGTTTATGAATATTTTGTATACCGGTAGTTTACAACATGCAAACACTTCCTGTTGTGTCCCTTTATCAATGGAACGTTTTCGTTTGTATATATCTTAATACTGAAATACTGAATCAATTGTCCAATATATTTAATATAGTATGTGTACATTATGACCGATGAATGGTGTGGCAACATTATGATAATATTAGTAAATTGTTAAATTCTAATGTTTTAAATGTAAAAATAAATGATTGATGTGATAACAAATAAGTGTCAAATGGGTTGTAATTTTAAGCTCAATAAAAAGAATCCATAATTCTTTTCCCTATCCATTTTTTTAAATCCCACCTCCAAACTTGCAATAATTATTCTATCATATTTTAAACCTGTAAGTTTATTTACAAAACTTTTAGATCACTTGAAAACTTGTTTTGACTCTCTACAGTGCATGGTTAATTTCAATAAAATTTCCTTTGAAGCTCTGTAGATGAAAGTATATTCGCTTGGAATAATTTAGATAAACTAGTATGGATACCCCCCCCCCCCCCGCCCCCTGACGAAATATGCGCTCTGTATCTGATTGATGTGGAAAAGCAATAACGTAGATAACCACTGGTAAGTGAAATATACATGAGGTATTTACTGCTGCGGGGTTTACCTTACGCCGACTAACAAGAAGACCCAGTCTGATGATGGTTAATGATTTGTAGTGGTTTGTGTTTTGCGGGAAAGAGAGGTGAAAAGAAGAGGAAGAGGAAGAGGACGCACACGCTAAACAAATTAAGTATACACAGAGTTACAGAAAGAGTGTTACAGAGAATGTAGTAAAAAAACAGAAATATCAAGAAGAAAGTGTGAGAATGATTAATGATGGTGATGATGAATGAAGTCAGTGATTTTAGTGAACATTGTGAGAGACCACATTAATATAGAGCTGTGTTGTTAAGATAAGGTGACTATATGGACATAGAAGGAAGGTTTCACTAACGCTAACTAATCCACTTCATCCTGTTTTGGTAGCAGTCATAGGTGCTTGCGTGGGCACAAATTTTCCGGATATCAATTTTCATTTAAAAAAAAAATCCTTTTATTATCCCATTATTGTCATGTGCCTGCATTAAAGGCATCGTTTAACAATGTTAAATCAGTTTCTGTAATATGGTGTAATATTAAAGCCCAAAAAATTGCGCTTCAAAATAATCAAGATGTACCTCAAAAGAGTAAAAATCTTTGAGTGACCAGTTTTACAATACCCGTTTTTCCCAATAGACTGTAGTGTTATGAAAACCGTTAGGAAAACGCAAAATTTGGTTTCGATTAATCATAAATATCTTGATAATCAGAAAGGCGATCGGCTTGTAAAAGTCATGGAGTTCCTAACTGATCTAAAGGTTTATAATTACGATTGCAGCATGAGCTAAATCCAGAATTTTGTTTCAGAATCTTAGACGAAGTTACCGGATCCGTTAAAAACGAAACAGATTCATCATATGACCGGAAATTTTGGTGGTTGGGAATTTGTTGTTTTTGAGAAAAAAATGGAAAGGGAAATGAAGTAATAAATACTGATTACATTCAGAATCTAAACACAAAGGAACAACACTAATGCATCAAAGACACAGAACTGCGCATTGAGTTATGCTAATTAAGATTCTCACAGTAGATATCACGTGACGAGCTGTGGACCAATCATACATTTGTATCTGTAAAAGCTATCTCATAAATACCTATTCTAATATACATTGGCCGAAGATGTTCTATCAGATGTTTAGGTTTTCAAATCAACGTATTGATCATTGATTACGGGGCGAGTCTGCTGATAACACACGCTGATCCTTCTTTGAGGTAGGATTAACAATGGATTCAGAGTGATTCCTTGTGACTTGTTTTTAATCTTATAATTTCTGTTTTCCTCTTTTTGCTGTGCCTTCAAATACTCTCTTTATAGTTATACCACGTCTTATTCTTATTCTTTTGTCTTTTTCAATCTGTCAGAAATCTATTTTTCTCTTGTTTTTGTTCCGCCATTTCTCCTCTTTGTATTAAAAAAAAAAATACTGTATCGATCTCTCACTTTTTGTCATACTTTGTAGTGGATCATTTCTATTCTTTCTTGCTTCCCTCCCCCCTAACACATTAATTATTGCTTGATGTATATGTAAGTAAAATCATATACCCTATTCATATTCATATACGATGTAATTAACTTCTTAATCTGAACTTCTCACTTTGCATGCCGTGTCAATTCCTGTAATTTTCCAATTACTGTAATTTATTTCTGTCGTACGTCATGTCTCAAACAGTCTTTTTTATGAATGCAGTCATGATGAAGTAACCTGTAATTTATTTGTAATGATCTTCTGGCCTTGATGAATTTTATTTAGGCTCCTAATGGCTTTTCTTCTTACAGTACATCGAACTGTTATTGTTGTTTTTTTGTTTTTGTTTATTAAGAATATCCTTTTACCAAATAAATTTTGGTCTGAAGCACATGTCATGTATACAAATTATACAAAATGGTACAGCGTATTTAGAACGGATTTCATTTTCCAAACCTTGTCTGATGCATGTCTGAGCATAAAGATCAGCAAGAGAGATTGGATGAAAATCGAATGTACTAACGGGGCGGATCCAGGATTGTCAAAATAGGGCGGGGGTGGCAGGACGGATTGCTTTTCTCGGGTTCGGTTTTGGATTTCCAGAAATGTTGGGGCTCTTGTTTTATGATCACAGGGTCCCCTTGTTTTTTAAATTGAATACCCTCGAAATTTCGGATGTTATTACCCTTCTTTTTTTTAGAGGCTCGGAGGCCCAACCTCATGCTACGTGGAGTTCAGAAAAGCGTTATACGATAATGGTTGAGTCAGATGTTTAAATTAATGGTCACTGAAATATCAAGTATCATTACTGTGAATAATAAAATAGACTTAAAATATAAACATTCTGTCTTTCAATACAGGTTAACAAGGCTAAAAACCTAATTCTCGATGGCGAAAAGTAGACGGATATCCACTATAGTGATGGGTCTATTTGCAATGACGAACCTTCGTCATTGCCTTGTTTTCGTTCACATTCTGCCCCATTAATATTCTCCTCCTCCTTTTCCTTGTTTTCCTTATCGTCCGGAAATCACATTCGTTTTGCACATAGTGTTTGTTATTCCTAGTTAGGTGCCTTCATCATGTCCATTTCCTTTCAAATTCCGTAGGCATCATCTCTAGCATCTCATCCAGGTCACCTACTGTTTCGTTTTCTGGAATCACTCATGCGTAAACGTCCAGGCGCCATTTTGTCCTTTTCTGGTCCATTTTAAGGCCTTTCTATCTTCCTTCCTATCTCCACTATCCTAGATCCTACAAACTTCTAACAAATTCCTCTAGATAGTCTAAGAGATGTTCTTTCATCTGCGACGTATAACTTGCCCTTCAAAATGCCATCTTCATACTCGAAATTCAAATCTAAAACCGACTCCGTCAAAAATCTCTCAAGTTCTTGAAAAATGGACCCCTAAATAATCTAAAACTGCCATAACTTTCTCATATAAATTCCGTTTTGTATTTAAATCTCACAGTATCTTTATCTCATAATTGCACATAGCCATGCCAAATTTCACGCTCCAATGGCTTTGCACAACATAAATAGCGCCCTCTAAAGTTCTGGGAATTGGCTTTCTGTCTGTGGCCGTATCTCCATAATGGCTTGGCAAACCCGTACCCTTTTTTGGATTTAGATACTTGAAGATATGCCCTTTCCAGCCATATACAAAATTATATACCCTATCACTGACCAAATTTGCGAAAATTGCCCTCCAAATTCGCCATTTTCAAGAAAATTCCGAAATAACTTCAACTTGCTCTAAAATGGCGATCTTTATACCTACGTCGTTGAAACTTGGCAGACACATGTATCCATATACGTGACAACTGTCTGCTAAATTTGGGAAATTTTAATAACGTCGGCGCAAAGTTATCGCCAAAAATGATGAATTTGCTATGCATTACGTAATAGCGCCTTTAATGCGTGCAGTACATTGCGTGCAGATGACAATGGTGTCAAACTGACCGCAATGAAGTGCCCTTTCGAATGATACCAAGTATGGTATATGTTTACACAGAAAATTGTGAGTAAATCGCATTTGAACAAGGGTCACTATACGAATTCCGCCCGATTATAACACTGATCGGCCATGACGTCATTTTTTTCAGACTACTTTTCGCCCCCTAAACATCCTTTTTTTTCTTTGAAAATTTGCAATGACATTCCGAGATGAAATACGCAGGGCACCTCGTAGCCTGATTTTTGAAATTGGTCAAGGGGGCCATTTAAGACGCCATTTTGTCCTTTAAATCTATTTTACATCACATGTTTCGATAGGATTATCATAGAAAAAAAGAGAGTAGTTTACAATAACGACCATGAAATTCTCTTTCCAATGATACCATATACGGCCCATAAAGAGACATAAAGAGAGAGAGAAAAAACAATTTAACTCCGGTCATAATACAGATCCTCTACGTTTTCCGCCCATGCATTACACGCATTGTCTATGGGGCAAATCGGGTTCACGCTTTTGACCCCTAGAACGATCTTGATTGCAATGACGAACGTGCAACTAATCCCATTTGTTTTTGCACGCAGTGCTTGCGAGCCCTTTCTAGGTTGTTTCCCCTATCCCAATTTCTTTCAAACATCGTAGGCATAGTCACTACCATCCCATCAAGGTCACTATTGAGGCCTTTCTTTCGCCCTACCTGTCTCCAATATTACAGAAGCTAAAGACTTCGTACAAATTGCTCTGGATAGTCCGAGAGAAGCTCTTTCGTTCGACACGTAGAAACACGGCGTCATTGCACGCACATCGTTGTGACACGATTGCATTTCTAGTTCTATTTATACTTGTCACGTCGAATATTGTATGGTGTGGAACAACGCAACAACACAAAGAATCGTCAGAAGAAAAGAATCTAGTTGTAGAGAAGAGTTCACCGTGTATCCATCAACTAGCCCCTGTAGCTGGGACAGTCGACAACATAGTTAATTCAATAAAAAATAGGTCGAAGGACTATGTAAGCCTTGTCCGTTTCAACATCAGCTTCGATACGGGTGATGAAATACAACACAACCAAATTCTTTGGAATTGGGGGCTTGGCAGAAGAGGAAGATTCATACTCTCTCTCCCTTATGACTACTACCTGTTGTCATTTGCTACACTTCAGTTCGGAATCTATTCGGTCTCAATTACTCTGAACAGTAGTATTTTGGACACCGGGTCCTTCTCAGACATCTGCTTGCTAAACACTTTGTTCAATTTATCAAGACAAGTAAGATCAGAAGTAGAAACCCCTTATCTAAGTGATATCAAAGATGACGTCATATGCCGAGAAATGGAAGAATCTAACCCATTTAAAACAAAACACATCCCAGGATACGGTATATTTCAATTGCAAGCAAGCACTTACTACAAATGTTGGAATAACCGTGCCAACCCGGAGGCTGATA